TTCACTAGATAAGTAATACACGAGTTTAAGAAAAATAGGGCTTTCTTTTTACCTGTAAAACATACATGTACTGAGGTAATTAAACCTTATTAAAGTGCTTCTTGTATGCCATGTCTTTAATTTTGACAAAAATTATTTAAATTAAATTGAAATAAATTTTTACTGTAACTTTGGAACACATTTCCTTTTTTAAAAGTTTATCACAGGATTACTATGGAAGTTCTATTATCATGATTATATTAAATTCTTGGTTTAACAAAACAAAGGTGTCATTTTTTAAATTTATCAAGTTGCTTTATATGCTATTTTATATATATTTTAATAAAAAAATGTTCACTGCATTATTAACTAAACTCAACTGACACCATAAATCTATACTAGGCTTAAGTTAGTGGTGAAAATTGTCCAGTAACCATAAAATATATCTGAAACATTCAAAAAATTTTGAATTACATTGAAAATATTAGTCACAATTCAGTTTTGAGATTATTTGATCAGCTTGTTTTATTTTTATTTTAAAGGTGATATATATGTATGTATATAAGTGTTGATGAATATGGTGTTGAAGTTATATTATGTTTATTGTGAAATTTTGGTTTCAATGCTGTATTGAATACATTTTTAATTTCAAATTGTTGTTCAAATTTCTAGCCAGGGGAAATAGCTGTTGTTAAAAACAGTTCCTAAATTGACGAAATACAATAGATAGATACACAAAATAGGTCTAGGTTGGTTAAGACTTGGTCGAGTATGGTTCAGACTAGGTCGAGCATGATTCAGACTAGGTCGAGTATGGTTCAGACTAGGTCGAGCATGGTTCAGACTAGGTCGAGCATGGTTCAGACGTGTATAAAATGGTTAAGTACTGGTGGAGTACAAGTTCAGACTGTTAAGTATGGTTCAGACTACAGTCGAGTATTATCAAGTAAATTTCAGACCAATTCAGACTGGTCGAGTAAAAATCAGTACAGTCGAGTACAGATATAGGCCATTTCAGACTTTTACTGGTTTGTAGTGATACCTTAATATAACAGAAGGTACCTAACTCGTATATTTGAGAAATGTCACCCGGTCGCGAACTTCCGTCATATTTTGATTTTGCGTTGTCTATCCCACTGAAACTTGTTATCCCGTAAATCTACATTCAATTATCTACAACGATGGTGCATAACACGCCTATTTCTATTATCAGAATCATTCGCAATAGGTCTTCAAAGTATGCCAATCGTAATTATTTTGTCTTCTCTCTTATAAAAAGTATTTCCCAAAAACCTGTTAGTTTTTCTCTGAATAGAAGTTATCATCCAGTTAGTAAATTTGTAAAAGACTCCGTGAAAAAATCTAATAAGTGTTATTTGAGGTATGTCTAATGAGTTACGAGTTTCTATTTTTAGACTCAAATTTTCCCATTCCATCAATTTCATTCAGACTCTCTCTGGGCTTTACATATAGAATTGAGATAACTCAGAAAAACATATATTTTTAGCAATAAAATTTGACCAATCGGAAACCGATATATGTATAAGAGAGGGGAAAGATACCAAAGGGACAATTATAATTTATCATTTAATGCGAACCTTATATTTACAAAGCGCTGTGAGAAGACGAAATAATTACGGTTGACATACTTGGAAGGCCTGCTACGAATGATTCCGACAACAAAGGTAGGCGTGTCATACACCATTGTGTAGATAAATCAATGTAGTTTTACGGCATAACAAGTTTAAATGGGGTAGACAACTGAGGAATCGAAATATAACGAAAGTTCGAGACCGATTGTCATTTTTTCAAAAATACGAGTTAAGTACCTTGTGTAATATTAAGGTATATAGGGAAAAAAATCAGATACAAGTGCCTGTGAACCAGACATACAATATAGTTATTTATAGTTAAGATTAAAAAGTAAAATAATAAAAATACCGAACTCCAAGGAAAATTCAAAACGGAAAGTCCCTTATAAAATGGAAAAATCAAAAGCTCAAACACATCAAACGAATGGAAAACAACTGTCATATTCCTGACTTTGTACAGGCATTTCCTTATGTAGAAAATGGTGCATTAAACCTGGTTTTATTGCTAGCTAAACCTCTCACTTGTATGACAGCCGCATAGAATTCCATTATATTAACAACAATGTGTGAGCAAAACAAACAGACATAATAGGTACAAAATGTAAAAAATTGGGATGCAGCAGTCAACATTGTGTTATAATCTTAATCACAACTATGTCAACAAAGAAAAACAAAATGGCATATAGACACTCTATAGACAAAGCACATAATCAAACATGAAAGTATCAAATCCTGCCTCTGTCTCCAGTCCACATCTTACTGCATGCCCATTTATCTATAAAAGTTCACAATTTCTGCCTCAAATGGTCAGTTTAGATATCTTGTCACAATGATATCATCTCTAACCATATATATAATATAATTTGGCTAATATAAACAAAGCCATATTTGCAAAAGTTGTATATATGAAGTTACGTTTGATACATAAATTCATTAAAAGTTTTATAGAACTAACTGCTATAATCTGTCTTTGCATAAATTCAAAGCTAGGTTATTGTTTTCTGTACAAAAGACCTTTATAAAAATAAAAGCATAGCCATCATAGGTTAAATCATATGGTTTATGACCCAGGGGTTAGGGATTTTTCTCTGCTTTTTGCCACTGGGGTCTCAAATTTGCTGATCATTTTTACATTAACAGTTTTTTGCTTAGTTTCTTCTGTTACCTATTCTGATATCGGACTCGGACTTCTTTTAAACTGAGTTTTACTGTGCGTATTGCTATGTGTTTGTTTATTCTACATTGGCTAGAGGTATAGGGGGAAGGTTGAGATCTTACAAAACATGTTTAACCCCGCCGCATTTTTGCGCCTGTCCCAAGTCAGGAGCCTCTGGCCTTTGTTTGTCTTGTATGTTTTTTTAATTTTAGTTCATTTACTAGTATATGTTTCGGAGTTTAGTGTGACGTCCATTTTCAATGAACTAATACACATTCTTGTTTAGGGGCCAGCTGAAGCCCGCCTCCGGGTGCGGGATTATCTCGGTGTGTTGAAGTCCCAATGGTGGCCTTAGGCTGTTTTCTGCCCTTTCGTCGGGTTGTTGTCTCTTTAACACATTCCCTATTTCCGTTCTCAATTTTATCTCTCTATCTTCTATAGTTTTTGCAAAATTAGGCAAAAAAAGAAAAAGAAAAAAAAGGGCAATAACCGAAATAAGGAGTCGTCTGACGATTTCGACCATGTTTGAATTATTTGTAGATCTTGTCTTGCTGATCATTTTTGCTATTTAAAGTTTCTCTCTATCTATCACTGCTGGTAATCTACACAAGCAGAACAATCGGTTCTGCAATGAAAACCGTGAGAGGGTTTTCCGGTTATGCTTGAGTGGAGTCATTGTCGCCACTTCGCAAGGTATGTACATTTCTAAAATCGCAATTTTCTAATTCAACTGATCAAATTATGCAAATCGGGGAATGCTATGCTGTGGTGAATGCTTTCATTCAGAGACACATGTATCGTTTACTGTTGTGCATGGAGTTAAACTCCTGCAAAATCAATCGTCCCACGAGAAATTGCCTCAGGGGAGGGTTAGACACTCGCAAACATATTTAACCCTACAGTGGTTGTCTTTGCTGTCTGTCATTTTTGTTTTCCGTTTGTTGTCCTGTCATAAATGTGGCCGTTAGTTTTCTCCTTTTGATTGTTTCACATTCGCGTTTAAAAAGGGGGACTTTTAAAGCTGAATTTGCGGTATGGGGTTTGCCTATGCTGTCCTATAGTAGCTTACATCCACGTTATTTGTACTCTGGTGGATAGTTGTCTTATTGTCAATGATACAACATCTCCTTATTCTTATATCCAATCAAAGCTTGTACTGATATCACTCTTGAAGCTGTATTTCCCTTTCCGATATAAATGGTTATTGAATGTTATTTAATATCCCTTTGAGTTTTTTAGTACATCATTTATTCTCTAGTCTTTGTTTCTTGTAAGTAATAGAACATAGTTTCATAGGCTTCTACAAAGCGGTTCTAATTATGTATCAATGTCTGATATAATAGCTTCAGAATTAATTAAGGTGTCTGAAGCCGAAATATGGATTCAGCTGGATATAAATGTGTAATAGATATTATCTTTGTTTTAAATAATTTTTTAAAAGGCATGAGTTATTAAGTTGGATATGGAAAATAATAAAAATATCAAGCAAAGTGTTTAAATTGTGTCTATAAAGTCAAAGATGAAATTTCATCAAACAGTATTGTCAAAGATTATGAACTATATGAACTCAATTCTAATTACAACATGTACAACTGAACCCATCCTTAGGCCGAGTTGTGTACCCGATATTTGCAAATTGAAATATCGCAAACTATATTTTTTATTTCCTTTATCAATATAAAAATAAGATTGGTTGATGTTTGTTTTGTGTCCAGTGGCAAATAGTTCAATCATGTTCAGGACGAATATAAAAATAAGGAGTTATGGTATGATTGCTAGCGAGACAAAAATATAAGCCAGAGTTCAAATAAAATGGATGTAAGCAATTACAGGTCACCGTACGGCCTTCAGCGATTAGAAAAAAACCCATACCGTATAGTCGGCTATAAAAGGCCCCGACATGACTAAATGTGAAACAATTCAAACGAGAAAACTAACGGCCTAATTTATAACAGGCACATATATATTGTGGCGGGGTTAAACATATTTGTGAGCTTACAAAGGAACGTCAGTTACGAGGAACAAATAATTATAGGTTGACAAATACGCCACTTCGAACCTAAAACAATCTTTACAAATTCCATATAACAAAATGAAATAAATTTCATCTACAACATGTGTTCCTAAGTAAAACACTCGTAAAAAGGTCAAAAGTTTTAAAACAATTAGTCCATTTAACATGCGTGTTGTAAATTGTAAATATCACATTAAAATAGTTTTCCTCTTCTTGGAATCTATTAAAATTATCTAAGTTTAGTTTCTATATATATTACATTTAAAACCAGGAAGTAATTTGCGATTGAGAGTAATAACCAAAAGTATGAAATGAAAGGTAAGCATTGACCTTTGATTATGAATTAATTCATGACAAATTCATTAGAGATGTTCTTCTATGTCTTCTTCAACGATGTTTTACAATATTAATCTTCATTTCTGCTTTCGCTTTATTTCCCTGTGTATAAATGGCGGAGATACCTTCAAAACAATATGGGGTAATATAATTATTCATCTTTTTTATGTATAGGACCGTAGAGTGTTTCGTAAATGGGTTACGCATGTGGTATCATAAGAGAATGGTCTATTAGGATGGAGTTGGGGTGTGGGGGGAATTCCATGGAAGCTCCGAGGATTTATCATTCATAGACCCAATTGCAAATCAGGCCATGCATTAAGCAAATCAGTCAAGAGTCTGCATCAACCTTTTTTACAACGGTTCCGGGGTACGATTGCACTAATTTTTACCCCCTCCTGAATCTTTTAACATTACTGTCGACAAAATATGACATGTATTGACCTGTAAATTGTTTAGGCCATATTTTTGATATTCATTGTCAAAATCTCCCTGCCTCTCCGCAGGAGATGTGGTATGATTGACTGTGAGACAACTTTCCACCCGAGTTCGAATGAGGTAGATGTAAGCAATTAAAAGTCGATTTACGGTCTTTAACAATGAGTAAAACCCATACCGTATATATAGTTAGCTATAAAAGGACCCGACATGACAAAATGTGAAACAATTCAAACGAATAAACGAACGGCCTAATTTATAACAATACAATTTACGAAAAAGAAATTATGACAGACATGCAACGAAAACCAGTTAATTACATGCTCAGGACTTGCGACAGGCACATAAAGAATGTGGAGGGATTAAACATATTTGTGAGATCGCAACGTAAGCTTTATTTTTTGATTTTAGGAGAAATAAACGTAGGCACCAGTCAGCTCAAATACAGACGATAAACAGGAGTACCGATAACAGAATGGTAAGTGAACTATATCGAACCAATTGAGATTATTTCACACTTTGCAGCATGGATCTACTTTATTTATTGGCAAGATCACTTTTCATATGTCAACAAACCTTTCCCGGAGTATTAATAGAAATGAAAATTTTTTTTTTTGGCAGAACAACGTTTTGCAAGCATTACTAAGACGGTGTTGGTTCAAATAAACAAAGATTTCTTCTTGATAAACACAATTTATATGAGAAAGGAGGGTGCATGTGTGATAAGATCCTTAGTTGGCCTAAATTACTGAAATTTGAACATGTTGAACTTTTGATTTTAGTTTATGGCGGTCTGATATTACAAATTTTCCTGCGACGTGGCTGTTCTTTCACATAAAGAAATAATTCTTTCAACAGATGCTTATTTTAACATGGGTAGGCATCATATTTGTCAATATCTTTAGATCGAGTTAAAATGATGAAAAATATAATGCTTACCCTTGTTGAAATAAACAAAGAGCATGAAATGAAAACATATTTCCATTCTAACAATATGCAATAGTAAGGTTCAGAACTCTTTTACTTCAAAGCTGACTTATAAGACACGTTCGAACGGCAACCATTTTGGTTTGATGAAGCAAACACTTTATATGAAACCAACCGTTTCACTTTCAAAAAGTTTACAAATGAACGTATTCTTACTTTTAGAATGATCTACTTAATTTCCTAACGGACAGTTTGCACCAGCAGACATAGTCCATTTATATCTCCGCTAGTAATTTTTTTTACGCACGTAGGGGCGTAGCTAGACTAAAATTATGTGCACGCCGATGTACCGCCGTATATATTCAATATACGGATATGGACAGTAAACTGAACATTGCTAGAAAACAAAAAAATATTGATGCTAACGTTAACGTTAATAATGTAATACAAATAGACAGGAAATACGAAAAAAAAAATGCAAAACATTGTTTAACAAAATTTTTATCTGCTAACCGATTCCCTGTGACGTGCACCCTTTGATTTATTGGAATTCGAACATGCCTTCTCTGGGTTTGTAAAAAGCAATGTTCTAATTCCAATAAAATATAGACTTATTTTTACATTCTACATCAGTGAACATTTTATTTAAACTAAATTGAAGAACTTAATGAACACGCGTTTATTGAACTGCTTTAAAAGGTATATGATGACCGTAAACACAGAACACACGATTCTGGAATAGCTTTCATCCGGGACGATTTGAAAACCCCAAAATACAATACCAAAAGGGCATAAATCGTTGCTGGAGGGTGTTACAACCAAGAACTCAACCGCACAAAATTTGAGAATCGGAAAGTGACTACAAATGTAACAAAATGAGTCAATAAAGTTACCGAAGCACCTTCTTCCTGGCTTATGGTACACTCGGAGAATGATATAAAGTTCACAGCTGGTAGTAAATCAAAGGATATAATAATATTATTTGTGCACAATACGTGATTTTAGAATGACATGTACTAGTAATTGAACCTCGACGTTAATGCGCTGTTCGCACTGAAATCGTCACATGTTTATAACAACTGAAATTGGTGTTTACAGTAAGATGTTCACATCTTATTTTCATTTTATTCAGAGCGACGAAAGTCTAATAAATATAGAAGAAGACCCAGGCCCGCAACCGAAGAGGAGGAAAATAGACATTCAGAATGTGCCTATACGGTACGTCTCAGTGATCAATTTGCCATTCCACTCATAAATGTACACTGTCAAATTTAAAGAAAGTTAACAAAGTCCAGTATGTCATTAAAACATATAGTTTGAAAAATTGGTCGATTTTAAGTTTTTGTTTTCGACGAGTGGTGTGTTTATTTCGGTAATCTTCCTGCATGTTTTAAAATTATGTAGTGGTTTGGTCGTTATCACCATATGCAACTGGCAAAGGTATCTGTCTGTACGTATTGACTGAACTTTAGGCTTCAAATTTAGGTATGGGAATATGGGAATCCTGTTTGTCAATAGATTTAACTGTAGTGTTTATAATGAAAGTGAATTCATAGATTAAAAAAAAAAACATCTATCAAAATTGCCAGTGGAAGGCGCCATGGTGAAGTGCTGTCGCAAATTGTAATTGATTTAAAAATTGAGAGATTAAAAAAAACTGATGAGAGAATTTAAATTCAGATGCCCTTTATATGTAACGTTTATGCAGAAATAAATTTAAAGTGATTTCCAATTTACTAACTGCTCTTAAACTTTAAGGAAATGACATACCTTTATGGTCCTTTCTCCAGGGTCCTTTAAGAAACGTTCAGATCAAATATACTACGAAGAATAATACAATATTCATTACATATGTTGTGTTTTATAAGAACTCATTCAAGGCAAATCTTCCTGAAAACCATATGTAATGTTGAATACGAGTTTTCCTAAAAGCAGCAGATACATTCTTTAGATATAGGATCTGATAGGAAAGTACATAAAATAGTATTGTCTTATTTGAAACAATTTAGCCATTTAAAACTAAACAGGAATCATAATAAATCCTCTCAATTTCAATATAATCTCCAATAAGAAAGCCTCTCTACGGATAAACTAGTTTTAAATTACTGGTACTCAAAGCAACTCACTATTAGGCATGTGACTTTAATCAGGTTCATCTTACGGGTACAAATATTTTTAGAATCGTAAATTTTTATGAATAGAGATGTAGATGGTTAGAATTTCAACTACAGTCTACGATGTCGCTTATAAATCTTTTGCCTATAAAGAGGAATGAAAATTAGTCCACTAGTAAGGGTCAACGGAGGGCATACAATACTTAACGCCATTTACATTACATTATATATCTTACTGGTGTCCAAGAAAATTCATCATAATGATATTAAACGAGAATGTTGTATGTAACAAATCTAATGTTAATGTTCATGTGTATAAAAGTGAGAGAGAAAATACGGTACAAAGTCCGAACATGACAGTCATTTGCCATTGTTCTATCCATTTTTGGCCATGTATTTAATATTAAGATACAAGAAAAAACACAATTTTGTTGATTTGTTTTATCCTTAAAAACTTTTTTTTTCAGGTTGAATGAAAAATAAATCTATTGAAAATTTTATATTGTAGATTGGTTTTGGGTGAACCTTTTCGAAGATTTTGGAAATGCCTGATGTCGACATTTCCCTTCAGGTAATAATTTTGACATTTTAGAGTAGTACGCCAGTTTAGCAATTCACAAACGCTAAATTTAACTACAAAATTTATTCTCTTACAAATTGTTGTTGAGATGATACAGTTACGTCACGCATGTCGTTTGTGCCTCTTTCTAATTTTCTGTCTCTAACAACTTTGCTGGCACAACAGAGCTTTGTTCTTGAATCAGCTCTTCGTCAAACCTATTATAGTGACTTACCATGATAGTTCGATCATGGAACCATTTAAGTCCTCTCCTTTATACACAATGATAACAATATTATATTCTTGATAACTGCTGTGATTTCCAAGTCCTTTCATGTATAAGTTCCAGGTTTGTTGCATTTTATACATTAAAAAAAAAAGACCTAGTGAACATCTTCCTAAGGAGCTTTACAAATATCTACGAGAAACGGTTAAATGTTTACTTTCAGCCAATCGTTGTTTGGAAATATAAATGTATAAGGAACTTCAAATGTGAAAGTAACTAAATAGGACAGCTCATTCAATTCGACTTTTGCCTTGGGGCGATAGCCTGGGTTTTAGTACAATTGCATAATTTGTAAACTGAAAATTTACAATGAAAATGGATCATTCTAATTACGCCAATGTCAAAGTAGATGTACCGTCCGGTACCAGAGTACGTCAAAGTCTAATAAAATGTTATGTCTTGGATACATTAGTATTGCATTATTTCATATATTAAGGTTAATATAGATGTAGTGTTAATATTTGGTACGAGTGATATTGAAATCCTAGAAGACATGAAGATTTAAAAAAACCTTGTTATACCTCATTGTTACATGCCTTTTGAGAAAGATAGTTTTATAACTGATTCACGCAATTTAGGGATCTTAAATGATGTATATTGACATACATTTATATGTGTAAGAGTTGCTGTTACGTAATGTTTACTAAGGTAGTAAAACGTAACACACTATTTTGTAGGACATTAGGAAGATGTTTATTACGTTGCTGTAAATGTGTTTTACGCATTTTTGGCTTTTCAAGTTGGATGAGGTAAAGTTATTAGACTGTGTATGTGTATCCTTCGAGTCACTCTTTCCTATGTGGTTTGTTCCTCATGCTTCCAAAATACTTATGGTTATGGTACCTTTGTTATAATATTCTTTCATATACTCCTCGACTAATATCATAATTCGAAACATTAGTTACCGCTAAAGAATGATCAAGAATGTATATTGATAGCCACTATGTGACACTTTACTGTCTGATGGGTAGGTATAATCATTAATTACAGATACATTTGTACTCATCGAAAATGAAATGACTTAAGTTTGTGAAATTCAAAATTTTGCATTCAAATTAAGATTCATAACTGATTCATTTACAAATTCCGAATAAAGTAATGGTCCAAACTTTATATTACTGGATTCTGCATGTTAAAATACCTTTTCTCATCTGCATATAGAATATAAACACGCCATGTTTACATGAACAAAACATTCCAGAAAAGGGATGATAATGCAATTGTAGAATTATTTTAATTGACGAATATGAAGATATTTAAGGTTAAAATTACAATGCCGTTATGTATAAATCTTTAGGAAAAGAACACAATCAACGGACAGCGAAAATGATGATCTTCTAGATCCGTAAGTAGTAGTTGTAATGGTAGTATATACCTTTCCTGTATCACTTAATAGTTATTCCGTTAAATGAAGATATACTTTACAGTGTAGTTGTTAGCACCATTTGGCGTATAAATTTTTTTCTTCGTGTACGTTAAAACACATTCTTTGTGATTCATTATTCAAACATTTGTCATATCAAATTGGTACTCCTTATACATACCGTGAACAATAAGGTATATATGTCTTAACCAATGTGACCGTCCCATTTCAATAACATTTGAAAATTTTAATAAGTCTATATCCGAACATCTGGTGGAGAGTTGTCTCATTGGCAATGCTACCACATCTAATTTTTATACTGAAGTCAGTTCTGATTGTATCTGTTTGAAAAACTACAAGTTCCTCGTTCAGTATAATCATAATACGGACACAAGGTTATCTCAAAATAAAAAGATGGGTTCCAATGACAGGAGCGAAACTTTTATATGTTTATACCAGAACTCCTGTTTGAGTGTATAATAGAAAAGAAAGGATATGGGGTATCAAACATTGATACAAAATCATTATATGCACAGCAAAACACACAGCGCTTTTATTGCTTTTCTTTATCTCAAAGTCACAGTGAGGCCTTCAACAAGGAGCAAAACAACTCCCACCTCACTCTAAGTTTAAGACGGCCCCTAACACCGGATTGAGTGGAATTCGTTGCAAAAATAATTCGGGTAGACTTTGCAAGATGTAACACCACCAACTCGGGCGCGGTAAAAAAGAACATACTTGAAAGTAATACATATTTAAAACAAAAAAGTTCCTACGTATTGGTGTAAATATCAAACTATGTAGAATATATTTTGGTAATTTAGATATTAAATGAAAGATGAAGAACTGTTGATCCTTGTAGAACACCTTTTGACTGATAATTTTGAATAATACAATAATGTATGAATGAATTCTAAAATTGAGGGCATATATTGCCTGTTTCTCAGATATGAATAAAAAATCTCGCACCTGTGGTTCCAATAATCCATTGATATATTTCCAGGTATCATGGTAACATCTATGAGTTCGAAAAATGATCATATGATCATCTGCAATTCATTCACTCACACAAATAAAAGACCATGTGAATTATTCGTCAATGAGACAGCATTTCAACGACATGTAAACAACCAATAGACATCATGAAATCAACAAGTCCTTAACTATACACGGATATCTGAGAACAACTAGTCAGTGATTTGCATTATATGACACTCAATGTTAAAGCTACATTCACGAGGAAATTCAAAACCAAAAGGGAATACAAAATTTAAAAACTCATCAAAGATAACAGGTTAATAATTTTGTACGCCAGACACGCTTGTCGTCTACAAAAGACACACCAGTGACGCTCGAATCCAAAAAATAAAAGGCCAAATAAAGTACAAAGCGAGTTGTTATCGTAGTCCAACAAGTACAGTTACAAAATTAATAACGGGAAATTTTAATTAGAAATATTTAAATACTAATAATGTCTTTGCAAATGGTAGTGACTGTGGCTGACAAAGTACTTGTTGCGATACCTACTAATGACTATTTGTTACAATTAGTTATTTCTATATTTCTTATTCAATTTAAAATCCAAATTGATATTTTTCACAAGGGCAAAATTGTATTTTTTTCTTTCTTTCTGTTGTATAAACGCTACAATTATTTAAATGGTGTTATAATTTAAGCTCAGAAGAAGAGAAACAAAGGCTAGTAAACGAGATACGAAGTCTGCAGTCACAGTAAGTTGCTTTGTTTTAACATTTTATACTTTCTAATATAATTTCAAACCAGTTTTAGGTACGCACAAACACTCCCTCCCTCCTTTGCTCATGTAGACTATATTGTGTACCATGCATGTGAGTTTACAATTATTTAGTGGCAAATATTTAGGATGTGTATTCAGTTTAACTGTTCATTTGTTGGATGAACAGTATTTTCGTGAAATTTTATTTTCTATCTAGCCATTGTTAACTTGTGCAAATTATCTGCGCATATGTAGAATTTCCATAGCCCATTGTTATTGTAAGACTTTCAAGATACATAATTTAGTCATGATAATTAATTATATGTGCTCATGTATAGAAGTTCATTCACACTTGGTTATGCTTTTAATCTGTTACTTTTAAAACAGATGGTTGAATACCGACCAAATAAACTAAACCACAACTCCAACAGAAATGATATACTTGTAAAATGAAAATTTTCAAGTTGAAAAAGTTGGAATGAAGCAATCCATCCTGAATTAGTTTGAATTATGTTTAAAGGTTATCTAAAGCTTGTTTGCCTTTTGATTGTAACATGAATATTGAATTTCTAAAATAATAGTGTTTGTTTTCAGTTAAAGATGAGGTCACTGTAATTTTTTCGAGCTCTTTATTGTGTAAATATATACAAATATTTCTGTTTCTATCTTGTTTTGTTTGAGTAATTGTTTCGTTGTATATTTCAATTGATATCATACTTAGTTCATACTGGAGTGAAATTTCTCGTCTAATCCTGCAATTTGATTGAGCAAAAACGAAGATCAGAATTGTTATTGATATTGAAATCAGAACACTCCAGTATAATATAATTTTTATTAGGGCTTTAGATGAAATATCGGCTCATATTCCCTGTCAGTGCCTTATATCCCATTTCGCCTGGCGGTCCAGGAGATATAAAACACTTTTATGGAATACGAGCCCATATCTCCTGTGAATATCCCGATTAATATATAATGTAACGGTTGATACAGGGTACTATATATGTCTCTTGGTTATCATGCTTCTATACATTACATTTTGTTGGTTTTCGTAGCATGTAAACTTTTCTATATTTTTTGAATTTCTTTGTACTCTTCTCTGACCGGTTGTTTATTTGTTGTTAGATGATAGAAAATTACTTTTACTCTTTATAGATTTTTTATATGTATTAGAAAAAGTATTAAAAAAATACCGAACTCTAAGGTTTATTCAATAACGGGAATCTCAATAAAAAGTGACAAAATCAAACGCTCCGACTATATCAACCAACAGAACGAATGGAAAACAACTGTACATGTCCTGTTCCTGGCTTTGGTACAGGCATTTCCCGGAGAAATGGTGGATTAAACCTGACTTTATAGCTAGTTAAACCTACGATCTATGACAATTGTTTATAGTTCCGTTCTATTGACAAAATTGGGTGAGCAACTCAAACAGAAAGAATTGGTTAACGTGACAAAAACCGGGATAAGACAGCAATAGATGAGGTCACACAATAAGAAAATTCTTCTGCTGATCATTTCAAGCCATTGTATAATTTGGCCTACATGTAACCTTAAACTAATCAAAGAAACAGGTTGTGCATCTGCGCCCCGAGATATACAATATTTTCTTATCAAACTCTTGAAAATTGAATATCAAATATTCAAAAACTTTACAAGTAAAATTCGAAAAAATAACATTTTAAGATGAGATATATTTTCCCAATAGATGCAATGGAACAATATCTCTCTTTATATTTTATATACAAGTCGATCTGAAATGTATAGTAATTGCAGACTTAATATGCAAACCAATGCATAAGTATGATAATATATTTGATGTTTTAAATTATTTTCATCTTTAATGTTCGTAGGTTTGATATTACATACACACTTTCGTTTTCAGACTGAATGATTTAGACAGGAAAAATAATGAACTTCTAAACAGGTAAAGGAAACAATGGAATCTTTAAACAGTATAAGTCTACTGGTATCTTTTACAAAAATAAAGGAAAGTATATGCTCTCATATAATAAAGTTTTATAGGCAAGGGATTTTGGTTCTCAAAGCGATAATTCCTGTAGTGTCTATCAAAATGTCTAATCACTGGTTCGATTGCAATTGTAAACACTATGTACAATGTTCTGTAACATTTTTATTAGTCATGGATAAAGAATTTCGATACTTTAAAAAAAAAGAATTAACAAAAATACCGAACTCCAAGGTAAATTAAAAAGGGAGAAGTCCATAAAACCTTTCAAAATCAAACGCTCGACTATATCAACTGCGTAATTACTTAATATTTGTTAAAACACTTGTCAGAAAAACGTTCCCATATGTAGTTGAACATATACTGGATTTAAAAGTAAATGTATAAAATCCATGTGTTGTTTAGAAGCCAATATATAGTTGTGACATTGTGGTGTTGAGTAGCTAGAAAATGAAATGAACAGAATTCGGAATGATGAATTTGAGTTGCCATACATTATTGATCCTATTCTATGCTTCTGATTTAAAGCGTTATATATTTCTTCTTTGTCTTATAGTATAAGCAGTATGTTCTAGAAAAGCTTAGGAGACATGGATACATGGACATTGTATATAACATAATGCTTGCTGTATTTTATAGCATCCCTACAAAAATTGTAATTACTGACTTACCACAATTATAAGAAATATTAATAAATTCCGTTTTCTTCCTTTTATTCAGAATATTTATCTATTATATTGAATATGACCAATATATGTTTAAAATGTTATTTTTTCAGCCACCAGGAAGAAACAAGAAGAAACCAAGGAGAAATAGAACATTTTAAACAATTGAATAGAAATAGTGAATTTAGGTAAAAAATATGTATGCATATATAAAGTTATATATTTGAAACTGCAACAGGTCGTTTAAGCAAACAATTGATAAATCAAATAATCCAATGTGATATCAACAGATAATCTAAATCATTTATATAAAGAAAAATTCGTTTATTGTTAGTGTGGTTTTATACTTTGTAAAAGTAGGACTATGTATTTGGACTTAAAAATAGTTCTTGTTATCCGTCTACATTAATCGATAGATAATTCTATATTTGTGGATAACTTAAGTTTTATGAGGAGTTTATGCCAATATATATATACTGTTGACGAATTTACTTTTTCGGTTTAACTGAATAATGATAAAGACATGTTTTGGTCCATTGCTTTTGTAAATCAAGAAGTATTTAAAGATGTCAGATTCCTATAAAAGTTTATTAATTTTTCTTTACGAATATAACCTTACTTTGATACATTTCTATTTATATGCATAAATAAGCAACAGCATAACCAGATAAAGGTTATGTATAAAGATGCGATTGAGAGCCAAACATCTTTGGAATGTTTTGTATCTTTGATGAGTTTTTACTTGCATTTATTGCGAACCCAATGAAAGTTTTCCACAGTGCCATCTCTATCTTGACCAGGTATTTAAACTTTTGCAAGTTCACCTGTCCTATTGAATAGATACAATAGCTATTGTTCTCTGTGTAGTTTATTCTCTGGGACCTTTAAATTTCTTCTAAGAGAAATCTATCATTCATTGATTAAATTACCTGAGTAAAAAAAAAATCTTATATATAGACAAAAATACTGTTTTTATACTCATTAACTGCGTGTGATGATGTAGTTATTCAATATTATTGCGAACCCAATGAAAGTTTTCCACAGTGCCATCTCTATCTTGACCAGGTATTTAAACTTTTGCAAGTTCACCTGTCCTATAATTTGAATGAATACAATAGCTATTGTTCTCCATGTAGTTTTTTCTCTGGGACCTTTAAATTTCTTCTACGAGAAATCTATCACTCATTGATTAATTTACCTGAGTAAAAAAAAAATCTTGTAAATAGAGGAAAATACATGTTTTATACTCAAAACTGCATGCGATGTTATATTTATTCAATATTGATAATATATTTTCAATCGGTTGAATGTAAACAGTGATGCAAAGTTGAAACATTAATAAAATATAAAAAAGAAGATGTGGTATGATTGCCAATGAGACAACTCTCCACAAGAGACCAAATGACACAGAAATTAACAACTATAGGTCACCGTACGGCCTTCAACAATGAGCAAAGCCCATTCCACACAGTCATCTATATAAGGCCCCGAAATGACAATGTAAAACAATTCAAACAAGAAAACTAACAGCCTAATTTATGTACAAAAAATGAATGAAAAACAAATATGTAACACATACATGACACAAACAAACGACAACCACTGAATTACAGGCTCCTGACTCCGGACAGGCACATACATACAGAATGTGGCGGGGTTAAACATGTTAGTGTTGATTTATGTTATATTAATAATATATTTTCATTCAGTTTAATATAAACATTGATTCAATCATAAAAAGTTGATTTCTGACAAAACTTTCAACATTGTTCCTTTTAAAAAAAAATTTGTTTGACATGAATAAAAACTTGAAAATTATGATGTTCAAATTAAGATCTTCTTAAATGTATTCTATAACTAGACAAAAAAAAATCAAATTTCAATAGGAACATTGATAAAACTTTTGTTTGAAATCAACTTTTTATGATTGAATCAATGTTTATATTAAACTGAATGAAAATATATTATTAATATTGAATAAATACATCATCACACGCAGTTAATGAGTATAAAAAAAGTATTTTTGTCTATATATAAGAAATTTTTATTACTCAGGTAAATTAATCAATGAGTGATAGATTTCTCTTAGAAGAAATTTAAAGGTCCCAGTGAATAAACTACACACAGAAAAATAGCTATTGTATTCATTCAATAGAACAGGTGAACTTACAAAAGTTTAAATACCTGGTCAAGATAGAGATGGCACTGTGGAAAACTTTCATTGGGTTCGCAATAACTGACCAAAAAACTATTTACTCCATTTCTTGTCCATTAAAACCAAGTGTCACATGTGAATGATCTTCCAGCGACATCACAAATGACATTCTTGAACAAGAGATACCACACTATATTTTACTCATTTGTTGCTTCAAGTTAGTCTTTAGTTATCTATGTTGTGTTTTGTATACTGTTTGTCTATTGATTGTTTTCAATTTTAAACAATGGCGTTGTCAATTCGTTTTCGACATATAAATTTAACTTTCAAGTTGGTTTCTTCCGCCTCTCTTATCTTTTTGAAGGAATCGAAAACAATCCTATTTAAGCAACGTCATGGGCTAAATAACGGATATTTTATAGCTCCTTCGTTGTTGATAAAGACGTGTACCCATTTATGTCTTTTCAGGAATAACACGAATGAGCTAGTGGGTGTCATTTCTTTTAATCATTATACTCTCTATATGAAATATATTTTTTCCACAATTATATATTGATAGGATTGCTGAATTAATGCGAGAAAAAGATGAACTGATAAAGGCAAAAGACGAGGCACTTTCAAGGTAATAATGAAAAGGAAATACATTTTTACAAATACCCTATTTGTGTTTAAAGAGAGTAATTGTGATCGGAAAAAAATGTTAATATTTTTTCTAAATTACTTTTTATTATTTTTATAATTTTTTTTTAAAGGGAACATATTTTTACTTACTAGTAAATAAAGTAATCAGAGCCTTAAAAATGTTTGCACCTGCAACACTATGTGGTATGAGTTGTCTCATAGTCAATCTTCTGATTTTTATACAAGGCAAATACATGACATTTTATAGGTTAAGTGAGATGATGGGAGTAAAACTGAGAGAGAATAATCCTGCCATTACTGACTTAAATGATCCAAATCGTCCAATGAAACTTGGAGAACAGTTTAATGAGCTCTATGAAAATGAATGGACGGAAGCATTTCTAGATCTACAAGATTTGAAAACTGATGACACTTCCATTGATGAAGAATATGCTGTCACAATTTTACTTGATATATTAATGGTAAATAAATATGGAGTCATTTTCAAAATATCCATCTACTAGCCAGAGTTCGAACCAGTAACCCTCCATCCTACCAAATGAGCTAAAAGAGTATTCACTAGCCCAACTAATTTAGAACAGTCGAATGTCTAATTGGTTAAGAAAAGCACTGCTACAAACACTGTTAACCAGGGATAATTATTTCAGTGTGATTTATTAGTCATCCTTTATTAGAGACCAAAACTTTGGGGAGCGAGAGAATAATAACTCATTTTAAATAAATGAAAATTGTTTTTTTGAATATTTTAAAGACTACAGTTTATGAAAAGTACAAAATTTTAAATTCAGTTTCAATGTTCATTTAATTTATTCAATAGTTGGGTAGAAATTTATCATAAATGCAATTTCGTATTATATTTTCAATTAACATATGACTTTTTTCATAGGAGATAAACAAGAAAAGTATTGCAGAATCGACACTTCAATTATCAGGCTTGCTACAATCAGTTCAGGTCAGTTGATTAATCGCAATAGCTAAAATCTTAAACGTCTCTTCTGTAAGGTTTTCAAAGTATCAGTATCTTCAACTGTATCGTCCTGAACATGCATGAAATATTTGCCAATGGGCGTTAAGCAAACATCCATCAATCAATCTGTAACTGTACACTTGTTTTATTTATATATCTATACCATATCATCATGCATTTATTCATTTCAAATCAAAAAGACTTACAAATTTTTCATGAGATTCACAACTTTCTCCTCAAACGTTAATTCATCACTGTCCATTACATAATTATGCAATTTTGAAAATTATAAAATTTCCAAAATTTGTTCATACTATAACTAATAAAGACAATAATCAGATGTCAAAGTCGACTTAAAGAAAAAAGCAATATATATAAATATATAACTATGGATTATTTTTTCTTATTTTGTTTTGTTTGTTTAGGGTCTTCCTCCAGATGACACCTCAGATTTTATCAAATCAATCAAGGATGCGTATAAAGCTAATTCCTGGAAATATGTTCCCTTGATACAAAAGGTATGTAGATATATTTTCATCTAAGATATATAATAGTTAAATGTTATCTCCCCGAAACATGACAACAGAGTTTGTTTTAGTCTATGCAAAAGATCACTCATCTGTTCAAACAGCATAACAGAAGAAATGATATTATATAACTATTTCATTTTATTTATGTGGATTAAGCTTAATTAGGAACGCTCAAACCCAATCATTTGAAAGCCATTTGATATCAGAATGAAATTCATAGGTCTTATTTATTACTGTTTTGCCAAATGTAGAAGAAATTAACTTGACTTACAATACTTCAAATATTTGAATGTTGATAAAAAGCTGTCGGTTAGTAATTTAAATTTTGTAAAGCTACTTGTCCGTAGTTCTCATAGTCAGTAAAGAAGTTTTAATGTTTTTAACTTGATGGATTTTACCATTGAAATTTGAATTAATTTCTATTTCCTTATTTTAAGAAAATTACTGAAGACGTTTCACACTGCCCAACAGTAGTAAAGTATGTTAAATGCTGTGAGTCGTATATAGAAAACTGTGCAAAGATTTGCTACCTAGCTGCTGTACAAGATCCTCCGATGTTCTTTCAATTTAAACCAGAAGATGTGTACGATAAACAGGTGTTCAAAGAGTACACAACAATGGGACGCAGAGTAAAATTTTTGGTGTGGCCTGCTTTATTTCTGCATAAAGATGGTCCTCTTCTTTCAAAAGGGGTTGTGCAACCTTTACCAGATGTTGAATGAACCTTTATCCTACAAGTTACTTGATGACAACGATGTATATATTATACCTGGAACCATTTTATATATATGTTTTCATTCCATATTGCACGTAGTCTGTCATAAATGCGCGTATGACACATACTTGCATATCAGTAATAATTCACATTATTAGTCAGTTAAATTTAATAAAAGTTTTAGTTTTAAATGAGTTTTTAAGTTCTCAATATCAAACTGATTTTAATTGCGTTAAGCCCAGATTATGATTCAACTGAATTAGTTTGTCTGGTCGTCAAAATGTTTGTGTCTGGTCCTATTGAAGTATGGAGGGTTACTATTGGTTTGAGGTCATCGGTAAATGATCATATTAAATGAAAAAAAAAGCTTTACACACTTGGTGCTTCCTTTGGCTGTTGTTTGGATTATCCTTCAGCAGGAACGTTCAAACCCAAACATTTGAAAGCCAGGGATGTAGATACATGCAAAAAAAAGGGACATTAAAAGAATAGCCACATTCATCTAAGGTCAACTTTGTTTGACTGAGAGTTGTAACCTGTTGCCAATACAGCTATAAATTAAACGTTAAACATATTGGAAACAATTTGGTTTCTGGATGATATATTTAAATCGTACATTCATATTTACACTTAATATGGGGGTACTTTGTTCCATATGGTCAGAGAGATGGGTTTTAACTCTGTGGTCAGAGATCAAACTCACTGCAGTAGTAAATAATCTGAAATATTGGAAATTTTGCTTTAAAGGTAATATCTTGCTTGTCATATTACGAATGCGCGTAATATTGATTTTCGAAAGAGTATGCATCTTTGTTGGAATGAAAACTCTATTAATAATGTGATAACTAGAATAAAAGCTAATGTCCTGGCATTTATAGCTGGGATACGGCAAAAAAAAAAAACCACACATGCATTTTAGTAATTATACACTGATCACGATATGGAAAACTAACGAAAATGAATGTTGATGTTTAACTTATTCAAATAAGGAGATGTCTGATAGCTCATAATACAACTACTAGTATCGACCAAACACAAAAAATCAGGATGTAATCGAATGCAGATACCGAAGCAATTTTTTGATTAAAACCCATACACCAAATGACAAGTTGTAACCGACTACAGGTTCTATATGGTCTTCAATGATGCGAAATACCCATGCGTATAGGGGGCTACAAAAGACTCCAAGATTACAGAATAGTCTGTCGTTTCATAGCTGCAATCATTGAATGCTCTGATTTTAAGCCGTTTCATAGCTGGAATCATTGAATATTCTGATGGTTAGCTGTTTCATTGCTGGAATCATTCAATGTTCTGATGGTAAGTCGTTTCATAGCTAACATCATTGAATGGTAATCTGATGGTAAGCCGTTTCATAGCTGGAATTATTGTCTCTGATGGTCAGCCGTTTTATAGCTGGAATCATTGATTGTTCTGTTGGTTAGCCTTTCATAGCTGAAATTATTGAATGCTCCGATGGTCAGCTGTTTCATAGAATGCTCTTATGGTCAGCGGGTTCATTGCTTGAGTCATTGAGTGCTCTAATGGTCATCCATTTCAAGGCTGGAATCACTGTCTCTGTTGAATGCGCTGATGATCGTTTTCGGACGGAAACCACTTGCCCATGAACTTAATCTTTACCAGTGCTACGATAAATTTGACAGAATTTGTTATGTATCCGCGCTAAACAAGTAAGAAAATACCTTGCGGGTAATAAAAGATATAAGAGAGGCGAAGGATTGCAATGGGACATTCAAACTTATAAGTCAAAAATAAACTGACAACGTCATGGCTAAAAAAGAAAAAGACCAACAGTACACAAAACACAACATCGAAAACTGAAGACTGAGCAACACGAACCCCACCAATAACTGGGGGTGATATCAGGCAGATAAAAGAAAAAAAGACAAAAAGTCAAATTTCACTAAAACAAATCACGAAAGAGACGATCGACATAATCAAAAATGGGGTGCATTCAGCTGTTCTAGAAGTAAAATCACAAAAATACTGAACTCCGAGGAAAATTCAATCGGAAAGTCCCTAATCACATGGCAAAATCAAATGACAAAACACATCAAACGAATGGACAACAACTGTCATATTCCTGACTTGGTACAGGCATTTTCAAATGTAGAAAATGGTGGATTGAACCTGGTTTTATAGCGCTAAACCTCTCACTTGTACGACAGTCTTATCAAATTCCGTTATATTTACAACGATGCGTGAACAAAACAGACATTATAAATAAAATAGTCAAAATATGGGTACAGCAGTCATCACTGTGTTACAATATCAAAACAAACAATTATTTACCAAAAAAAGCACAAAAGCATCTATCAAATTAAAAACCACATTCATTGCTTCGCGTGTCTGACGTCAGAAAATGTAAACGTCATATAAGAAAAAAGTTTGTCATTCAATGTTTCTTCAAAACAATTTTATAATTTCACATGTGGAATGTTGGTATACTGGGTTAAAAAATCAAAAGTTATGTTAGAATTAATTTCAGAAATAGACCGAGATTTAAAATTGTCCAGAAGTTCTTTAGAATTTTTAAGAATCCACATATGGTAAATACCACTATGCGAGTAAAATAAATTTGTCGTTTGTCGTTCAAAGTATTTTCAAAGGAGTAGGTCCGGTAAGGGCCGATTTCGGCCTCAAAATTCAGGTTCATTTGATGACACATTTTGGACACTTTTTAAACCCTTAAGTGTCTACTTCAGTCGATTCAATTAGTTTAGGTGAAAGATTTGAACTGATTTAGTCATTAAAGACGCTCAAATTCAAGCTTAGATATGAAAATCTATCAAATATGCCGTAATATGTCACTTTTCAGATAGTTTCCGTCAAAAATGAAAGTGGCCGCATCCGTGTTCATTCTCAACCTTCATATATGTTATGTAGAGAAGACCTCTCTTGCTTTGCTATAGCTAGAAGCAACCATCAAATCATTTAATCTATTTTAAAATCGGAGATAATTGCATTTAGTGATGTCGTCACAAACATGGAAAGATCGAAAGGATTGTGGCTAAGACAATTACAACAACAAGCATCTGTACTACAGTTTTACTTGTAGTTACCATAGCAAAACAATCTAGGGATATCTAAAGGCACAAAAAAAGTATAACAAAAATACCAAACTCCAAGGTAAATTCAAAAAGGGGTCGTCCATAAACTAACAAAATCAAACATTATCAACCAACAGAACGAATGGAAAACAACTGTTATATTCCTGAAATAGATTGATTATATTTACTTCGTGCTTGGTACATCAGCATTATAAAAACTTGACGGACATAATCACTGATGATAAAAAAAACTATTTCCCAATTTAATTGTGTTTTGTTGTTGTTGTTGTTATTGTGTGCAATGACAGCTGTTTATTTATTTATATAATATTCGTGTGACTTTTTAATATAAATAAGCATGAACTGCATCAGACTATCCAACAGGAATAATGATCGAGTCATATTGCTATCAACCATTTTTGCGGAGATTATAAATTTTAGTTAGAAGGGAAGATCTAAATTTAAAACAAGCGCTTCTATTTCCTCGTTCTCATAACCTAATTCATGTTTTTGTGTGTACTTAAAATTTGAAGTAGTTGAACGAGAAGCACAGTAGTCCCCAGTATTTCCAGTATTCACTATCGAGACATTAACAACTAAATGTGTTCTTCAGTGATGGTGAAGCAGAAACAAGGACTGAAACTGGACTGTCACTGGAAAAAGGTGCAAGGAGCATAAGTTATCTTCCCAGTCAAACTACACATTACTGTGTATTACATATGAATTCTTCAAATCAAAACAGACGACCATGAGCACCATATTTTTCATTATTTATAGACAGTATTTATAGTCCTATCCATATTTATTTAATTAAAATAAATTGAAAAGAAGTATTTTAATTTATTTAGAACTAGGTATTATAAAGAATTAAAATCAAGATTTTTGTATTGTACATAACATGACACATATACCCCTTCTTTCTGTAGATTCTCAGTATAATAACCGTGCTTTTCATGAGCTTTTTCTATTAAAAGTTGTACTGACATAATAAACGATGCAGAAGAGATAATTATTTTTCATTTTTCTTTTATAACGAATGGTAATATTTCTCTATGTATTCTTTTTTGTCCTTGTTGTTGGTATTAAACTTAGAGCATACATGAGGCATTCGTATCATTATTTTATTTCGAATTTCAAAGTTTTTCTATGTTTACATAATTTTAAGTTTTCTTGGATAGATGACATTGGCGTATTCCTAATGTATTTCAATATACAGTCATGCAATGTTTCGTGCTCCCACTTTTAATTGAGAAGCTGTTACAGAATCATAAAACTGGAAGTATTTCTACAAAAACAGAACTGCGGAGGCATATATGCATACAGTTGGAGTTGAGAAAATGCATATATCAATTGTTGTAATTTTACTTGTTGTTATTGTTACCAAACATTCTAATGGATACAGAAACTATGTGATTAGGCAAATGGAACAGAACCTTAATGATCTGAAGAAAATGAAATGGTGTGAAGGAAATGTACAAGGTATTTAACTCGTGTGTTTTCTTTCTTCTATTGTTCATTTTGTGTCTTAGTTCGACTTTCGAATATGTGTTTTAATAGCACTTTGGATGGGTATATTATCTGATGGATTAGGGTATAACGTCTAGCGACTAATTTTAATTGCATATTATGGATAGGACTTATTAATTATTATATAAACAAGATACCTGCTTTGAACTAAATCAACACCATAAACAAGATTTTAAACGTGTTAATCTTCTGATAACATATGATAGGAAGACATGCTACCCACCCGGAAAATTATGAGTCTGAGCGAAACAGTCTTCTTTGATCTTACTAATAAATGACACGTGTTTAGAGGAGAAGCAGCCAATATCAATTTGACGTCTCTGGTTCGAGCCGGTCGGCAATCGTTATCACGACCCCCTGTACTCAAGGGAAGCACGCTACATCGAGACCAAAGAGGCGTCAAAATGCTCCTCGGTAATTTCTTAATTATTTCTAAACATTGAAATACAATTTTCTCATTGTAAAATTAAATCTAATTGTTTTGTTATATATTTAACAAATGCTCTTGGAAAATAACATTTTCATTTTATAACTAAACTGACTTTCGTCGGTTTTTCTTGCATTTACAGCTAAAACAGGAGTTACATACGTTAGATGGGGGAGAAATACTTGCGCAGGGGATGCAACACTTGTGTATAATGGTACGTAAATTTTACTCCTTTTAAGATTCATATAATTTAGAATATACTGAGTATTCAAAAATTTCGGAACTGGAATGAGCAAATGGTCAAATACGGATTCAGTTAGAAATAAGCATGTAGACTATTTATTTATTATCCTTATAGACCGGAACGATTTAAAATTTGACACTTGCTATATAATTCTCATGTCTCATAAGTCGTTTTTATGGCTGGATATTGATTGTTTTATGTGTATATATTTATATAATGTTGCTTATTTTTATGTCAATCAATATATGACACTTTAACAAACTATTTACTTACTTTACTTACTATATACACCTATTTTATAGAAGAACGATTGCATCGTTTATAATGTCTTTTTGTAAATTGTATTGTTAAAATATTTTCTTATCGACATACTGTATACTTAACATCTTTGTGTATGTAAGAGAATGATAGTTCCCTTTTCATGATTATAAAAACGAGCGTTCACGATCATTGCAAGATTCCCAAATGCCCTGGTTGATTTTGATCTAGGAATTAGAATTATAATCAAACAAATAAATTCGTGGCCAGTGAGATTATTAATGTAATGTTAAGACATTTTAGTTCTGTGCTATAATTTAATAGTATAGAGAATTTCTTATTTTGTTGGAAATTTCAATACACACGTTTACACAATGCGATGAAACACAAATTATTCATTTGTTTTCCTACAGTTAGAGTAAATGAATTCAATGCTAGAGTTGCAACTGATCTTCAGTACCCTTTTGCCTCTTTTTTTCTTCATGCCAAATGCGTCCGTATTTTACACTTGACATCTAATACTACTTAACTGTTTTATTTTAGGATTATTGTCTAAATTCAAAATATTCAAATTTTAATAACTAGAAACATTCTGCATTTTACGACGTTCAAAAGTAAATTTCACTTTCTGCTGTAATTGTATAGGAATATTGAAAATAGGAACGGATTCAGAAATCGAAATTTTGAATTCGTGCTTTTAGCTAAATTATAAGTCAAAATATATCAAAGGGACAATAACTTCTATAAGTCGAAGAAAAACAGACAAACAAGATCTCAAGTGCTTCGGAAGGGTAAGCATATTTATATGTCATTTATAAAAATTCTGTTATCAGAATTGTAGGAAAGCAATAAGACCATTCCGTTTTAAAACATACTATACATACATTCTTCACAATTAAAAAAAACAATAAAATTGTACAATCATGAAAACAAGACGACAATAATTCTATACATAGAATTAGAATAAAACTGCATTTCACGGGGGACTCCAAGAATTAAAAGGCGAGGCAGAGGAGCTACACATAGAAAGTAAATGTGAATTTTGTAGGACGGATTTCATAATGTATAGAAAACATGTGACATAAATCAATAAACGCAAATATAGGCTTCTCAAAATGTATTAAAGTGATCCGACTAATAATGAAAATAAATTTAGAAAAGGCGACATATTCAAGTAAAATATGTGATTATTAAATCTCGTAAATCAATAGGAAGATACAAATCAACGTTTCAAACAAAAACTGAGGAAATCCCATGAACTTTAAAAAAAGGATTGAGACCGGGTGCGTCGACAGAAGAAACGTCTCCTATATTAAACAGACGAATAATATTTCTACATATGATCTTATCTCGAGGTTTGTTTTTAATAAAACATTAAAATCTATACATTTTAAACGATTTGTCTTGATTTTATTTTTATTATTGTAAGGTTTTATGGCTGGAAAACATTTTGCGAGTGGCGGAGATGGTGCTAATATTCTATGTCTCCCAAAAGATCCCGAATGGAAAAGGTATGCTAACGGTTTGAACCATTTAACTTCCAGAATTTTTGGACTAGAAATGGACATTTTACACAACAACCAGGCATTTGGAAGTTCGTCGAATGCAAAAAATATGCCATGCGCTGTTTGCAAAACATCCGGGAGATCAGCTGTCCTCATGGTTCCGGGACGAATGACTTGTCACAGCGGCTGGCACAAAGAATTTTCAGGATATTTAGTAGCACAGGCAAGTCAAACGGGACGAACTGCAACTGAGTATATTTGTGCAGATGAAAATTTGGAATCAGTTCCCGGTGGAGATAGAGATGATAACGAGGCTGTTTTGTACCCAGTTGAAGTTGGGGGCTGCGCTACTTTGAAATGTCCTCCTTACAAAAAAGGGCGAGAGTTGACATGTGCCGTCTGCTCACAGTAGACTAGAAATAATATTGAATAAAGTATTTATTAAGCAGAACTTTTATTTATCAGTATTTATAAGCTAGTATTATTTTCTTGGAGCAAATGTGTTGAGCTTGATCATTGCAGTCAATACGATTTAAAAAAATTGCTAAAACCTAAACCTCTAAAGCTTCCCCAGATGAACTATTGGCGCACTGCATTTCCTAATGTTATTTCAGTATTTTTTTACTTATTATTTCAATAGTGAAGATCTCCCTAGCTTTCACAAACTTTTTACCAAATACGAGTATAAAGCATAAAATTAATCAACGAACAATTTTGCTTTCCATGCAGAAAATCACTGCTGCTTGTCGAAAAGGGGAACGAAATTAAATAACTTTACAACCAATGGCAGTCTTTTTCCCTCTTTCGTTATCTAAGTTAAGGTGATCCTACATTCAAACAAGCTGAATAAAATCGGTATTCTGATCATGCATTTATCTAGTCAACTCTGATAGCTACAAGAACAAGATTATACCCCTTTCTAAGAGCGGGGACTACATTGCAATCACCTTGTCCGTCTGTTCTTCCAACAAATATTTTCGTTAATTTTTCTCCCAAACTAATTGACAGAATGATTTCATATTTGATTAATATCTTGACAATTTTAATGCGCGAGCTTTTTTTTTGGTTCTGTCAGATACCTACCTTCTGTTAACTGATACTTTCAATGTTCAAGATGTTGAATGATCTTAACAATTTTCGCCACACATTTCTACAATACCATTAAACAGAATGATCCATATTTGGTCAGCTACTCAATAGTGATGCGTTGTTTCACGTGTACAATTGTTTGATCTGTCAGACGCGTACTTCCTAGTTACCGTTACTTTAAATTATGAGTGGGTGTATGGTAAGCACGACAACATGTGTATTGTTGATCATTCTCATTTGAATATCCTACAGTTTTCTTAGTTCACTCAAAAATTCAGTTTATAAATTATAGATTTATAAAGTTTTATACATACGTCAGTACAAGTAGTTCCGGATATGTGATTCAATTAGATAAAAATAAAATATGAACACGAAATTAACCTTAGTAAAACAAATAATAGAAAAGTAATAGTAGTATTTATGACAATAATAATAAAAAAAAATTTTTGTAAACTTTCGAAGAAATTCGAAAGCACTAAACGTTAAAAGAGCTATAAGCTAAAACAATACAAAAGAAACACTTCATATAGAAAAGAAATAACAGTTGGGTCCTGTAATAAAAAAACACAAGCAGAAGAAAGAGACAACATCATAACCCAAAGAAAAATACGAACGGTAAAATAAGTCCATGCCCCTTCCCCCACAAAAAAAAACAAAAACAAAACAAAGAACAGATAATGGTTAAAAAAAATTCTAAAAACTCAGATGTTCTAGAAGGGTCAGACAATCAACGACTGACAATCTGTTGATAAGTCATCATCAGCAGTCAGTCGTTAGTTAACAGTAATTTCTTGTCTAGACCCTCTAGTTAAAACCAAACTAATTAATAAATTATCTAATCTTTTGTTCCAAACATAAAGAAATAGCACAGGTATTTAAAAACAAATATAGGATACCAAAAGCAGATGCCTCATGAACTTTAAAATTAAAGGTCAAGTGGATGGATATGCAGTTCAACAACTGGCACCTGTCATGTTTCTCGTCACAAGGAAACAATCGGTTTGCACTCTGTAGTGTCACACTCTGAGAAAAGATGACGGAACTCTGCGAAAAGAGGACGGAAGTGTTGCTTAATCAAATCAATGGTCATATGTACCACAGGAATTTCAAAATGGGCGGCCAAATCATGATGATGTTCATCAATCTTTCAAAGAGACCTCAACTATACACATTGGCTCAATATCTTCAGAAACCTTTTATCAAGTTATCAGGAAAGGGAACTCCAGTCCAATAACATCGTTTCTACTTGAAGATATATAATCCATATGCAGGTGCTGCCGAATACTGGAATAATACTATAATTTAAAAATTGATATGTGCTAATGATTATAATACTGCATACTAAATAGCAATGACTTATTAAATTATTAATACAAACGCTACATAAATACTTCTCTTATTTACTTTCCCTCTTCGTCCCCAGTTGGAAATAAGTCCACATCAAACACAATTATCTTTTTTTTAAATATAAAAGGAAGAAAATATAAATAAATATTCAAGAATTTATACATTTCAAATAGATCACATTTGTTAGACGCGTAAATAATGTTTCAGGAAGCCTTTCCTTCTGCAATCTTAAAAAGGGACTAATGAATGTGAAAAAAAACTGTTCTTATGTAAGTCACTTTTCCTTCTCACGAGATTTTTATAGTTAGTCAAGTAAACAAAACTATCCCTTGCTTTCTTTTCCTGTATCTTTTTCAGTTACAACAGCAATGATTTGTGCTCCGCTAGGATTAATTTTCAATTCAATTGTCTTGTTACTTTTCATTTCACCAAAAAATTCAAAATATATTATATTTTATAGGTTTAATCCTCCATTTTCTACATACGAAAATGCCTGTACCAAGTCAGGAATATGACAGTTGTTATCCATTCGTTCGATTTGTTTGAGCTTTTGATTTTGCCATTTGGTTGGGGACTTTCCATTTGGAATTTTACTCGGAGTTCGGTATTTTTGTGATTTTACTTTTTACATGTTTGGAAAAAAATTAAAATTTAAGCTGTGTTAATTTATCAAATTATACAGATATAAGTGGTGAATTGCTTACAGACATTTTCATATGTGCTTCACGTCACGAAAAAAAAGATCAAGGTTCCTTGAGAACGTTTAAAAAAATTGTGGCAAGCGTCATCATTTTATGTGACATTATCATGTTATTTCTCATTGGAAAAAAAACAAAACGAAATATAATTGGATTGTGAAACCATTTTGTCTTACCACACTATAAATAATTATCCCCGGCTTAGAATATTTCTAGGATTTTGATTGGATAACGCACGTCGTTACAAAACCCATAGCCCCTGGGTGTTGCTAACCCATATACCCGGACGTTGCTATCCATTACCCCGGGGAACGTCACGCACGTTTTCCTTAGTTCCATGGTTGTTCTTTGTGAAATATAGAATTCTGTAGATTATTCATGATGTCTGTAATTGAATATTTAATCCACTAACGATGTTATCTTATTTTGTCGATCATTTGCACCCATTTTAGTAAATGCATCACTTGGCTGCCACATTGTCTAAATGGGACTACTGACCTAGCTATGCAAATGACCCACGTTGACGTCACACCGTCTATGATGTAACTCTCACAACATTGAGCGCCAAATTCGACCCACTCCAGTTTCTCTGTCTCCGTATTAAAAACGTCTTATATTTGACTACCTGTAGGGTTCTACCAAAGGTAGTACCCTACACCCAGTAAAAGATATGTCAAGTTCCCAAATTTCAATAAAAGATTTTTAGAAAATGAAAAAAACGTTGCTTTCACGTTACACTTTGTGGTCGAATTTCTCTAATTTCTGTAAAAGGACAAGGGTTACTTTACACGCATGGACGTGACATTCATGCTTCACGAGTTGTCCCCAAAATTAGATCGGACATGGCTACGTATTAACATATTCCACATATTCAACGGTAATTTAGTGAGCACGAGTTTTACTGCTGGTCATGAAAAGTCATGGCAACAATAACACTAAACATAGAATTCAAGTAAAACTGCATTTTCAAATTTACCTCTACCAGAGACAGATGAGCTACATATACATAATGTATTTTGAAAAAATGTCAACCTTCTAGGGTGGAGTCGATAATGTATAGAAAACTTAAGCTGGGACATAGATTAATAAAAACAAACGTCGTCAACTCAAAACGTATCAAAGTGGTTCAATAAATAACACAAATTAATCAGATTATGACTTTAAAGCAACAGATTCTAATGGAAGATATGTAAAACAGACGAATAAAGAAGGCATTTCGCAATTGCTGTTTTTTTTTATCTTCGTGTATGATATACATATGATCTTATCTCGAGATTCTTTTAATTCAAAGTTAAAATCAATATATTTTCAAACGATTTGTCTAATGAATTTATATTTTCAGGTTTTACGGCGGGGAAACATTATGCGAGTGGCGGAGATGGTTCTAATATTCTATGTCTCCCGAAAGTCCCCGAATGAAAAAGGTATGCTAACGGTTTGAATAGGGGGACTTCAAGAATTTTTGGAGTAGAAATGGACATTTTAGACAACAACCAGGCATTTGGAAGTTCGTCGGATGCAAAAAATATGCCATGTGCGGTTTGCAAAACATTCGGGAGATCAGCTGTCCTCATGGTTCCGGGAAGAATGACACACCGATTGGCACAAAGAATTTTCTGGATATTTAGTTGCACAGGCCAGTGAAACAGGACGAACTTCAACTGAGTATATTTGTGCAGATGAAAATTTGGAATCAGTACCCGGTGGAGATAGAAATGATAACGAAGCTGTTTTGTATCCAGTTGAAGTTGGGGAATGTGCTACTTTGAAATGTTCCCCTTAGGTAAAAGGGCGAGAGTTGACATGTGCCGTCTGCTCACAGTAGACTGGTAACAATACTGAATAAAGTAGTTAAGCAGAACTTTAAGTCATTAACATTCATAAACTAGTATTTTATTGGAGCAAATCAGTAATGTTCGGTCATTTGTTGCGAAATGAATTACATCATACATATTGGTAAAACCCTCTCCAAAAACTGATTGTTTTATATCTTGAACATTGTGAACGTAGGTTAAAATACTTTTTAAAACCCAAACCTCTTTATTATCCCCGGATGAACTCTTGACACGCTGCATTTCCTTATTTTATTGCAGTCATTTGTTTACTCATTACTTTGATATTGATATCTCTCTAGCATAAGATAATCAGTAAACAATTTTGTGTTTTACTCGTCATATTGATTTCCTTGCAGCAAATTACTCGACGAAAAGTGGAACGAAATTATACAACTTTACAAGCAAGGTCAGTTTTTGTTCCTATATCGCTTATCTAATTTAAGGTGATACTACATTCAAATAAGCTGAACAAAATGTGTATTATAATCATGCATTTATCTGGTCAACTCTGATAGTTACCAAAATAATATTATACATATTATACATATGTGTTGACATGAATATCAATTATATGGCCATTTTTATAAATTTACTGTTTGCAAAAGTATGAATTATTCGAAATACCAGGATTTTCTTATCCCATGCAAAGATTACCTTAGCCGTATTTGGCACAACTTTTTGGAATTTTGAGTCCTCAAATGCTCTTCAACTTTATACTTGTTTTGGCTTTCTAACTATTTTGATCTGAGCGTCACTGATGAGTCTTATGTAGACGAAACGCGCGTCAGGCGTATCAAATTATAAGTCTGGTACCTTTGATAACTATATACTTCCATTCTAGTTGTTGGGACTATATTGCAATTACCGTGTCCGTCTGTCCGTCCTTCCATGCAACCAACAAATATTATGGTCACATTTTTCTCACAAACTACTTAACTCAATGATTTCATATTTGATCAACAGCTTGACAGTTGTAATGTGTGAGCCTTTATTTTAGGGTTCTATCAGATATCTACTATCTGTTGGCGAATACTTTGAATTATCAAGATATTAAATGAACTTAAACTTTTCTGCCACATATTTCTCAAATAACATTCAACAGAATTACTTCATATTAAGCCAGCAGCTGAACAGTGATGGGTTGTATCATGTGTACAATCTTCGGATCTGACAGACGCCTCCTTCCTGGTTTCCGATACTTTAAATTATGAGTGGGGTATGTTTAAAACGACAACACGTGTATTCTTGTTATTAGTAAACGATGGCCAATTGTAAAGCATTTTCATTTGAAGATCCTGTTCTTACAGTTTTATTCACTCACTCAAATTTTAGTATAAAAATAAACATAAAAAAGATTTTTTTTATACATACTCAGTACAAGTGTTGGAAATGTGATTTAATTTTTGAAAAAAACCCAAACATAAACAGAATTAAACAAATGAATAAATAATAATAGTAGAAATAACAATAATATTGATAACAAAAAAACAACCAAAAAACAATTTTTTTTTAAGCAGTGGATGAAACAACTGCATACGCCTTTTTGTCGCGCATACGACAAAAGTCGTAAAGGCGAGCAAAGCAAGCTTTCATTCCGTCTTCTGTCTTCGTCATGTCGTTAACATTTAGGTATAGTTTGTGGTTATATTTTAGACTTCAAAAACGTTTAATCAAACTTTAATTAATGGAATTTTACGAAACCTTAACAAAAAAGCTTCATCCCGATCAAGAGATGGCATCCAGCGCAAAATTAAAAGTGAAAACAAATTCCCAATTTTTCGTATTTTACTGATAAATGGACTTCGTACTGTTGCAGGTGATACAAAAGACTCTTCAAATAGTGGATGAATAGAAATCGATGGTAGTAGGGGGGGGGGGGGATTGCAATAAAAATGCAATAACCAAAAGAAAAAATAGATTGTCCTGGTTTGAAGTTTTTCAGACATAACTAACTCTGTCAACCTTCATGGAATTTATGCAACTTTGATGGAAATTTCTTTATGGTCAAGAAAAAGCATCTGCAGATAAATTTTGATTAATTTAACTTTCTGTATTTCACTTATAATTTATACAGTCTATACTTAAATAGAGATACCATCTAGGGTAAAATATGCGGGTTTTCTTCCATTTTTAGTAATTTATTTAACCGGCGTATCCGCGAGTGACAATCTATTGATGAGTCATCACCAGACATTATGTAACTGTAATTTATTGTCCAGGAGTCGGTTTCACAAAAAAACTTACGACTAAGATTGGTCGTAAGTCATGAACATTTCAGTATACTAACGATCAATCTTAGTCGTAAGTTTTTTTGTGAAACCGACCCCAGACCTTCAAGTATAGTAAATCTTATCATTAAATTCTCTAATCTTTATTCATAACGTTCAGAAATAGCACAAACATTAAAGATATAATATATATAAAAACTATCAAAAGCAGATGTAACATGAACTTGAAAATTAAAGTGGATGGAAATGCAGTTCAACTACTGGCACCTGTCATATTTATCGTTACAAGGAATCAATCGGTTTACACTCGGTGGTATCACACTCGGAGCAAAGAGAAAAGAGGACGGAACTCTTGTGAAAAGATGACGGAACTCTGAGAAAGATGACGGAACTCTGAGAAAGAGGACGGAACTATGCGAAAGAGGATGGAACTCTTGTGAAAAGATGACGAAACTCTGAGAAAAGAGGACGGAAGTTTGGCTTAATCAAATCAGGGGGTCATTTGTAACACAGGCATTTCAAAATGGTCGGCCAAACCATGATGGCGTTCATCAATCGTTCAAAAAACCTCGACTATAAACATTGGCTCAATATCTTCCATTTTACCTAGTAGAAACCTTTTATCAAGTTATCAGGAAAAGGAACTCCAGTCCAATAACATCGTTTCTACTGAAAGATATATAATCCATATGCAGGTGCTGCCGAATACTGGAATAATACTATAATTTAATCAAAGTACTGAAGTACTGAACATCGGATGACCGCAAGTTCTTGTGGATGGTCACAAGCACTTGTCTCAGAAAAAAAAAATAACATCTGTATACCTGAAAGTGAGGTTAATGTACAGAAATATATTTTTTTCTGAGACAAGTTCGTGCGTGGATAATGAATAAATGACAGGGAATTCAACGTCACCGTAATAACTATTATATTGTAGTGATACAAATCAGTATACTCTGGTTTGTTGTTATATATTATATTAATGTTTGTATATAACAGTTACATGTATAAAATATAATTTTCAATCATTTGTATATCATTCTATTTTACTATTCTAATAATAGTGCAGTGCAAGTGCATGGTGGACACTCTTCTGTAATAATATGATTTTTCTAATAGATTGGATTTGAGCAGGCATTCATATTTTCCCGTAAAACATTCTTGAGATATTCTTCCGCATGCGTTAACACAATTTTTCTGTACGTGTGCATAGATATTATCAATGATTTTTTACTTATATATATATTTCTAACGACAAAACATTTTCATATTATTAATTTATGTTCTAAACAAAAATATTTTACGAGTATTCATTTAAGAAATGAATTTATAACAAGCGATAAGGAATGTTATTTTGCACTCGATAATGTCCGCGTATTTATAGATCGGTTACCAGTCAAACACGAAAGTTATGTAAGTAGAAATCTTGTCGGCAACAATACATCTGAATGCCCTCACGGTCATCCCGATGTAAAAATTGAGATATGCTAATGATTATAGAACTGCATACTAAATTGCAATGACTTATTAAATGATTAATACAAACGCTAAATAAATACTTCTCTTACTTACTTTCCCTCTTCATCCCAAGTTGGAAATAAGGCAACAACGAACATAATTTTTTTATATAAAAGGAAAAAAAATATAAATATTCAAGAATTTATACATTTGAAATAGATCACATTTGTTAGACGCGTAAATATTTTTTTCAGCTGAAGTCGTATTTTAAGTTACTAATGAATGTGTATAAAAAATAAACTACTTGTGTGTGTCAGTTTCCCTTCGTGCATGCGAGATTTTTATAATTAGTCAAGTAAACAAAAGAAGCCCTCGCTTTCTTTTCCGGTGTCTTTTTCAGTTACAACAGCAATGATTTGTGTTCCGCTAGGATTAATTTTCAAATTCATTGCCTTGTTACTTTTCATTCCACCAGAGAGTTTAAAATACAATATACCTATGCAGCTACATCCCTCATCTGTAACATATTTTGGATTTTTATGCTGTGTTGCATAAAACTCAAAATGAACTGCAACCTGGTCCTGTCTTACTGGCACGTACTCGTGCTCCTTGAGAAATTCACCGGCATTAACCGTTTGTCCACGTTCGGTGTGTTTATCAAATACATTGTCAACTAATCCGTTAACCAAACTTTTTTTCTTTGAATCAGGATCTACTCCAGGTATAAAAGGCCTTTGCATAGCAATTCCATATGTATATTGCATCACACGACTTGTTATCGTTTCCGGTTCAAACCCATAAAGGACAGCCCCCCTTAGAATAGCAAGAGATGGCTGTTTCGGTACTACAATGTCGAGATTTGGGAAGTTTTCATACAACGCGTTTATCAAAACAGGTGATTCTGCATGGCCACCGACTACTAATAAAGTCTTCACGTCCCATAGCTCCTCCTTCTGTGCCAATTTATTCAGCTCAGCTATGATACTTTCGATCGCATAATCAAAAAATGTTCTTAGTAAACTATTCTTGATTTTCAGTTTATCATTTTGAATTGTCACCCTTCCCTTGAAATTAGACTTTTTGACTGATTCCTTCAAATTAACTGTGTTTGAATTTTCAAAATATTCAATCCATTCTACTGGTATAATAACTTTCGATTTCCTTTCAGGATCTTTAAGCTTTTCTTCATCAAAACATTTCTTCATGTCTTCGAAATTGTGCAACAATTTGTAATAGGCCGAAGGTTTTTCTTGCTTTATCTTGTCGACAACATTTTCTCCGAACACATCTATCAAGAATCTGTAAAATGCTTCATTAACGGTGAAACCTCCCCAATGACCGCCGCACGCTTGGTGTATTTCCTTAAGAGTGTCCACGCCTGTAACCTCGTGAACAGCAATATCAGTTGTTCCACCTGAAAACATTTACAAGAAAAATAGAATTATATATATTACCAACAACCCAATTATTTGTCTATTTGAAACCCCCTTTACCCAGAACAGTTTCTGTATTAAGTAAAAAATCTTTTTCCGAATAACTGCCAAATAAGTCAGAAACGTATGAGAAATGGTGCAGAAATTAAACTCATCGACTCGCAATCAGACCTGAAAAAAAAACGAAACTAGGTGAAACGAAACGTAACCCATCGAACACATGTTTTTTTTTCGATAAAGACTAAGATAACTTCTGTTATGAAATATGATTTTAATTTTTCTCTCTTTCTGTCTGTATATTTCTTAAATTGTTATTAATATAAAAATGAGAAGATGTGGTATGATTGCCAATGAGAAAACTCTTTACAAGAATCCAACTGACACCGGAATCAACAACTATACTACTCCCCGTACGGCCTTAAACAATGATCAAAGGCCATACCGCATAGTCAGCCATAAAAGGCCCCGAAATGAAAATATTATACAATTAAAACGAGAAAACTAACGGCCTAATGTATATACAAAATTAGGAACGAAAAACAAATATGTTACACAGCAGCAAACGACAACCACTGAATCACAGGCTCCTGACTTGAGACAGGCACATACAGAATATGGCGGAGTTGAACTCGTTTGAAGGCACCAACCCACCCCTAAACCTTGGACAAAGAAGTCCATCTGAATTATTTCCTGTAAAGGTATCTAACAAATATTTTACGACATGGTTGTCCGGAATATCTGAACATTATAGTTAAGCTTTAAGGCCTCGGTGTGTGTCAGAGACCTAGAACAGTTATTACTGTTTCTTTGCGTTGAGTTCAGTTGTTCTATCAAGTGTGCATAGGGATGTCGTCATATCTTAGTATAAACACTTCGTTTTCCTTTACACTTTGATATTTTATAATTCTGACCATTTCGTATCATAATTTATAAATTGAATGTGTTTTCGCACGCATGTTTTACGATATGAATGTGGAAGACAAGTAGAACACAAGAATAAATATCTTATGTGCTTGTCCACTTTGCTATGCTATAGCAATACAAATACAACACAGAGGGTTGAATGTTTCACTATTGTTTTATATTTCATATATCGTATTATAAAATCATATTGAGTACTTCTGATTAATAAAGTAGTTTGCAATAGATACGATAAGTCATTTGATATATAAATGAATGAATGAATAATATAGTTTTAAATAATACTAACCGCCTTGATCCAGGACAATATATTTTGACCCAAGTGTCATCGCAGCAATTATTTTCTTTCCATCGTTAAGAGTTTGGACACTAACTGGAACTCGCCTACAGTGGATTGATGCAACCTCTGGTTCTAAAGCAAGTGTAAGTTGATTGTTTGGTATACCAACCTAAAAAGGATATATTGTATTACACTTTAAAGGAATGAATTGCTTTGCCGAGCGCAGCTGGAAACGACCGCAGAGGTCCAACCCTGAACAGTTGGGGCAAAAATGGGACACAATATTCGCGCTTGATACAGGTCTGAATTTGGATTGTAATTAAATATTTGACACATAATAGGTTTCTGACACAGAATAACTGTAGTCAAAGAACTTAGAATTGGTTATATGATTTGAATTTATATTCAATTTTTTGCTTTTGTGCGAATTGACCCCCCCCCAAAAAGAAATTTTGTTTTTAATTTCTGAAATCTGAGAAAAAATTGCCCCCCTCACAATTTCTTTTTACCCCCCCCCCCCCCCCCACCAATTTTTTTCACCCCCCCTTTTTTCCAAAAAAAAATCTTTCCCTTAAGATATGGTCATAATCTCAATTCAAATTTCCAATGGAGTTTGGAACCATAATTACCCATTCAAAAACATCATAAAAGTCTTAAAATAGAAAATGACATACATAATCATTTTTATCATTAATCATTCTTTTCCCCCCTTTTTTGTCCCTAATTCCTAAACGGTTTGAGCCATAACCCCCCAAAGCCAATCCTAACCATCCCTTTGTGGTATGGAAACTTGTGGTATAATTTCAGAGAGATCCATACACCGTTCCACAAGTTATTGTCTGGAAACTAGAAAAATGCTTATTTGGGGCCCCTTTTTGACCCCTAATTCCTAAACTGTTAGGACTATAACCCCCAAAATCAATCCCAACCTTCGTTTTGTGGTTATAAACCTTGTGTTTAAATTTCATAGATTTCTATTTACATTTACTAAAGTTATTGTCCGGAAAACCAAATGTCTTCGGACGACGCTGACGCTGACGACGACGACGACGACGTGATACCAATATACGACCGCAATTTTTTTTGCGGTCGTATAATAACCCCGTCTTTCGTTTTGTAAAGTCATACGTTGTTCCCATCATTGTTCCTTCGCCTTATGTTTGTGCTATTTAAATGGCAATCACACCACAACTCCATGTTTACAAAGACCAAACGCAAAAATAATAAACAAATTCAATCCACAAAAGAATCACACAAAATAATATGCAGAAGACATGTTAAGTATTTTCTAATTAACCTTAGAAGTTCTAAATTTCATGGAAAGTGTAGGTCGGTTTTCTAAAATGAGTTGATTACTAGCACATAAAATTCCCTTATCATTGAAATTTGATTTACCTTTTCAGCGGCATCTCGCATGAACGTCCTTGCTTTTAGGTCCCATATAGCTGGCACAGTAATTACCCACTGTATACATTCATCTGTTGAATCAGTTTCGTTTGCTCTTTTATTTAAAAGTAAATCTCTAAAATGACCAATCACGGCTGCAAACACATCCATGGCTTTCATTTTCTTCCTGCGAGCTTTATTTCCAATCATTACCGATTCTTCTAAGTAGGTATTCTTAGTTAACTGGTCCTGTTTAGACAAATATATTTGAATAAGTCAACTTTTTATAACAATTTGTTACTTAATTTGATGCGGTTTGTTTTCATGATGTTTCTTTTGACTGTTGTCTGATGTACATGTACCTATGTGCATTCATTTAGTCACATGGTTACTAATACGAATATATAGTTAATAACAACATTTTAAAGAAAGGATACGGTGTATCAGCTCATGATAACAGAAATCACTTGGTACACACGAAATACTCATAGCTTTAATTATTACTGTTTTTCAATCAAAAGTCACAATGAGGTCTTCGAAAAATTTTCATCAGTTAAACATTTCCGTAACTATAGGTCATCAACCTAGATTAAGTTTTTACTATGTTTTGAAATTTTGCTTTTTCATAATTAAGTGCGTATCAGTTTCTTTGAAGAGTTCAAAAATAGAGATTTTAACTGATTTTTTTTTAAACGAGCCGATATCTGTATTGACCCATTATAAGGCCAAGGAAATAATATGTTTGTGTAGGGTTTTCTTTATGAATAGGTAGGTAGGATATTATTATTTATCTCATGTTTTTACATTCAGTTTATGGGGGCCTCCTGTAATTTGTCAAAATACACTACCAAAAAATCCTATCAAACATTACGGTATGCATTTAGAGGCATACCAAATAAGGTATTGGTAGGGAAATCCTGAACACGAGTATTTTAATTTAAGCCTTCTTAGGGAGTTCATTTGGAGTGAACTCAGTGAAAAGCGTAACTTTAGCTAATCATGACACGTGTTATATGTTTTAAAATAGACATTTCATAACTAGATAATATTACCTTTTCGCTGAATAGCATCATTTTGAAATGTTCAAAGTAGTACCATTGTGTAAAGTCAGTTTTTTCAGCATTATCATAGAAATAATTAACTGCATCAAATCCAAAACTGTGAAATGTTCCGTCTGGTTTAAACAGAACACAAGTTGGAGCTTTTTCTCTAATATGAGATGCTCCATCATTCCAAGTGTGACAGTAAATTGATGGGTTTGCTGGATTGTTTCTGTAATCACTATGTTTGCAGTATGCAAATCCAGAGTAGGTTGTCCCGAAATCAATGGCAGCCACTATCACATGTCCCTCTCCGATCAACTAATAAAAACAAATTCTATGTTGACGTTACTATTTGCTTTTGTTTCTTAGTTCTTGTTATGGTATGTTTTTTTTTGTATGTTTCGAAGACAGCTATAGTATTGCATTGATTCTAATCTCGGTTATATAAAGTAATATTTTCTATAGCAAATCAAAATAATGTTAAAAATAATGAAATGAATATGTTTTGCAACTTATCTTTTCTTATATTTCATTGCATGCATCTCTACCATGACTCTCTCTCTCTCTTTCTGTGGGTGGCTCTCTCTTCAACGAATGCATCTCTCTCTAAATCTATCTCTCTCTCTCAGATACTGAAGCCTATTTTACTTTATGGGCATGAAATTTGGGGGTTCAGATATTATAAAGAGAGTACCCTTGAAATTTTGCAAGCTTCTACTGTACTTGTAGAAGTCGACTCCAAACTTTATGGTATACGATGAACTTGGTGTGTATCCCATGGCAGTATACATTAAACTGCGTGTGGTAAATTATTGGTCTAGAATTGTTCACGGCAAAGAAAATAAATTGTCACACATTTTGTATAACTTTACGTTTTTAAAATATTCACAGAATAATTGAACGTCTGAATGGGTTATTTTTATAAAACATATTCTTGATACTTGTGGCCATAGTAATATCTGGTTAGTACAAACTGACTTTAGCAAACAATTGCTAAATGATAGTTTAAAACAAAGTTATTTGACCAATTTCAACAAAACTGGCGTTCAGATATATGTAATTCGTCAAAAGGCTTATCATACAGATTATATAAGGATAAGTTTGAATTCGGAAAATATTCAAATATATCACCCAATAGAGATAGGGATATATTTTGTAGATTTATAACTGGTATTCATAGATTACCAATTGAAACTGGTAGATGGATAGGTTTAGATAGACAAAGAAGATATTATAATGTATATCAATGTCAAGATTAAGGTGACGAATTTCACTTTCTTTTGAATTGTAGATCCTTAGAGGACTCAAGAAAACTGTTTTTTTATACATCTTATTGTAACAGAGTAAATGTAATTAAGTTTTGTAAATTATTACAATGCAAACAACACATGGAAATAAAGGTTATAAATTCACTAGCAGGTCTTCCTGGTTAGTCTGCCAATTGTATACAGTGGTTTTAAAGAATAAAATTGGCTTGTCTTGCCTTGTCTCTCTCTCTCTCTCTCTCTCTCTCTCCGATTTATTAAAGTTTTAGATTTTATTATTTTTATCACGCATAAGGTTAATGTTAACGTACTTTGTCATCTCCCCGACTTGCCATCGTTTCCTTAAATGAAAACAAAAATATATGTATGAGTCCGAATGAAAGATGTCATTCTTCCCACATAGTCTCTTAACAAACTTAAAACAATTGTTAGTTAACTAGAATATTGAAAGTACATGCAACCACTACATATATAGATGACACTAAAACTGAAGACTGATATGTGTATTTAAAGACCTGCATAGGTTAATGTTCCTGTGGTTTGTATATATTTTTACAAAATTTAACAAAACTTCCCAAAAACGAGAAAAATATAAAAACACAATGCTAATTATAAAAGAGATACATCAAACTAGTTATTATTATCATGAAGTAAATTCAGATATCGTTTTACTTTCATTTCAATTGCACCGAAACAAAAATAAAATGTTTAAAAAATTCAATGACGGAATGTGATATAAGCTTTATATCTATAGCTAAAAAAGATGAATGGTTAAATTATTACACTTATTAAATCTATGCAAACTTTATGAAAATCACAGTCTTTGAACATAAATACCTTTAGTTTTGTTTTGTCATAACAAAGTCTTTGGTTGGTTAATTAACCTTCCGCATACATATCAATTTGGTCACAGGTGAACAATGAAAGAATTTAAAAGGCGCGAATCTTCAAATATATGATGATCATTATGGATAGATGTTTAACTTACACCGCATATTCAGGACGATGTGAAGTCAACAGTAAGACTTGTCACCCTACCCGGAAACATTATTCTGACTCCGAGCCAACCAGCCTTTGCACTAGCTCATTAAAACCGCGTTTTCAGCGGAGAATCAGATATAACTCCAATTTTTAAGTCTTTGATTTTACCAGACCGGGAATTATATCCACGACCTACCGCACCGAGGCGAACACGAGACCACCAAGGTGGTTCCAAAAATATATATTAACAATGTATGCGTGAAATGTCTGAACTCGTTTTGATGTCCTTGCCTTAATTTCGTTTTATCTTAACAAAACCCATTGGTAAGTTTTAATATATTTAATGAAATTTTTGCAAGAGATACCGGATATTTTGTTTAGTCGCTTAGTGGTCTGTTATTTTTTTTATACACAAACTCAATAATACAAGTCCTACTAAAGTATACTTTGTTCTTATGTTGTGCTGTTACACCATCGACCCAGGATACGGGGATGGTTGAGCGTTCATGTTTAACCCATCGATATTCAAAATAATCATGTCTCAAGTAGACACCGGTAACTCTTAAACTCAGTTGATGTCATTTGTTGCCGTCTTCAATTATTGTATCTCGTTTATTGTTTTTAGTGTCTATAGTTTTTTTTAATTATGCCACATCTTGCATGAAGAAAGCTTTTATACCTGATTGTAGTTCTATTATTTACAATCATACCGCATTATTTTATGTTAACTTTTTATTCAATTTTCTTTAGAATGTTATAATTTTGAAATCTTATACGATTGAAGAAAGAAGTTGATATAAGTAGCGTTCAGTTTTTCCTATATGTTTGAAAACTTTTGAAACATATAAACAAAACGACATATATCCAAAGTCAATACTGGTTATAATTACATCGAATTTTGCTTTTGAGATTAAAAATATAAACACCAAAAACTGCAGTTTTAATTTTGTTGTCAAGGACGCATGCCTGAACATTTGAAGGCCAATGTTTCATTTACATGTTTATAGAATAATCTAAACAAATTGTTAGAAAAAGAAAATTGAAAATAAAGAATAAGACCACGTGTGCCCCAAAATGCTTTGAAAGCGATAGCGCTATCTGCTTATATGTGGGAACAGATGTAGTGTTTCTTAGTGGCCAATAACAATTTACATATGCGAATACACATGCAGTTATATCATTACTAAGAGTACTTTATTTTACCAAAATTCTTACTGAAGTAGGAATAAAAACTTTGAGTTCAAAGTTTTGATACATACATTAAAGTTCATTCTGTACTGAGAAAAGAATGTGCCTTGAAATGTATGATAACTGACGACTTTCAAAAGGTAATTTTTAAAGTACCACTATTTGAATTGTCCATGTTCCACTTGCCATTATACTTTATAATAGATCAGAGGTCTCTGAATATCAGCTGGTGAATGAGCTATACTGCGAAAAGAAGCATCATCTTCTATTAAAGTCCTCATGTAGATTAATACCATTTTTGCTACCATGGTATATTCCATTTCTGTTACGTACATTTATTTATATACATTGCAAACAACCATGAACTTAAATTCTATTGCAACTTTGTGTGTAACTTTCATATTATAGGACACCATTCCACAATTAATAAATGATAGCGGTATTTTCTTTCAGTTGCAAAATTGGAGATAACAGTATTATATTTGAAGATTTGTGGGCATCAATTTTTGATTTTTAGGTTGCAAACATTCTGTTTATTGACTGTGCATTCATCAAGAAATTCCAGCAAATTTTCAAATACAATACTGTAATCTCCTAGATACAACCTTAACCCCAAAATAACAAGTGGAATTACCTGTTAATCAATCTTTATTTACTTCTGACCTTGCCATCATTGCTACAAGTATTTTGTAACTTCTTGATAATTTCAAAATGATTTTCTACATAGTAATACAGTAAAAATATTTACACGATTAATGTCATCATAGGCTTTGGTAAAATATATGAATGCACAATACATAAAATCATCTTTTAATAATACAAAAAGTAAATATAATGTATTTTGTAGATTTACCACTGCAAAAACATGCCTGCTCTTCTCTTATATGTTACTTCAATTCGGATTATACAAATGTTAATCTATAATTACAGATAGTCCATTTAATGTACGTAAATACAAGAAGCACATTAATTTCTATCGATTAAAAAAAAAAATTAAAAAAAAACGCTTGCATGCATAGCAGGAAACGCTCACTCTGTCGGCCATCCGGTCTCGATTCTTTTGGAGTTTTTGTTACTCAAATGGCATCTTCAAAAAGGATAAATGAGATTTGAACATCGGTAAACTTCTGTGGTCTACAGTTAAACAATGGAATAGTTATTTTTACAGTCCAACACTTATACTTTGAATAAAACAAAAACAAAAAATTAAGTTGGATTTTATCTAATAAATCAGGGTTCAAAAGATTAATAGAATGAAAAAAAGTTTTCCGTTCATTACTAAAAACATTTGGCTAAGGTATATCAGTTTGACTTGTAACTGATTTATATTGTCAAAATGGGTCAGAATAAGGTAATTTGGAATTACCTAAATGTGCCATTTCCTTAAGAATTGAATGCTTCTTTTTGTAGTTTTATTGGGATGTAAAAGCGTTTACCGAAGCACATTTCCCAAAAAATGTGCGCACGATCAACGCTTATACAAGCCCTCCTTCGTTAATTTTTATGTGCATTGTTGTGGCGTTGTCATAGGAAGCCCGTGTTGTCATGGATTTTGCATTTTATTGGGAATAAAATCTAATTTTTGAATACCTCGCATTTGTTGTCTACCAATCAAAATTACGGATTCTTGTTAAACATGCATGTAATGTAATTATAAAAGAATGAAGGCATGCATGTAATGTAATTATAAAAGAATGAAGGCATGCATGTAATGTGATTATAAAAGAATGAAGGCATGCATGTGATGTAATTATAAAAGAATGAAGGCATGCATGTAATGTAATTATAAAAGAATGAAGGCATGCATGTAATGTAATTATAAAAGAATGAAGGCATGCATGTAATGTAACTATAAAAGAATGAAGGCATGCATGTAATGTAACTATAAAAGAATGAAGGCATGCATGAAGAATGAAGGCATGCATGAAGAATGAAGGCATGCACGTAATGTATTTATAAAAGAATGAAGGCATGCATGTAATGTAATTATAAAAGAATGAAGGCATGCATGTAATGTAATTATAAAAGAATGAATGCATGCATGTAATGTAATTATAAAAGAATGAAGGCATGCATGTAATGTAACTATAAAAGAATGAAGGCATGCATGTAATGTAACCATAAAAGAATGAAGACATGCATGTAATGTAATTATAAAGGATTGAGGCATGCATGTAATGTAATTATAAAAGAATGAAGGCATGCATGTAATGTAACTATAAAAGAATGAAGGCATGCATGTAATGTAACTATAAAAGAATGAAGGCATGCATGTAATGTAATTATAAAAGAATGAAGGTATGCATGTAATGTAATTATAAAAGAATGAAGGCATGCATGTAATGTAATTATAAAAGAATGAAGGCATGCATGTAATGTATTTATAAAAGAATGAAGGCATGCATGTAATGTAATTATAAAAGAATGAAAGATTATATTTGTATAGATGAAAATATACAAAAATGTCATACATTTCTTAGATATGAAACGCCTTTCTAGTACTGAATGTCTCTTCTGTTCTTATTTTTGATTTATGTTCTATTGTGTACATTTTTTGTCCGTTGACCGTAAGTTAAATGGTAAGACCTCAAAAACTAGTTTAACCCTGCCACATTCTAATGTGCCTCTCCCAAGTCAGAAACCTCATAATTTTGTTTTGTTTTCAGTCATAATTATCTTAATGTATTTTTGTTTATTTGGAAAATTAAGTGATGATAGGCCATCTTTGATAGTTTCTGTTTTAATTTATTCACAACTTTATAACCTTTTATAGAATTTGGCACATTGTGAAGAAACTTGTTCATTGTTGATAACTTTATGTTGCCCTGTAGATAGATGTATTTTTATTTTGTCGGTATGTTTTTGTCTCATCGGCGTACACACTGTATCTCATTTTATTTATATTAGATATGAGATTGTATGAATTATATGTTCAAACAATAAGCTAGCTTTAGAATAATAAAATTCTTTATTCTGATAAAAACGTTGTTGGGAATTGGTTTGCAGACTTAACAAAAACATAATCAATTAAAAATAGAACAAAGTAGACACAAAAGTCTATCACGGGTAGGCAAAATATGTAATCTCAAATGAAAGGGAAATAAGTTCCATTTTGTACTTGACTGTTTTCAATCTGGGTATATTCACAGAGAAAACTAAATGATTTAGAGATGCAGGATTGTCACTGAAATTGCTGTCTATATGTTAATAATTCTGGTCGTTTACCAACATCATAAATACATACATGTTTATTGTTTATAGTTACTATTAAACTGTAGTTGGCATCATAAATTGTAAGCTCAATATTTCCAAGGTTGTAGGCTCGAGGTCTGTTCTGCACTATATTTGATTACTTTAATGACTTTAATCTAATTTGTTTCGGAAGGTAACCGGAAGTAACCTTTACTTTGTTTTTTTGTGGCTATTTCAGTAACAAGAGATACAAGTTCTGTTCCACTGTTATTGATTTTCAAAGCCATTGTTCGCTTTCCTGTCATCCCCTCGGTAAGTTTAAAATGCAATGATCCAATACGGCGACAGCCGTCATCTGTGACATACTTTGGTGATTTACTCAAAGTATCATAAAAAATAAAATCTACGCTATTCTGATCTTTATAAAGGGGTACATATTCATGTCCTTGGAGATATTTATCCTCTCCGACTTCGAGAATCTGGCCTATTTCTATATGTTTACTAAATACATCTTTGCACTTTTCAACACCTTCTACAGTAATTTTCTTTGATTCTGGATCTCCTTTCTGAAATGCTCGTGTTGTTCCTATACCATATGTATATCTTGCGACACGACTCGTTATCGTTCCAGGTTCAAACCCGAACAATACAGCACCTTTTAATACCGCTAATCCTGGGTCTTTTGGAATGACCATTCCAATCTTCGGAAATTTCTTTTTGAGAGCCTCAGTTAGCACTGTAGAAGCTGAATGCCCACCCACAACCAACAACGTTTTAACGTCCCTTAATTCTTTTTTCGCCAATAATGTCTCCAGTTCTTTTAAAACGTTTTCAATAGAATAATCGTAGAATGTTCTAAACAAATTGTTCTTTATTCTCATTTTATCCCTTTTCACGATAACTCGATCTCTGAAATTCGTCTTTTCTATAGTTTCACCTAACGAGCTTGTTCTAATGGCCTTGAATGTATCCATCCACTCAAGTGGAATACGAAGTGTTACTTGTCCTTCCGGATCCTTTTGATTTTCTATTTTGAATGATGTCTTTGCGTCTTCAAAGTGACGTAGAAATCCATAGAATGCAGACGGATTTGTTTCTTTGATGCTATTAATAACTTTCTCACCAAATATCTCTTCCAGAAAGCAATAAAACTGTTTATTAACTGTGATTCCTCCCCAATGTCCCCCACAAGCCTGGTGAACTTCTTTGAGCGAGTTCAACCCTGTAACTTCATGTACAGCAATATCAGTTGTTCCACCTAGAAATTACAATTATTGTATTTAAAAAAAATTATCGATTCAAAAATTGAGACTTTTGGTAAAACTTTATCGAGAAAAACAACTGATATCTTATCATTGAATATGAAATTATTTAACCTATAGATTTTTTGAAAATTGGATCCATTCAATTAATTTTGCTGAATACTTTAAAACACTGTACCTCCTTGGTCAAGCACTATGAACTTTGAACCTCGAGCCATAGCTGCAATAATTTTCCTTCCATCACCTTCTGTTTGAACACCAACTGGTACCCTTCGACAGTGAATAGAAGCTGCTTCTGGTTCCAGTGCTAATATGAGCTGGTCGTGAGATATTTCTGCCTGAGGGGAAAAAATCGATCAAAATTGGAAATGTTTTAAAAGAAAAATACGTAAGTATATGTAGTTATACATTTAAGGAATATGCCAGTCTTGCATATCCATTGAAATATAATAAATATCTATCTGGATATATATATACCTTCTTGGTCTAAATAACTGAAAAAAATACTGGAAAACTTCTTACCTTTTTAGCAGCATCTCTCATAAACTGCTTTGCTCTCAAATCCCATATTGCAGGAACAGTGATAACCCACTGGACGTGTTTTCCAGTAAACCATTTTTCACTTGTATCCTTAATATCACCTAATAACTGATCTCGAAAGTAGCCGATTACGGCTGCAAAAACATCAACTGCTTTCATTTTTTTTCTTTTTTCAACATTTTTTACTTTTATCGATTCCTCTAAATACGTTTCTGTGGTAAGATCCTGCAGAAAAAAGTTATACTGAGAAGTTGGAGCGGGATGCAATAAATTATGGGGAGAATTTCCGACCTCCAGTGTTTCTTTCCCCTCTTATTCTACGATCTATATATACAGGTGGAATTGATCTCTTGACAATGACCTTCATTTTTTAAAGTGAATTTTGATTGTTGATGTACTGTTAACTGTTTTTTAGAAAAGTGAAGAATATATAAGCGTACATTAATTTTCAAACCGTTTAAAGTACTTGTGTATATTTGTTTCACACCTACTTATTTATAGTAATATTATCAGCACGTTAACGTAAATAAAAATAACAACAAGTTTGTGTTTTTTAAAGTGAAATTAAAGAGGTTTAAGATGATATGACTTGATTTCAACTAAACGTCTAATTTTTCAAATGTCCATTATAACCACTTAGAGTAGCTAATATGTTGAATTTCAAGCTAAAACAGTTAAATTCAAACATCAATACCTACCAACGCAATTGACAACCATCAGCATTTATTTATACAAATTATAATAAAATAAATGCGAGAGTACGAATTATTGAATAAAGGCAGATAGATACCTCTTGTTCATACAGCATCATCTTAAAATACTCGAAGTAGAAGTATTTGTGTAATTGTAATTTTTCAGGATTATCATAGTAATTTCTTATAGCCTCGTGACCAAAGCTATGCAACTTCTGGTCTGGTTTAAAAAGTACACATGTCGGTGCTTTAGAAGTCATCTTTTGTGGTCCAATCCAAGGATTGCAAATTATTGGAGGGTTAACAGGCTCCCTTCTATAATCAATATGCTTACAGTAAGCATAACCGGAGTACGTTGTCCCAAAATCAATGGCTGCTACGATAATTCTACCATGATCTACTAGCTGCAAAAAAAATAATAATGATGACAAAATTAAGACTTTTTTTGTATATTTTGTATATATTATTAATTATAAAATTACGCTGTATTTTTAAATTCAACTGATAGCCAACTGATAGCCAACACAGTTACTTGTTTCTGGAAAATATTACCTATATACCTTAATACAACACGTGTGATTTAACGGTACAGAGGTAACAAAGTTTCAGACACTGCTTATTTAGTAAGTTGAATGCATTATTTAGCTTCAGAGAAACCAAAGTTACAACGTTTCAGACATTTCTATCATTACAAAACCTATTTCCAAAGCCTGACTATAAAATTATAATGTAAGCAACGTATTTCCACGGTTGTGCACTACTTTGAATAACTATTAAAAGTAAGTAGAACATTTATTACTTTGATATAAACAAACATATTCATATCTTTATAGTCGTGTTTGAGTAAAAGAAAGAAAAAGGAAAGAACATTATTACCTTGTCACTCTCCATAGTGGATAACTGTTTTCTGTATCGATAACTGTTTCTGACGATGAATTTTTCAAATGGCTCTAGAAATAAAAAACATATGTATATTAGCAAGTGCTAAGTATGTTACAACTTCAAGAATAACCTACACTTGTTTTCTATTTTTACTGTTTATCGCAATACTTTTGTCCAAAACTTCAAATTTAAAGTTCAGTTAACTTTGATATCTAACACAGCTATTTGCTGAACATAAAACACTTGGGACTTTAAATGATAGCTACCATTTATAATTAATTTCTTACTGTAATAGAAGCACATACATGCATCTACCTAGTTACAAAGGAGTTTAACGAAGCAACTGCCATCACCATGCTAATAGGAAAATGTTGGATAAAGCCAAACACAGCCATAGCATTAGGATAGTAAAACCAAAAGTAAGAAAGAAGTCTTGTCCCCATATAACATTGAATAGTCTTACTGTATGTCCATCAATTCCCTTTGTGATTTCGACTGTTATTTAATCCAGCCTACTTGTATTTGTTGTAACTTTTCTCATACTTTTTAAATAGTCAAAACCTTTAAATGTTTATTTCGAAAATAGTGCTCAATATTGGTTCCTTGTTTGATACGAAGTCTCGCGAGAATCTACAGATAACACTACGTAATGATTTAAGCTAAATAAATAAGTATATATAGGTTGGGTAAACGATTTAAAAAGATATATGATAGTTAATCACGTACTCAGGTGGTTTACACTATTTTATCGAAAAATAGATACGGTATTGATCACAATAATGACGTCGTTTCTTTGTTAAATATTATATACTTTGTATACCTACCATGACTGTCGTCTTTCGAACATTGTGATCATAGGCGTACACATGTATACTCATACCACACGAATAACAACAAACTGTAAATCAAAAGCAATAGAATAAACATATTTAAGGGAAAAAACGCAGATAAATTTCAAAAAAAGCATACCCCCTCTATGAAATCGATCAAGTTTTTACAAATGGTAAGCCGTTATCATATTGTATAGCTCATCGTTCCATTCCAGATAACGTGGCATCGTCATGTCACTGAAAGCTGTGTCACAACGGTGTGAATATATATAAATAAGCTTACAACACAAAGTGTTATGCTATTTTTTTCGCGAGGTTTAAATTTCAAGATCCCAAACTGCCTCACTGTCGATGTCAAGGTCTAAGTAATAGATGTTTAAAGCTTCTCATATCTAAGAGGTGTCAGCCCCGAAGATATGAGACGATTACATTTTATTTACTTATAAGTAATAAATAAATATTGATCTTATCTCTTGTTATAAAAAGAGCAATTCGATTGGAAAAAAAACCAGGAAAAAGTGTCATTTTTTTGCAGATGCAGTAACACTGTCAGAAGATGTTTTGCAGTAAAGGATTTGGAATGAAATCTTAATTGCGTCTATTTTTTGTCATCAAATTGATACCTTATAACTGCTTTTGTTTGACAATATGAATTGCTGTACTTTCTTATTCTTTTTCTTGTTTGCTGATTGCCAATAACTGATTTTTGGTTGATGAATGATAGCACATCTATGTAAATAATGTTACAAAGCAAGCCTGATATGTAATATCTTATTACATTATATTACTAATTACATAATAACAAAAAGTCTGTGTGTATTGATTGATATTTTAGTCTTTTTAGAGACATGATTTTTATTAGTTGTTATTGGCTTTAAACTATAGCTGTCAGTAACTGAGAGTACTCTCAGATCTGTCCTTTTTGTCTTTTGTGTTCTGTTATGATCGATCTGATGAGTTAAGCCCTTTATAACTAAGTTTTATAGTTTGTTCTTATGTTGTACTGTTCCACCAGAGTCAGGGTAAAGGGGGCTTGGCACCAGCAAACATGTTTAACCCCGCCACATTCTATTTGTGCCTGTCCCAAGACAGGAGCCTGCTATTCAGTGGTTGTCGGCAGTTGCTGTATATTTTATTCGTTTTACATAAATCAGGCCGTTGGTTTTTTTTAACTTGAATTGTCATTTCGGGACCTTGTATTGCTTACTATGCGGTATCGGTTTTGCTCATTGTTGAAGGCCGTACGGTGACCTATAGTTGTTAGCTTCTATGTCATTTGGTATCCAATACGAATTAATTTGTATCTGCAATACAGCGGCTCTTTTCACAAAAAATCTTAAGAGTAAAAATATTCGTAAGTCATACACATTTCAGTATAACTTACGAAATTTATCGAAATAAAAACACCGGCTCAGAAAATTATCTCGACTGTAGGAAGAGTCGAGATAATTTTCTGAGCCGGTGTTTTTATTTCTCTCGCAATAACGCGAATGAGCAGTTCGATATGGCTTTTTATTATGATTAGTTGCGGTATAATTTACGACTGCAGACCTCATAATACAAGACTATCCACACATTATTGAACCGGAAAATCTATGCCGAATATCGTCTAATTTAGAAATTTAGCACATCATTCAGATTTAAACTTAAAATGGGGAAAGATATTTTACTGTCGAATTTGATAATTGTAAAGTAATGAATTATTTTTTCTATTTTTTGCTCGACTAACAGAATTGACAGCCAATGACGTCATTCGAAGTCAGTAATTGTACTCAGAATTGGTTCCCCTTTGTGAAATAGTACCAATGTGTAAAGGCGCTTGACGACACGTCGTAAAAGCCAGTCAACACCATTGCTATAAAGACAAATCACTACACAGAAAACTAAAGATTGGTAACACAAACCGCAATAATGAACCAGGGAAATCTCAGTTTATCTGGAAGGGTTAGTAGTCAGATGTTCCTTCTTCACTATTTTTAGCTCACGAGAAAAGTCTAAATTTGATACTTGCTTCTATTCAGACTGAAGGGGTAACATTTGATGTATCAAATAAGTTCTGGACTTAAAATTAACTTTCCGTTGAGTAGTCACCACTGAGGATGTTGAATTATAATCAACTTAATATCTGCTACTAACATGAATGAAAATAAGGTATAAACTAAACGATTTAATTGATAAATATGCTTTGGTGCCAGCTGACAATGTTGTGTTTTGTTTGACTAAGTATTACATTGACATTTTATATAAAGGAAACAAAACAATCTAAAACTTTTGTTTCGACAAACTTATTAGAAAAAAACATAACGGAAAACCATTAAATCGAGACTGAACATTTTCATCACAGAGCATCAAGTCCTGACTATGTATTGATTAGCTAAAACACAAAACTCATTTTAAATCCCACTTTATATCTTCTTCTAGAAAATGTACTACTGTTAAATCAACTGTTTATCTAACAAATGCACCTTTTACTATTAAATATTGAATTATTCAAAATTGCAATAAAGCCTATCAAAACACAGTTGTCAATTATTCTTTGAGTATAAAACATTCAGGTAAAGCCCTTAAATAAAAAAAATAATTCTATTAATCGTGCAGTTAAATCTGTTGACAGTTATGATTTTTGTAACTTTTACACTACTCTTCCACAGAATCTGAAAACATAAACCTGGTAAACAAGTTGAATGCGTTTTAATAATCAGGTCTTTAAATAATCTGGTACAAAAATAACCGATATTTCTTATAGGATTAAACGCCTTCCTCTAAAAAGGTGTTTAATCCTATAAGAAATATCGGTTATCATTGTACCAGATTTATTAAAGACCTGATTATTAAAACATTTAAATATTCAAATCATTGTTCGTTGAAATGCTCGGATATAATTAAATCTTTAACATTCTTGCTTGACAAGATTTTTTTTAGTCGTTATAGCAAAATAAAACATTGTCAAATTATCAGCATTTCTATAGATGATGGTTAAAATGGGGTTCCTTCATTTCTGTATTCTTTAATTTTTATGCCATTTTTCTCCATTCTTTAAATTTTTTGCCCATTATTCTCTATTCTGTAAACTCCATCCAGACCATCATGGATAGTAACTGTGCACCTCTAATGGTCGATCTTTTTCATTGGTTTTATCATATAAATTAAGGAAATGCGATATGATTACCAATGAGACAACTATCCAACAGAGTCAAAATCTAAAGGTAGACAGCTCTCTCATAAGCAAACAACCCATAACTCACAAAAATAAAATGTGTTTGTTTATTTCACGTTGACTGTAGGTATAAGGGGACGGTTGGGATCTCACTAAACATGTTTAACCCCGCCGCATGTTTGCGTCTGTCCCAAGTCAGGAACATCTAGCCTTTGTTAGTCTTGCGTGTTTCTTGAATTTTGGTTTATTTATATGTTTTGGAGTTTAGTGTGGCGTCCATTTCGCTGAACTAGTATACATTATTGTTTAGGGGCAGCTAAAGCCCACTTTCGGATGCGAGATTTTCTCGCTGCGTTAAAGACCCATTGGTGGCCTTGGGCTGTTTTCTGCTCTTTATTCGGGTTGTTGTCTCTTTGACACATTCACCGTTTCCATTCTCAATTCTATTTCTTTCAAAAACTTCAGAAAGTTTTGAACTTGAGAAATATATTTGGGTTAATATTGCGTGGAAGGTTTTTTTAATGGTTTTCAAAGTAAAAGCAGGATATAAACAAGGGAAACAATGTAATTGTGATTGAAAGGAATTTGTTTGTAAATAAGGTAAAGTAGCAAATATTTCATGTATATTCAGGGACCGGAAACAATCTAACAAGTAAGATCTTCAAAGTTCAAAGTTTTCTAAAGCTCATTTTTATTGTTAACTGTATACATGTATAAAAATAAGGAGATGTGATATGATTGCCAATGAGACAAATATCCACCAAAGTTCAAATAAAGTGGGTGTAAGTAATTATAGGCAACCGTACGGCCTTCAACAATGAGAAAAACCCATACCGTATATGTGTCAATTCTAAATAAGATTTACTTTTTTTTCTTAATGGAATGAAGTGCGGTATAATTTTAAAACGAAGGTATAATGTAGCGTGGAATCTTCTCTTTATGAGGCATCGGATCAAACTTTCTCTATATCGACCAAACGTAGCTGTGTATCTTTACATTTTTTTGGGGGGGGGGGGGGGGGGGGGGGGGGTGCATGTGGTCTTCATTTCTTTATTCTTTAACATCTTTGATTATTAAGTCCATTTTTCTCTTTTCTCTTTATTTTTTGCTCATTATTCTCTATCTTTCAGATTTTAGCCCCCCCCCCTTATTCTGTAATATTTATATTTTAGCCCATTAATCTATTTGTTTTGTATACAAATTTTACCCTATGTATGTCTTTAAGTGGTTATTTGGTTGGTTTTTTTTGAAATACTTGACTGCTGATTCAAAGCCATATACATTGTACCAAGTTTTTGATTCATAGAAAAAAATGAGCACTCTGGGAAGAATTATTTTACAACAGTTAAAATAAACAAAAGTAAGCTCTGTATTCATTTTCGGTGGCCGTTTCTTTTACAATCGCTACTATTTCAGTGCCACTAGCATTAATTTTCAATGAAAGTCCTCCATCGTTTGGAGACTTTCGTGTTAGATCAACACTGAGTACCCCTATCATATTACAACCCTTTTCTGTTGTATATTTAGGGTCCTCTTCCTCTGATGCAAAGAATTCGAAGTGAGCACATTTTTGTTCGTCTAAAACAGGGAAGAAGGTATGCTCTGGTTCAAAATGTCCAATTTCTATTACTTGTCCTTTCCTAACATGAATATCGAAAACATCATCAATAAGACTGCCAAGGGTAGGACGCATTGACACATCGTCAACTCCATCTATATAGTTCCTTTGCATTGCTACACTGTATGTATATCTAGAAACACGTGACTCAATTGTTCCTGATTCAAATCCAAACATAACTGCTCCTTTAAGAACAGCCAATCCGGAGTCTCTTGGAACGATAACGTCTACCTTTTTACCCAGTTTTTGTTTAACATCTATCAAAACAGACGACTCTGAAAACCCTCCTACTGCTAATAATGTATGAACACCAGAAAGCTCTTGTTTTTGAATAAGTTATCAAGTTCATCTGTAACATTACTTATTGAATAATCAAAGAACGAGCGGAAAAGCGAGTGTTTGATTCTCATTTTGTCATTTAAAAGTTCAAGCTTGTTATTAAAATCCATCTGTGGTATTACGTCTTTTAACTTTTGATCTGTACTTTTCTCGTATGCGTCAAGCCATGCAACGGGAATTCGAATAGTTGTTTTATCGGTGTCCTCCTTAAAACTTGTTTTGTTACGTTCAAAATTGTGCATCAGCTCAAAGTATTCGGCTGGATGGTTCTTCTTATCATCATTAATGACAAAACCGCCAAACACTTTTACTAGAAACTTGTAAAACTCTCCGTTGACTGTGATCCCACCCCAATAACCTCCACAAGCTTGATGTATCTCCTTAACAGAGCTAGGCCCAGTAACCTCATGAACTGTAATATCTGTTGTTCCTCCTAAAAACAAAGACATGAGTCGATCATAATACCATAAATGGTTTCGTTTCTGTATGCTCAAACAATCTGCATCACTTAAGAAGACAATCATTTCGGCTGTACCTTTCTCAGTCTATGCTATAGATATTCCTTTTATATAACTAGTATGAGCCTTAAGTCTATCATGCATATAATAAAGCTATGAAAGGAATCACGCGTCAAATATATAATTCCTATATATTGTTTAGTTAAACAGCTTGAACATGCGGATCCAGCTGTATTTTTTAAAAAGGGAAGACCTACAAACAAGGCATCGTTATGAGTGAGGCTTGAAAAAAGTCTATGCATTAACCATATATGTAGCAATGGCTTTGAAAACGCATCATACGCATGCTTATATGAATGTTGGTTACAAATTTAGGGTGCTCCGATTGGATAACAAATAAAAGGAAGCTCTGATTTATAGTTTCGAGAAAATTGAGTCGGAATTTCATACATGGCCATTATGTGTAAGATTGGATAAGTATTCGGTAAACAGGAAGTTAATGAGCGATGAACATGAGAAGGCGTGACACAGTAAAGCACTCTCACATATAAAGCTCATTCAAAATTTCAGAAAGCCTTGATTTGTAGTTTCTGAAGAAAAAAAATGCGACAACATATGTGTAAGAATATACAAATAATCTTTTAACACAAAGTGGATGAGCGATGAATCTCGAAATGCATCACACAGTTTAGCAAGTTCACATCAGGCTTAATACCAAATTTCAGGAAAATCTGATTTATAGTTCCTGACAAAAAACGACCAAACTTTTATGGACGGAAACGCGCACCGAATACCGGAAAGACGTAAGCTAGTAAACCCCCGATCCTTTCAGAGCGCGGGTATAATAACCCGTAAAACTATAGCTTCAGCGAATGTGTTATCTTATTATTTAGGATAAGTTATTAGTAATTCTAGAATACATACCTCCTTGATCAAAGACCATATATTTATCACCCTTCTGCAAACTTGCAATGGCTTTGTTACCACAAGGTTGTTCTTTTACACTGACCGGTTGTTTTCTACAGTGTATAGAAGCAGCTTCTGGTTCCAGGGCAAGGGATAATTGATCCTTTGAAATCCCTGCCTATAAAGACAAAATACACAATGCCGATTTCAGTGTGAGAGTAAAAAAATAGTAAATATAAAAGAAAAAACTTATACAAAAAGGCTTACATTGAAAGTCTTATTCCTGGGTTTGGACAAACACTGTCTAATAAACCGAGTTGAACAGATATACCAATTATATTGTCCCGGTTCCTATTCAGAGTCAACTCTGTCTCATGTGTCACACTTTTTTATATAATATACTTTAAAGATAAAAATATACATTACGCTAGAAAAATGAAAGAGGGAAAGAAAGAAAAACAGAACCCATGGTAAACTGTCTCCGACAAAAAAAATTGTTGTTCTGATTTCTTGCTATAGCTACTCGAATCAATTGCGTTCGGCTTATGTTTTTTGCTGTTCTGAAAAATGGAAAAGGAACACGAAAATAACTTAAATCAATAATTCTAAGCATTATTTTTCTCATCCATTTTGTTCTTGTTTATTTCCGCTTTCGTTATCTCTCGAACGATCGACTAATGCAACTGGTGTGAATAAATGAAACCAAGTCACATTAAATCAGTTTAAGGAGAAACCATATCTAGGAGAGTAATTGGTGAAATTAAACATGTAGAGATGCACCGATACAACATTCCTCTAGCTGTTTGTATTAACTGTATTAATAGTACAGAATGACCTAAGACGGTTAAACCGGATCTTAAAAAAAAGTCCCTTTGTGATTTTTATATATTTGGTTATTCAACTTTTGGACTCGAGCGTATGTGAAGATGGTTGTTCCAGAAACAAGTCGTGTAACTCTATTATATACCTTTTCAGCAGCATCGCGCATAAATTGTTTTGCCTTTAAGTCCCATATAGCCGGAACTGTGAGATACCAGTGAAAATCATCATTAGTGAATGGGCCAGTTTTTTTTCGAAGAGCTGTCATATTTTGTTTCCGTCTTTGAAGTCACCTTATCTCCATGACTCGTCTGTAAAGCTTTCAGGATCTGTCCTTTAAAATACTCAATTATTGCTGCAAAGACATCTACTGCTTTCATTCGCTTAGGCGTAATACCATCAACATTTATTGATTCTTTCAGTCAAGTATCTTTAGTCAATTCGCCATGAAATTAAAAGAAAAGGGCTTCAAATGGAAGAATTAAACCATTTATCGAGGAAACGCAGCAACAATGCATCTCATTGCCTGAGTATACATGTATACATTAAACAAAGTATTTTTTTTGCAAGATATAAATATTTTCCAAAATTGTTCAGTTATTTTCATCACAATCAGACAATTAAAGTTGTACAAATTTGAACTTGGTGATCTTCTCCGTGATACCTGTTTCTTAGATTTACAGAGGCAAATTTATACATCGACCCCGGTAATTCACAAAAATTGAGAAGTTTTTCCAGGTCATTAACGTTTTGTCATATGCAAACTTACATCGTGCCAACCCTTTTGTATAAATTACAAGACATCTAGCTACCACGTTTCCAAGTGTTGTTAGGAAATTACGCCAGATAGCAATATCTTAGCCAAAGCACGCGTTCGTTAATTAATTACTGAGGGAAATAAAACGTTCGATTGTGCTACAGGGATAGTTTGTGAATAAATGGTAAATATTGGGTTAGAAAATGAAAAATGAAACGAATGCCGCATGATCTATAATCTGCTTGACAATTCATCAACTAAGTGTATGGTGTCCTCAATTCCTCTATGAAATGTGCCTTTGCGTTTCCGGTGTACGTTACCTTTCATTTTGGAAACACTAAAGGTACAATTATGGGTACAAGGATCAGCAGTCCTTCACCTTTCATTTGAATTGAAACTTTAATATTAACTAAAATATATTCTACCTTGTTTTTTATTTACACCTATATGGGTATGAACTATTTTGTTTTTAAATATGTACTACTAGTTCTTTTCAGTATGTACTTTTTTGACCGTGCCCGATTTGGAGGTGATACATCTTACGAAGTCCACCCGAATCTTTTTGCAAAGAATTCCGCTCAAACCGGTGTTAGGGACCGTCTTAAACTTGCAGTGAGATGAGAGTTGTTTTTTTTTTTTGCTCCGTGTTCAAGGCATCACTATGATTTTGAGATAAAGAACAGCAATAAAAGCGCTGTTCCTTCGCTTTTTGTGTGTTTTTTGCTGTGCATATACTGATTTTGTGTCATGGATCATTGATACCACATATCCTTTGTTTTTCGAAAAAATACAGATTGTTCACGAGACTGATAAAGATCGAATGAGAGCATTCTATAATTATGTCTCAAAGACCTTTGCTAAAAAGATGAAACAATGTTTAAGTATTTAAAATTATTTGCTTTTGTTGAACATGAAGTCGCAGTACATTCACAATCGCTTTGAAGGACTGGATTGATATGAACGCAAAATCACAGTACACAAGCTGACAAACCCTTCCATGTATAGTTTTAACGTGTAAAATTATGTACAATTTTAAGGATCAAGCTTGTTTGATATCAAAGACAGCTAATTTTAATTCATGCTGTGGCGTTTGTGTCAATACTTTTTAAATAAATTGTCAAAAATCTTGAAACGGGATCGGACATTCAAACAATACAATCAAGCTACTTGTAGATTCATTATTATTTGTATGCAAAATTGAAATTAATGTTTGCAAAACTCATTTTTAATAGGTCATGTCATTGAAAAAAATTAGAAGAAATATAGAAACAAAAATTGAAAATACCAATTACATTATGTTTTGGTGTTCCAAAATGGAAGCCACAGTACACGAACACGAAGTCTCAGTACTAGTGCATCGATAACACGAAGTCGTAGTGTATAGAGAACTCCGCTACCATAGTGTGATATTCCACACAAATTGTTGATTAAATGATGAACACTCAATGAAAATATCACGTTTATAGTAAGGACTATGAATTTGAAATAAAATGAGCATAACAAAACCCTGCTTTATTCTAGACCGACATGACGGATTATTCACTAGTTATAGCTCACAGTTTCTTTCTACAGGAAGACATGTCACCCGTTCCCAGACACAAAAGTTCCACTACGAGCTATTTAAACACTTATAACTCTCACGTTTGTGTAGTTTTAATGCCGCGTGCTTGACAGAGAAGCAGCAGTTTTTGGTTGATGATCGAACCGTGGTTCCTGCAGACCACTTGTCGATGCGGTCATAAAATATGAAAAAAAAATGAAATGGAACTGTATACTTAAACATACGTTCTCTTTATACAACATCATCTTGAAGTGTTCGAAATAAAACCATGTTCTTAAATCTCCTTTTTTAAGATGGTCCCTGTAGTAAGTATGTGCCTCGTTTCCGAAACTATGGAACGTTTGGTTAGGACGAAATAAAACACAAGTCGGAGCTTTGGGAGTCATTCCTCCTTCAGACGACCATGTTTGACATTTGATTCTCGATTGTTCTTCTTTTCCTTGAAGGTATTCATCATAATCGTGCTGGCTACAGTAAGCATATCCAAAAAAAGTGGTTCCAAAATCAATGGCGGCAACTACGAGTTTCTGCATTATGAAAAAAATAATACTTATTTGGACAATACATATATATATATATATATATATATATACAAAATATTACTGTAAAAGATAGTCAAACACACATTATTTAAAAGCAAATTATTACTTGAAATGAATCTATTACGCATATAACAAATTCCAAGTGTTACTTTTATTATAAAAAGATCGTCAAAAGATTAAAGAAATTGGTGAATAATTGAGAAACATCGGCAAATATTGCATTAACTGAGAGAAATCGTGAAAGAGAAATACGTTATATAAAATCGGATGAGTTTGTACCAGCATGAAGTGTGCACGTGATCGCAAAAAAATTCTGCCAGTAGGAACGAAAGAAAAATTGATATGTAAATTTCTACTTCATTTTGGACCATGGTAGAGAGTTATCTCATTGGCAATCATACCACATGTTCTCATTTTTATATGCAAGTCATCAATAACTCTTATTCATCAAATATCAGCTGCAGATATATAGGTGATTCAAAATTGCGATTAGACAAATGTACAGTTTTCATGAAGCTTTTGAAGTCCGTAATTCTGCCAAAAGTCGGTCAATCAAACGAAACATCATACTCAATCTGCTAGTCACCATTTCAAACCAATTTACCAAAAATTATATCGATATCTGCAGAGCACAACGTAAAATTGAACACCGAACAGCAAGCTATAAAAATGACTAGTGTAAAACCATTCAAACAGAAAAACCAACGGTCTAATCTATATAAAAAACGAGAAACGAGAAACACTTATGAACCACATCAACAAACGACAACCACTGAACATCAGGTTTCTGACTTAGGACAGGTGCAAACAAATGCAGCGGGTTTAAACGTTTTAACAGGCGCTAACCTTCAACCTAACCTGAAACAATAGTGTAACATCACAACAAAGAAAGACACACTATAAAATATCAATTGCAATGGCTTAACTCAATCAAAAGACATATTAATAAAAACAAGTGAACATACACTAAACGAATAAATTTGATATATGACACAATGCAAATACAAAATTAATAAAACAAGGGGGTTAGATGTAAAACAATATCAGAAAGACAGCCATAACTTTGGACAAAATGCCGCCAAATAAAATAACGTACACAGGTAAATAAAAATAATTTTGTTGTAAGGTATACATGGAGAACGGAAATATTTTTTTACAAAATAAATAATTTTGTTGTTCATAGTACGAGAACAGAAGTGAAAATGTATCGTCATACTAAACACTTATCAAAGGTGGTAAATATTAAAAACAGTGAGACGAGATATAAACTAAATAAGTAAACATTAAATAACGAAAATACATTACAAATTGTATCAACAGGTCAAATAACACGAAAGTACGATTTGAGAGTTATCGCAGTTACTGAAAGCTAGTTAAAAGCCAAAAACAATTAATAATAAAAAATCATGCATCAGAGACTAATTTAATTAGCATGATTAATGTAACAGTTTCACAGATCCATGTGTACACTAAGTCTTTGAGAATCTTACAGTACTGTAAATTCAGAAATTATTAAGGAGCGGTGATTTTGTTCAGTAACAAATTTCTACCGATATTGCAGTGTGTTTAAAGACAACAGGAAACAATTTGATATTTTTTTTTGCAACCTTGCATTTTATTGTTGTGGTTAAACATTAGTGTTCCAATTAATTTTGTGTTGTGGAATGTTGCATAATCTTACGTTGAGTTCCGTTTGTTTACATGTCGTCATATGCGTTCGATTTATCTTCCTTATCCATTAAAAAAAGAATATTGTTTCTGTAATGTCGTTGTTAATTATTGTTAACATTGCATCTGGTTTGCATTTAATTGATTGATTGTTGGATATTTAACGTTCAGTGGCAAGTATTATATGCATATCACGGCGAGATTAGCATTTGATAAAGGATTGAATAGTGATTGAGATGACAAATCTTTAATATGTTTCATTTATTATATCCACACGTCTTTTTGATAACCCAGCACAAAGTTCTACAACACACAAGAAAATTACCATCTTTGGTGGCGGTGAAACGAACCAATGACTAAATGATTTCACTTCTTTTATTACATGTTCTACGTACACACGCCTACTCTTGTGCAGTCTGTTAAATGATCCTACTTTTAGATTTGTTTTACCTCATTTTTGCGCAGGACTATTTACCTTTGATCTGAGCCTAGAAAAGTTTTCAAAAAGATTCCTAGTCCCTCCCATCCCAAGGTTCTACATGTAACCTCTTTCACATGTATGTACTATAAAATTCGATATGATGTCATGTTTATTAAAATCTCTTGTACGATTACTGCCCTTGGTCTTAATATTTCATATTCTTCGCCAAAATTCTTTATTAAATCAGATTTACTACTGTGTTAATTGTATATTATATATTATATATATCAAGTCAATATAATATGTCTACAACTCAAAATGGTTTAAAAAAAAAACCTGCATGTATATTTTTATGTAAAAGACATTTCTAAGGGAAGTGAACAACCAATAGTCCAATATTATTATTTAAATGAATGTCCCCTCTTTTCTCGTTACGGCAAATTACGTCAAGTTAGGGTGATTTTGTTTCGTTCGCAAGATGTTGAGAAACCTCTTATATAACGATCATTCGGGTCCCCATTAATCTTTAAAAAATTTTAATGAATAAAATGCAGGCAACTTGACATATTGTACAGACACATTTCGATTGTTGATGCCTATATATTGGCCTTTATAGGTCAACATATATTTTTTCCTGTTAATAGAGGTTGTCTGGAAATTTTGTTATAAACAATGGTATGCTATCAGTTCCTGTTGAATTAAATATTATCTTATGTAAGGAACAAATACTGTTACAGTAATTGTTCTTCCAGTGGAAATAACTCCTATTCCATGACATAAGGCTTATGGATGTTGTTTTTTTTTTGTTATTTTTGTCGTTGGGTTGCTGCCTTATTGACGTATACGGTCATATCTCCTTTTATTCATTATATTTTTCAGCTTTAATCTTATTTTATAAGTTATTTAAGCGACACCAGTGCGAGCGACGTGACACATTTTGTAGGACGAAAGCATTTTTATATCGCTTACAACTCCGTGTTGCAAATTCAGCACTTTATCAAAACCTGAGCATGAGAAGTTTGCGCCACGATATCAGGATCAGATATGGAAAGCTAACATATACAAGATATAAAATATTTAAGTTGTATGTTTATTGTTTTGAAGAACAGTGGGGATTTGGGGTTATATACAAATTTTTCTAGGTACACCATAGAAGTCTACGACTTAAAGTCTAAAAATACATTACTGTTCGCCGATACTGTTTAAAGCTTCCAAAAATGTCGCCAAATACATGCATATGAGTATGAAGTCCTTCCAGGAATCGTTACGTCACAATGTCGGAAGAATATTATACAATTACTGTCTTTTGATGAGGTAAATGTGTGGTTTTATTGACTTTTGAAAAACTGATATTCACTGAGGCCAACGGCCGAAGTGAATGTCACTAGGTTTTTCAAAAGTCAATTAAACCACATATTTACCGAAACAAAAGACAGTAATTGTTTTATTCCATGTTACGAGACAGAAAAATATGTGTAAAATAACAGTTATTTACCAAAACCAACTAAACGTCAAACGTTATTATACACGTAACAGCACGCGACGTTTTGCGCGGTGAATATACTTTTTCCGCAGGTGAATATGCTTATTTATTCAAAATCCCATTCATATTGAAAAACCTACTAAAGTTCTATCAATATGGAATAACATCTTATATGACATTAGAAATAAATAAATAAACGTAAAATAACGTAGGATTTTTTTTTAGTTGTATGATGCTCGACGTGATATTTGTTCAATTATCAAGCAAAAGCACCTGTTTGAATCTGTTAAAAATCGGATGGAAAATCGTATCGTGTAAACAAAATACTGTACGATTTACCTGAGGGACTGAATCAAATCGGACGGAAAATCGGATGGAAAATCGTACCGTGTAAACGCACCTTAACTTATTTTCTTTAATGAAATGAAGTGAAGTGCGGTATAATTATAAAACAGCCACTGCAAAATGAAGGTATGTTGGATAAAGACATAGCTTTGTCTTGCCACATGCAACCTACAAGAAGTGACTGCACGTGTAGAGAGCGTGGAATCTTCTATACATGAGGCATCAGATTAAACTCTCTCGATTTTGACCAAACGTACCTCTGTATTTTTACATCCCTCAGCCAAACGTATGTTACTTGCGGGGGATGAGTTATTCCCATTTGAGAGAGAAATTGGAAACAAATAACTAAAATAACAAAACAACCGAACTCCAAATAGAATTCAAAACGGAAAGTCCCTTATCAAATGGCAAAATCATTGCTCAAACAAATCAAACGAATGGAAAACATCTGTCATAGTCATGACTTGTTACCATTCACAAGCACTTCCTTATGTAGAAAACTTATATTTCAAATAACACATTTAAATATGTATATGCTTTTATTTATTAGTATAATTGTACATTTGTGTTTTCAAGTAGGTAATATTGATAAAAGAAAAACAGGTAAGAATACATTTACGATGCCATTTCAGGCAAGTCTTGTAAATAACAAACAACAATTCTAATTTCAAACAATTATCTAAAAAAAAATTGGCTCTTAATTAATTCTATAGTTCCGAGAAAAACATGGGTCTGGATTTTTTTCGGAGGAGGGGGGTCTTCATTTCTTTATTCTATAACATGTTTGATCATTAAATCCATTTTTCTTTTTTCTTTCTTTTTTTCTCATTATTCTCTATCTTTCAGATATTAGTCCCCTTTTTATTCTGTAATATTTATATTTAAGCACATATATCTATTTGTTTTTGTAAATATTATACTCTATGTATGTCTTTTAAGTGCTTGTTGGTGTGGGTTTTTTTTGTAGAAATGCGTGACTGCTGGTTCAATGCCATATACCAAGTTTTTGGTTCATAGAAAAATGAGTACTCTGGGAAGAATTATTTAATAAAAGCTAAAATAAACAAAAGTAAGCTCTGTATTCATTTTTGGTAGCCTTTTCTATTACAACTGCTACAATTTCGGTGCCACTAGCATTAATTTTCAATGAAAGCTCTCCATCTTTTGAATCCTTTCTTGTAAGATCAACACTGAGTACCCCTAACATATTACAACCTTTTTCTGTTGTATATTTAGGGTCCTCTTCTTCTGATGCAAAAAATTCGAAGTGAGCACATTTTTGCTCATTTACAACAGGGAAGTAGGTATGCTCTGGTTCAAAATGTCCAATTTCTACCACTTGTCCTTTCCTAACATGAATATCGAAAACATCATCAATAAGACTGCCAAAAGTAGGACGCATTAACATATCGTCAACGCCATCTATATAGTTTCTTTGCATTGCTACACCGTATGTATATCTAGAAACACGTGACTCAATTGTTCCTGGTTCAAATCCAAACATAACTGCTCCTTTAAGAACAGCCAATCCGGGGTCACTTGGAACAATAACATCTACCTTTTTACCAAGTTTTTGTTTAACGGCATCTATTAAAACAGACGACTCTGAAAACCCTCCCACTGCTAATAATGTATGAACACCGGACAGCTCTTGTTTTTTTAATAATTTATCAAGTTCATTTGTTGCATTACTTATTGAATAGTCAAAGAAAGAGCGCAAAAGGGTTGTGGTTGATTCTCATTTTGCCGTGTTTAAGTTCAATCTGGTTTTTAAAATTTGTTTGCGGTATGACGTCTATCAATTCCTGCCTTGTACTTTTCTTGTATGTTTCAAGCCATGCAACGGGAATTCGAATAGTTGTTTTATCGGTGTCCTCCTTAAAACATATTTTGGCATGTTCAAAATTGTACATCAGCTCGAAGTAAGCGTCTGAGTGATGCTTCTTTACGTCATTAATAACAAAACCGCCCAGTAGTCTAACTAGAAACTTGTAAAACTCTCCGTTCACTGTGATCCCACCCCAATGTCCTCCGCATGCTTGGTGAATCTCTTTAACTGAATTTGGCCCTTTAACTTCATGAACTGTAATGTCTGTTGTTCCACCTGAAAATAAGGACACTAGTAAAGAAGATATTATTGTTTATTTCCATCATATCTGCTGTCTGTATCACTAAAGAAAGAGTAACTTTACGTCTCAGAAGAATATCATAAACATTTTTTCCGTAACTTTTAAGGGAGCTACCATTTGAATTTTATGGGGTGGGGGTGGGATTGGCTAGGATGAAAAATTTTGTCCTGTATTTTTTTTAGTTGTAATCTCTGTCCTGCCTTTTTTTTTATTAGTTTATTATGACTTTTTATTACATAAATTGTCATACTGCCTTTTTTTTGCAAAGTGTCTCATCCTGCCTTTTTTTTTTTAACTCAAAACTCCTGTCCTGTCTTTTTTTCAAATTTCATTATAGCCCCCCCCCCCCTAAAAATCAAATGGTAGCTCCCTAAAACAAATCCATGGACTATGTTGTTGTATTTTGGCAAGTTTGGCAACGGATCAAATGTTAAATCTCTCCATATAATATTTCATGACAGCATTTAAAACTAGCTTCTACGACGGCATATAACTTGTCATTCATGAATCAGTTTTATACTATGAATGCGGACCGGATATTAATTTTTTGTGAGAGTTTTTTTTTTTCTCATGACAAACATTTTTAATTTTAATAGTTTACCAGAAACATTCAGGAACAAAATTTAAGAGCATTTTCACCTTATCTTTTATATATATGTAGGACTCGGAGGTGCGATGGGGACGCTGAAGTGCGATGGTCACGCTGAATTACGATCGTCTACGCCGAAGTGCGATGGTCCGTTCGCTGATGTGCGATGGTCTATCTGACGCATGATGGCTAGTTTAAAATCCACAGATTATTTTGAGAAGTACATGTAGATATATTTAACAGTTAGTATATAAATCTACATTCATCATTGTCTATGTCTGTCTTTCATTACATATTTTAGGTCCTCTGTTATTTTTAATTTATATAAATGATATACCACTTCATGTTAAACAATCAGACATGGATTTATATGCTGATGATTCAACATTGCATTTTCATAATAAAAACATTGAAAAAATAAACAGCATATTGCAAAATGATTTAAATGCTATACAATCTCGGTGTAACAATAACAGTATGAAAATTAATGCACAAACAACAAAGTGTATGAAATTGGGCTCAAAACAAAAACTTACACAACTATCAGCATTATGTATTTCCGTCAATGAAACATGTATTGAAAATGTCCATTCTTTCAAATTACTTGGAATTGACATTGATGAAAATTATAAGCTGGGAAAATCATGTTGATCGTATATGCAAGATTATCTCATCTAAAATATCACTTTTGTTTAAAATTAAAGTATATTTGCCTATACACACAAGACAACTATTTTATAATGCATATATTCTACCATATATAGACTATTGTAGTTCAGTTTGGGGAAATTTATTACAAAAAGATTCAGATAGAATCATAAAACTTCAATAAAGAGTAGCAAGAATTATACTTGAATGCGATATTTCTGTTCCATCTAATTTTATGTTTTCATCTTTAAAATGGCTATCTTTTACAAAAAGAATAAAATACCAACAATCAATTCTAATGTATAAAATTGTAAATGGACTAACACCTGATTACTTAGCAATGCTAAATATTAATAATGTGCAACACCACAACTTACGATCTGTCTCTAATAATGATCTATTTGTTCCAAGACCAAATACAAATTTTTATAAAAAATCTTTTCATTATTCTACAACAAAGGTATGGAATAATTTACCACTCAAAATAAAAAATTGTCGAAATGTGGAATTATTTAAGAAACATTGTTATAATCATTTTCTTGAAAATTCTATGCAAGTCGAATAATTTGTTTTCTTTCTTTTGTTGTAAGAATAAGAAAATTTAATCAAACTACCAATTATTACCATTTATTGCCATTTGTATGTTTGAATGATTGAATTGATTATATACTTGTAATATATATTGTATTTTAATGTATGAATGTATGAATGTTAGCTGTATACATGTATTTTGTTTGAGGGCCTCAATGAAAATTAGACTACTTCTAATTGAGTTACCCTCTTTAAATAAAGAATTCATTATTATTATTATTACAGTTGCATACTAAATGATAGAGTTCGTCCTCTTTGATTTTCTACATGTGGGCATTATAATTTTATATTAACATTTTATCTTTACCTTGTTCCTATCATGAGATCCTCGTTTACCGTAATATTATAATAAGGAGAGTCTGTCCGCGGACTCGTATGTATTTAGAGAATTCACGCTCCATATAACGTAGAAAGGAACAAGTTGTAGATTTCGAAAAAAAAAATCGCCACAGTAGGTTAACTTTCCCCTATCCACCAATCCTCCCCGTTTCTCGTAGTATTTAAAGTAAAGAAGCCCCTTATCAACTTAAAAACTTAGAAAACTGCTTCTAACATACAAATTGACATCTACATCGTCATGAAAAGCATTGAAAATGTAGTTTGTTTAGACCATCGCACTTCAGCATTACCTCCATCGCACTGCGGCGTAGCTATCAACAAGATAGCGTCACAATGCCACCATCGCACTTCAGCGTGATCAAAAACGCACTTCAGCGTCAAACTATCGCACCTCAGCGTGACCATCGCGGTTCGGAGTACCATAGCGGTTCAGAGTCCTAGTCAGAAAATTACAAAACCTATTCTTTATAAAATTGAGAATGGACACGGAGAATGTGTCAAAGAAACAACAACCCGGCCAAAGAACAGAAATGGGTCTTCAACAAAGCGAGAAAATCCCTCACCCGGAGGCGAGCTTCAGCTGGCCCCTGAACAAAAAAAAAGTCTGCTAATTCAGCAAAAATGGACGTCAAACTAAACTCCGAAACACATAAATTAACCAAATTTATAAAAAAAACATACAAGACTTACAATGGCCAGAGGCTCCTGCATGACATATCAATAACTTCTGGAAAAAATGTGTTTATTCCTTATAATTCTTACCAGAACATTCGCAATTTTCAATTAACATTTCATTTCATTAGCTTCTATTTACCATCAAATGCACAATAGACATGTCGTTAATAAGGAGTTAACAGCCATATTGACTTTCTGAAATCCATAAACGTGCGATTATAATGCAAATGACGTTAACGCGGTAAGATCATTCATATTTCGCGGAATTTCATTTTATTCAAATTTCATAAATTTTCCAAGCTTGAATGCATTATTTATTGTTTCTATGCTTAAACAAATATGTAATTTGTTTTTCAATCTCAATTTGCTTAGTACCCCTTGATCACATGCATGTGTATAGCGCATGAATAGATCACAGTGAAAGTAGTTTCGGTAACATGGTTTAGCGAAGTGTAAACCAAGTGAAAAACTTCTAATGGACCAATCCAATTCAAGTATTTGTAGATATGCAACATATAAGAATTATCATATAATAACCCTCCCCTTAACTCACCTCCTTGATCAAACACAATATATTTATCGCCTTCCTTCATACTAGCAATAGCTTTGTAACCCCCTGTTTGTTCTACGCCGACTGGCTGTTGTCTACAGTGTATAGAAGCAGCCTCTGGTTCCAAAGCAAGTGACAGTTGGTCAGTGGAAATTCCTGCCTAAAAAGACAAATCCACATACATATAATACTTATTCCAGTGTGCACAATATGTCTTTCAGGGTTGTTTGCAAATATATTTGTGAAAACTAACATATTCCGACATTAAATTTGTAGCTTGGCAGTATAGGTATACTTTCATGAGCTGGATCGACCAATATTATATAAGTGTAATGACCATATGAGTGGAGTTAAAAATCATTATAAATGTTTATCAAATAGATATACAGACGATATTTAATTAAATGGTCTTTTGAAAAATCTCATTGCAAATCTATTTGCTGTAACTCGTTTAAAGCCTTTTTTCTGTAACTAAAAAGGAAAGTATACTAGATACACTTACTGGAAATGTGAAGATATGATTGAAGCTTAAATTTTCTCCTGGACAACATATATGTACGTTTCGGCGATAAAGTGTATCGACAAGTAGTAGGTATTCCTATGGGCACTTACTGCGCCCCTTTAATAGCAGATTTATTCCTGTATTGCTATGAATCTCAGTTTATGACCAAACTTAGTAAAGACACGTCATTGTTACATTTGGTTGATACATTTAACAGTACCTACCGTTATCTTGATAATATTTTTTCGTTAAATAATCCAGAGTTATATACTACCGAAATTTACCCAAAAGAAACTTACTTTAACAAAATCTAATATAAACAACAGTAGTTGTCCTTTTCTAGATTTAGACATTTCAATTGCTAAAGGACTCCATACTAAAATTTACGACAAAAGAGACGATTTTTCATTCCCTATTGTTAATTTTCCTTTTTTAGACGGCGATGTTCGTTTGGCTCCATCATACGGTGTTTATATATCCCAACTCGTTCGTTATGCCCATGTGTGTAGTGATGTCATAGATTTTAACGAACGTAATCAATGCATCACTGGTAAATCATTAAGTCAGGGATTTTGTTACCATAAATTACTTAAAACTTTTACTAAATTCTTTCATAGATACAAAGATTTGATTAGTAAATTTGGCTGTACCTGTAGAAAACTTATTAAAAGCGGTATTTCACATCCTTAATTTTACGGTAATATTGTACTAAAAGCGCGGAAATCACTATGTGATCCGTGTAAACTCATCGAACCTTTAAACAAACTTATTAGTAAAGGTTATCTTACCAATGTTGTAATTAGATCTTTGAATATATTTTACATTGGCACAAATATCGATTTTGTCATTAGCAAATTAAAACATAACTAAATTTGTATTCTTTTCAAACGGGATGTATTATAAATTCACATCCACGTTCATTTTTTCTATATAGAGTTTAACTCCTAACTATCCTACTGCCTGTCGATACTTTTATTTTTGGCATTGCACGTCATGTCTTCTTTGACTGTCCATGACGTTAAAATACTAAATCCCTATGTGTTTTAGTTGATTTTAGTCTCTGATGCATGATTTTTTTATTATTAATTGTTTTTGGCTTTTAATTTAACTAGCATTCAGTAACTGCGAATACTCTCAAATCGTACTTTCTTGTTAATTTGACCTGTTGATACAATCTGTAATGCTTTCTTATTATTTAATGTTTATTTGTTTAATGTTATATCTCGTCTCTCTATTTTCAATATATACCAGCTTTGATGTGTTTGGTATGGCTATACATTTTCACTTCTGTTCTCATACTATGTAAAAAATATTTCCGTTCTCCATTTATACTGTATACCTTCCAACAAAATTATTTTCATTTACCTGTGTACATTATTCTATTTGGCGGCATTTTGTTCAAGGTTATGGCTATTTTTCTGAAATTGTTTAACATATAACCCCTTATTTTATTGATTTTGTATTTACATTGTGTCATAGATCAAATTTATTCGTTCAGTGTATGTTCACTTGTGTTAATATGTCTTTTGATTGAGTTAAGCCATTTCAATTGATATTTTATAGTGTGTCTTTCTATGTTGTGATTTTACACTATTGTTTCAGATAAGGGTGAAGGTTGGTACCTATTAAAACGTTTACACCCGCTGCATTTGTTTGCACCTGTCTTAAGTCAGGAATCTGATGTTCAGTAGCTGTCGTTTGTTGATGTGGTTCATTAGTGTTTCTCGTTTCTCGTTTTTTATATAGATTAGACCGTTGGTTTTCCCGTTTGAATGGCTTTACACTAGTAATTTTGGGAGCCCTTTATAGCTTGCTGTTCGGTGTGAGCCAAGGCTCCGTGTTGAAGACCGTACTTTGACCTATAATGGTTTACTTTTACAAATTGTGACTTGGATGGAGAGTTGTCTCATTGTCACTCCTACCACATCTTCTTATATCTATGACAAACAAAAACAGCTGATCTACAAGGTTTACCGTGTACTTTTCACTATAAATCATGTGCTGTACATGTGTTACAATCCTAGACAATGCCGAATAGGAAATGCTTTACAAAACATAAGCTATCTTTAATAAATGACAACTTTACACGACTGACGTTCTCAGGGTTATACAGGGCTTACACCATAATTTATATATATTACTTCGCCTGAAATTGAGCCCAACAATGTTAGATCTGCAAATTTGCGTTTGCAAAATAGTTTTCTTCCTTCAGTGGTTTTCGAACCCCTGCTTCTGTGAGAGCCTGACAACACGCCTGCACTTTGAACAGTGCCCTACATCTCTAGGCCAACTAGGCTATAAAGCTATAACCTTCGGAAGTCGAGTTATATCTTTTCTCGTCTGCCATATCTAGTGTTGTAATACAGTACATGGTGTATGATGTCAGTAGGTGTCAGACCACCAATTCACTCCTTTAAATTTAGAACGTAGAACATAAAAGAAGCCCGACTAGGACAAAAATAGTGCTTTTGATTTCATTGTTTACTTAAACTAACCTTGCAACACATTTGCAGAAATGAAACTTTTGGTAACAGAGAAGTATATTTAGACCATTTTGAGCCAAAATTTACTTTCTATGAGTTTGCATTAAAAAAATTGAGGATTAATGCGCTTCATAGTTTACTATTTAAGATTTCCAGAAAACCAGGGGATATTTTAGTGGTACTTGGCTTCCGAAAGGCAGATTTTTTTTTACAAGACTTTAAACATGGATTGAAAATTGGCAACATTGCATGCACTGTGTCCTGTGTCCTAGAGCTCTTTGGTTTTAACACAGTATATGATGAACAGCTATACCTAGCATACACACTAATGAATTATAACTGTATAGTTTCACAAATACAATTATTCGACTAATTGTTCCTGTTAATTTTTCTATTATAAGACAACATTCTCTTTGGAGGCTTACAACTCCCTCGGACAATATTTGCATTAGGCAGCTGTTACAGAATGTTGCGGACCTTTTTGGTATTTTTTGGCTTTAAAATCTCGGTTCTATTATGTACTAGAAAAAGAATTTTTATTCCAGAAATTCATGTTGGCTGCACGGAAATCGTTTATTTTTTTTTCCCATTGAATAAAGTATACAAAATAAACGCATTGTCCTTTAACCATAAAACGTACCTTTTCAGCAGCATCGCGCATGAACTGTTTTGCTTTTAGGTCCAAAATAGCCGGTACGGTGAGTACCCAGTGAACATCATCATTACAGAATTTTCTAGTTTTTGTCTTGGAAGAGCTGTCACCTAGACCTCCAGTCTGATTAATAACACAATCTCCGTGACTCACTTGTAAAGCTTTAAGAAAGTGTCCTTTGAAGAACTCAATAACGGCTGCAAAAACATCGACTGCTTTCATTTTCTTGGCCGAATTACCTTCTACATTGATAGATTCTACAAGCCATGTATCTTTCGACAATTCGTCCTGAAATCAACAAAACTATAAAAATTATTTAAACACCAAATCACGTGCCGTTTTATTTCCTTCTTCAAGTTATTGGTCATCTAGTTGGAAGCACTGTGCAGGTACTTTTTGTTAAATCTATGACATATTGTATAGATAAGTAATGGTACAGGTTTGTACCCACGTGACACTGGTTTGACCCAACTAAATGATGTGCAAGTACCAAGTCAGGTTATCTTAACCGTGTGTTCGTTGTCGTTTTGTTTGTACAACGAGTTTGTTTGTTTTTCCCCGGGAGGTTCGATGTTTGTTTTTCCCCGGGGGGTTCGATGTTTGTTTTTCCCCGGGGGGTTCGATGTTTGTTTTTCCCCGGGAGGTTCGATGTTTGTTTTTCCCCGGGGGGTTCGATGTTTGTTTTTCCCCGGGAGGTTCGATGTTGATGCTTAATGTTCTTAATACTTAACAAAGAGAGCGACCGAACACCATAAAAACTATCAATAATCGTAAATGGTTAAGATCAAAGAACAATTGTCGATTATATAGTCATGGTCTTAATCGCTCCGAGCGTAGAAAAAATGTGAAAAATTTAACCGATAATTAATAAAATACCCTAAAGATTAAAAAAGAACATTCCGATATAACGAAAGACAACCCACTGGTATCGTTTCTACCTTAGAACTCGCAGATAACAATGTAGTGGGGTTAAGTTAGTGTGTTAAGATTTTAACTGTCCCCACATAATCTTGATAAGAGGAATAATAAAAGAAACGTTACAAAATCAGTAACGATCAAACTTTTCAACAGGTATTACAGGCATCAGAATCACAGGTATGAACAAATACTCTGGCAGTTACTTAGCAACTGTTATTTACAACCTGTATTATATTATGTCGTCCTACATCATAATAGATATGCAATATGAAAGAGCACAGAGAGTCAAAATTATAAGCAATATAAAGAGTATGTTGCACAGAATTTTAATACAAAATTAAAAAAGTATGTAATATTATATATATATTTAAGGTTAAGAGAACTAACGAGATTCCCAAACATAACCGAGATGCAATGATTTGACAGCAACAGTACACTCGTAACCTACATCAGTAAGGATCCTTAGTCAAAAAGAAATGTTTGAATAATTAAATATTTTCGTTAAACAGAAACTTGCCTTCTCTTTGTATAACATCATCTTGAAGTGTTCAAAATAAAACCATTTGGTTAAATCTTCTTTATTAGGGTTATTCTTGTAATAATCACGTGCCTCGTATCCGAAACTTTGGAACTTTTGGTTTGGACGAAATAACACACAAGTTGGTGCTTTGTAGGTCATCCATCCACCAGCCGACCATGCAGGACAATTTATTTTCGGTTGTTCCGTTTTCCTTTGAAGGTATTTGTCATAATCGTCTTTACTAGAGTAAGCATAAAAAATTATCCAGAAAACGTGGTTCCGAAATCGATGGCAGCAACAACGGGTTTCTACATTATAAAAATCTTTGGCTTATTTGGACAGAATATACTTAATTGAAAAGAATATTTTCCCAAAAATCACAGCAAAACTTAGAATAATAAACTGATCATACTATGTGCTGCATAACAAACTCTAAATACTAATACTACTCCATTTGTTTACATGTGTTTACAAAATATTTCTTTAAGATTTAAAGTCGAAAAATTAAAGAAAGATGTAGAAACGTCAGAAAGTATTGTTAACATTGACAGATCAAAGTTAACGAAAACAATTATTAGGTAAAACCGGATGTGTCACACGAATGCCATCACCTACAGCCATATCTCAAATCAAAGTACTGAAGTACTGATCATCGGATGACCGCATGTTCTGGTGGATGTTCACAAGCACTTGTCTCAGAAAAAAAAACACATCTCTATAACTGAAAGTTAGGTTAAGGTACATAGATATATTATTTTCTGAGACAAGTTCGTGTGTGGATGATGAATAAATGACAAGGAATTCAACCTCACCGTAATAACTATTATATTGAAGTGATATAATCATTTGTTATCACTGAGACTACTATAACACATATGTGTTATAGTAGTCTCAGGTTATCAGTATACTCTGGTTTGTTGTTATATATTATATTTATATTTATATAACAGTTATATATAATTTTCATCCATTTGTATATCATTCTATTCTACTATTCTAACGATATAGCGCAGTGCAAGTGCTAGTCCGAGATTACTCTGACGTCCAACGGCTGTTTTGCCAGACAAGCTGGGGCCGTGGGACGTCAGAGCTCGTCCCATATCAAAAAGTGGATATTTGCCCGTCTAAAATAGATGCGCTGCTTCGTCGCTTCTGGTGCCAACGGACGGCCTTGGAATTATATAAATCGGGTATCAATTTGTTCATTTTTCATTTATCTCTTCATTTATGTAAGTTTCGCCTACCTGCCACCCTTTATTTTCTCATATTTAGACAGTTTTCACAGTGACCCATCGATTCAGACATTTTTACTTTTATTTTCAAATGGACGTCAAGTTACGAGAGATTTTGCGACCTCGAGACTCAAATATGCAAATATTTATACTTTTTTCACCTCCTTTATAGGAGATCGATATTTAACATTTAGTGGCAAACCACGATTTTTCACCTCCTTTACAGGAGATCGGTATTAAGCATTTAGTGCCAACCACGATAACATTCGGAAGCTCTCGGATATTTACATTGCTAGCATCATAAATGAGCGATGTGTTAGATTATATATTCATATTGACCTAGGGTCATATGCATACATCATTTCCCATAGTCCATTGTGCCTTACTTTTTTCTCGTGATCACATGACAATCTTTCAAAATGTAAGTCAAAATGCCAGAATCGGTGGGTCACTGTGAAAACTGTCTAAATATGAGAAAATAAAGGATGGCAGGTAGGTGAAACTTACATAAATGAAGAGATAAATGAAAAATGAACAAATTGATACCCGATTTATATAATTCCAAGGCCGTCCGTTGGCACCAGAAGCGACGAAGCAGCGCATCTATTTTGGACGGGCAAATATCCACTTTTTGATATGGGACGAGCTCTGACGTCCCACGGCCCCAGCTTGTCTGGCAAAACAGCCGTTGGACGTCAGAGTAATCTCGGACTATGCAAGTGCATGGTGGACACTCTTCTGTAATAATTCGTTTTTCTAATAGATATGATTTGAGTAGGCATTCATATTTTCCCGCGTTTGTTGCAAAACGTTCTTGAGATATAATTCTTCCGCATGCGTTAACACAAATTTTCGGTATTCTTGATTTGTTATTGGTATTGTAACATTTTTATATGTTAGGTCAAGCGTGTTATCTGATTGTATCAGGTTTACATACATCTGTATTTTCACCCATAGCCATTTAATACAGTTAGAGATCATCAGAGATTATATTAATTAGGAGTTATATTTAGATTTCTTTGTTTGACTAGTGAGCCCTAATGATTTGCATATGGTGATCTAGTAAATTTATGTAAGGAGCACGGAACACTAGGAGCCCGGATCACCGGAGCACCCGGAGCACCCGGACTTCAGGAGCACGGACTACACGGTGCCCGGTTGCCCTAGTAATCTATATTTGTATACGGGCTTGTAGGAGTCATATAAAAGAGAGAAAGAGCGTGGAATAAGGAGGAGAGAGAATTTATATAGTGAGGAGAGGACAGTTACCGTTACGTTTGTAGAGTAGAGAGGAGAACCGTATTGTTGAGCCTGAAGTTAGATGTACATTGTGTTATACTTGTAACTTTGTTATAGTCTTATGATTTTAATAATACAGTATTGAACTTTTATTCGACTTCGTGTTTATGTTCACTTGCAAGACTTCGTTCAGACTACACCAGGATTCATTTGTTTATTTATGTGACCAGGATTCCCTTAATCACGCTACCAGTAGATTTCAAGGGTAACCCTGTTAAAGAGTATACTTGGCATTTGTCGTCCGTGTACGAGTGAAACTTAGACACCCAACAACACAACACAACCACAAGAATACACACTTTAGTTCAAGTACCATACTAAACTTTTTCGTCACAGTATATATATATTTCTCACGACAAAACATTTTCATATCATTTATCTATGTTCTTAAAAATTATTTTCATGAATATTTATTGATGAAATCAATATATAACAAGCGATAAGGAATGTTATTTCGCACTCGATAATATCTGTGTAATTATACGAAATACATTCGGTTATCAGTCAAAAACGCAAGTCACGTGGGTAGAAATGTCTGTGGCAACTTAACACCGGAATGCCCGGATGGGCATCCGCTGTAAAAAATATGTCGGAACGAAAAATGCACTGTTTATATCATGTATATGGTCATTATGATATACCAATGTCCCAAATATCTGCTGTATATTTTCCATGACAAAAAAGTCAGCAAAGTATTTTTTCACGATCCAAAAAGAGTTAATTCCCCCAAAAGTCATTCTACAAAAAGGGAAACTCAATTGAGTTTTGTAAGTCATCATTACACATTGATGTACAAAAAGTAAATCAAATACCTTTAGACGCAGACACAAGAAAAGTTCAAACAACTCTTTAATTTCAGAATGACGGAACGACGGACATAGGTGACACGTATACAGTGGCAAAAATAGCTCAATATTGTGAAATAAAAATATTGGCTGTTAAAATTGATACACTTACAACAGATGCTGAGGATGCCATCTTCAATGACATAGTCTGATTTACATCTGAAACAGAAATGGGATATTTGGTTAAGCAATTATAAGTATGTTAACAATAGGAACATGAGTTTATTCTTGAAATACATCAGTAAAAAGTATAACACAAATGATCAGAAAAAAACAAAACAAATATTGAACAATACAACAGATCACACCAATAAAGAAACTGGATACTCCAGTACCAATGTTATCTTCAATATCGTAATAGTCTTGGAGTAAATTCTGGTCCTTCCTGAAACCCCAGTCTACGTATCAATAATGAAAATCCTCATTCCTTATTAAGTAAACAAAACATGTTTCATTAATACTATGCGTGTCTTGATGTTTTAAAGGTAAAGCCAGAAATTGTCAAATGGTATAAATAAAATGGTACTTACAAACATAAATTAACTAACTAATACATCTGCAATCATCAGTATTACTGGTAATAGAATGGCACGAAATAAAGCATTGTACTTCCGTGTTGAAAGTTGTAAGTCAATGATTTCAATGTCCGTGTCTGGTGAAACACACACCTATATATTCAAATTTAAATGTTCTATTGATTCAAAATGGAATCAACTACGACATATGTTAGTTGTATATATTTGTAGATATAGAGTATGTAGTACAATGGTGTACTATTACGACTCGGACGTGACAGAAGTAAAATAAACCAATTATAACTTGTTTTAATCGTTTTCTCCGTTTTCGTTTATTACCTCAGTGCGTAACATTATATTGCTAAAAACTAAACATTTTAATTTCTCAAAATCCGAAGCAGCAGAAGAGAAAGAATGGTCGACATTTCAGGCTATAGATTGCATATCAGTTTCTTCTGACCTAAGTCTAGTTCTACGCTTTCCTGATTCATTCCCAGTTTTATCAAGAATATTCTATGACGTCTCATCCATAGCCTGAAACAAGAATCACTTCAACAGACATTACTTGACATTACTTTTTGATTCTTCGATGCCCACACCACCATCACCATCAATTTTGATGTTCATATTTTTTTTCTCTCCTGGGCACAAGTAGGCCATGACCAATAAAATAAACATTTTTTTCTTTGTAGCAACTTTCCATTGTTTTGTTGTTCTTATGTTGTGTTGTTACACCACTGTCCCAGGTTAGGGAGGGCTGAGCGCTCACAAACATGTTTATGAGCCTGTCTCAAATCAGGAACCTGTAGTTGAGTGGTTGTGGTTGGTTCTTGTCTGTGATGTGACAAAAAACACAAATTGTTTTGATATAAATTAGGCCGTTAGTTTTCTCGTTTGAATTATTTCACATTTTTCATTTTTCTCATTGTTGAAGGTCGTATAGTGCCTATAATTTCTTAAATTTACTTCATTCAGTTAACTCTGGTGGATTGTTGTCTCATTTGCAATCATTCCACCTCTCCTTATTTTTTATATATGTCTATTTTATGTAAATTTCCTTTCCTTTTGATTTTCCTATTATCTTCGTAATTAGAAATTTGTAAGGACTACAAACAGAAAGAACAGTTTCTATGAGCCAACTTTTTTCTTGAAACTTTAACGGATATTTATTAATTGACCGACGTATTAACGTTCAGTTACAAGTATGTCATGCATATTCAGGAAGAAAACAAATTAACGAAGATTGCAAAGTTAGGTTCTGCAAAGTCGGTCTACCGGATGAAGGGCGAGAATTTCGACTGTCATTGGAAATTAAGGGTGTTTTTAGTTCCGAATGCCACTGGGAACTTAGTTGTTGGATATGATAAGAAATTTTGATTGAAACAGGCCATCTACAGACCCCACAAAGAGATTTCGCAATTATTCTTTAATAACGTACAGAGAGCTTGGTACTTTCCCCACACGATCCATAAGATATAACGTTCCTATTTCCTACCCGGCATGTTTGCGTACTTTTACATCCTGCACATCAAAACGGACGACTCCTAAAACATCGTTTTATTGCCGTCTGAGAGAAGTCCAGAGTATACTCATAATTATATCCATAGTCAACACATCGTGTTTGTACAGGAGACATAACACGAGATCGACACATCATATCTGAAGATAGTAGAAGACATTATCTGTAAGGTGGTCTGAATTTTTATTTCTTCTTTTTTTTGTGACGTAAAGATTTAGACAGCTTTTCTTCTTAAATATATTTCCTGAAAGTTGAAAATACACTTTGTTCAATATATGTCATTCTGAATAGTAAGTGTCTGCTAAATACTGCATCACAAAGCACTGAAATATTTTTATACCGTTATATAATAAAACAAAACAAGAGGCTCTCAAGAGCCTGTAATTTTTTGCTTAAATCTTTCATCAACGATTAGTTCTGCTTTTTAATATATATTAATGAGGGGCTTAAAAATTCCATTGACATGTTCTTTGTATCTGTCATATTTTCCCCAAAAGCAAAGAAATGCATTTTACCCATAGTGGCTATGTTTCTTGACGAACAAGAAAATAAAATACAAAATTTATACTTGACACTCTGAAACTCATTCAGCCCAAGTTTGGCTGAAATTGATTCAGCAATTTCAAAGGAGAAGATTTTTTAAAGTTAGAAAACATAATAAACAAATTGTGTAAAATTGTCCTCAAAGGGCAATAGTCCTTAAGGGGTCAATTAAAAATTTTGGTCATATAAACTTATTTGTAGATCTTACTTTGCTGAACATATTTGCTGTTTACAGATTATATTTATCATTAATACTATTAAGAACAATAACCAAAAACTGCAAAATTTCCTTAAAATTACCAATTTAGTGGCAGCAACCCAACAATGGGTTATTAGATTCATCTGAAAATTTCAAGGCTGATAGAACTTCACCTAATGTTTACCCCATGTCAGATTTGTTCTATCTCCTTTGGTTTTTAGATATAAGCCAAAGACTGCATTTTACCCCTATGTTCTATTTTTAGCCATGGTGGCCATGTTTTTTGACGAAACAGAAAATAAAACGCTAACTTTATTCTAGATACCCTAAGGATCATTCATCTTAAGTTTGGTTGGAATTGGTTCAGTGGTTTCAGAGGAGAAGATTTTTTAAAGTTAGAAAACATGATAAACAAATTGTGTAAAATTGTCCTCAAAGGGCAATAGTCCTTAAGGGGTCAATTGACAATTTTGGTCATATAAACTTATTTATAGATCTTACTTTGCTGAACATATTTGCTGTTTACAGATTATATTTATCATTAATACTATTTAGGACAATAACCAAAAACTGCAAAATTTCCTTAAAATTACCAATTTAGTGGCAGCAACCCAACAATGGGTTATTATATTCATCTGAAAATTTCAAGGCTGATAGAAGTTCACCTAATGTTTACCCCATGTCAGATTTGTTCTAACTCCTTTGGTTTTTTAGATATAAGCCAAAAAATGCATTTTATCCCTATGTTCTATTTTTAGCCATGGCGGCCATGTTTTTTGATGAAACAGAAAATAAAACACAAACTTTATTCTAGATACCCTAAAAATCATTCAGCTTAAGTTTGGTTGGAATTGATTCAGTGGTTTCAGAGGAGAAGATTTTTTTAAAGTTTGAAAACATGATCAACAAATTGTGTAAAATTGTCCTTAAAGGGCAATAACTCTTTAAGGGGTCGATTGACAATTTTGGTCATATAAAACTTATTTGTAGATCTTACTTTGCTGAACATATTTGCTGTTTACAGTTTATCTTTATCATTGATACTTTCCAAGATAATAACCAAAAACTGCAAAATTTCCTTAAAATTACCAATTTAGTGGCAGCAACCCAACAATGGGTTATTAGATTCATCTTAAAATTTCAGGGCTGATAGAACTTTACCTTATGAACACTTTTATCCCTTGTCAAATTTGCTCTAGCTGCTTTGGTTTTTTAGATATAAGCCAAAAACTGCATTTTACCCCTATGTCCTATTTTTAGCCATGGCGGCCATGTTTTTTGACGAAACAGAAAATAAAACACAAAATTTATTCTAGATACCCTAAGGATCATTCAGGTAAGTTTGGTTGGAATTGGTTCAGTGGTTTCAGAGGAGATGTTTGAAATAGTTTACACCAGACGGACGACGACGACGGACGCCAAGTGATGGCTAAAGCTCACCGTTCCTCTTCGGAACGGTGAGCTAAAAATAATTCAGAATAGTAGAGTAAAACCAACTTTAAGAAGTGTCGAAAACCGTTTCCTTCAGCAGATGGAATGTAAACTGTACCATTTTATGATTTTTATTATTCGAATATCTCATACAGCAGTTCACGTTATAAAATATTGCAATTTTGATTTCCAGTTTGTATTAAAAATGTATTTTAATGTGTTCATTTCAGCATCTCCTGTAAAAAAAGAGATAACCAAGGTGGTATTTAAAAATCATGTACAATATAAAAACAATATCATGTCCAAAAATAAAACCGCTGAAAGGACAAACAATAATAACAAAGTATGACACAGCCGGAACAATAAAGACAGAGCACAACGAATTCAACCAAAAACCGGGGATGAATTCTGGAGCTGCGTGAATGTATCTAAACCGAAATTGGAAAGTTCACACTTTATGTCAAGAAAAGAAACCGACTTAACTGTGGCATGCTGTATTTTAAGTTCATTGGGATAGATGCAGTCAACGTAGTCATTCAATTTAGAATTTTTCTGTGAAAGGACAATGGTCATCATCTTAATATATAAAGCGAAAAGTTATTTTTAATTTTTTCTTGGGAAACTTCTGAATGAAGTCAGCCTCATAATAAAATGCTTCGCTGAGTGCAGCCTGATACGACCGCAGAGGTCGAACCCTGAACATTTGGGGCAAATTTGGACACAATATTCAAGCTTGATACTGTCTGGATTTGGATTGTGATCAAATTTTTGACATAATATAGGTTTCTGACACAAAATAAATGTGGTCAAAGATCTTATAAATCCATTGCGCAATACTGTGCAATTGAAGATTTCTTCTTGAAACTTTTCCCTTAAAAAAATTGGGAAAAAATCACCCCCCCCCCCCCCCCAACTTTTTAAAACCCCCCTTGGAGCAATAACCCCAAAACTCAATCCCAGCATTTCCTTTGTAGTATGGAACCTTGTAGTGCAATTTCAGAGAGATCCATACACTTACACACAAGTTATTGTCTGGAAACTAGAAAAATGCTTGTTTTTGGCCCTTTTTTGGACCCTAATTCCTACATATTTGGGGCAATTAACCCCAAACTCAATCCCATCCTTCCCTTTGTTATATGGAACCTTGTAGTACAATTTCAGAGAGATCCATACACTTACACACAACTTATTGTCTGGAAACTAGAAAAATGCTTGTTTTTGGCCCCTTTTTAACCCTTAATTCCTAAACTGTTGGCCCCCAGAACCCCTAAAATAAATCCCAACCTTCTACTTGTGGTATTAAACATTGTGGTACAATTTCAGAGCAATCGAAATACTTATTCACAAGTAATTATCCTGAAACTAGAAAAATGCTTGTTTTGGGCCCCTAATTCCTAAACGGTTGGGACCATCATCCCCCAAATCAATTCTGACCTTCCATTTGTGGTATTGAACCTTCTTTAAAAATTAAATAGAGATCCATTCACTTAAACTAAAGTTATTGTCCGGAAACCAATGTGTCTTTGGACGCAGACGCAGACAACGACGACATCATATCATTATACGATACCAAAAAATTTTGTGTGGTCGTATAAAAATAAAGGACAAGACGGCAAGCAGAGGGGCACCAAGTTGGATCCAACAGGACACTGATTTTTTCCCCTATATGTTGTAGATCATGGTTAATCTTGCTTCTTTTCTACTTTGTACTAGAGATGCCCACTTTATGTGTTGAAGGAGATTACATTTTATCAACAGATAAAGCACTTGATAACATTGGGCACATTTTTATTAGGTTGTTTACAGAAATTACAGTCCCATGTATTACATATTAATTTAATAAACCTCAGCATAAATTTATAATCTTTTCCTTCTTCTTTCTTTTTAAAAGTGGAATAAAATTACATCTTTATGTTTATTTAAAATTAAATGTTTTAAATGTCTTCGTCAAGCCGCAACGAAATGAATTGTTCATAAAGATGATCACTATGAATGATAATCTTATGTATATTTACTACTTGTTTGTTTTATTGTATATGTGTATGTATTGTATCATTTTCTATTCTTTACATTTACTTATGTTATTTTGTTCTTGCATTATATTGTTCCATAATGATGGAAGTCACGTGCACAGTACATCAAGTACACGAAGGCACATTTCATAGCAGACATCGTATACATTAGGATTTCAATTAAGAAACATGATTTATAATAACTTAAAATCACATAGATTTGTTCATTCAAAAGAAAATTCTTATAATTAAATCCGTTCCTGCATCGAAAATCTAGACTTATTGTGTCCTGCTTTTTTACAACAAGGATGGTGGAAGATCCATATACCATCTTAAATGAAGGATATGTACACAAAAGTTGCTCATAGATCCTTCAGGATTTCAGCAAAACACAACAGCAGCCAAATTTTTTTTTATAAGTAACTACAACACATCTATAGCTGGTAGATTTCCAGAATGATCAACCCATCTGAGGTTATTTTCCCTAGAGGGAAGTGTCCCCAAATCACAACTTTTAATGATTAAGGACAATGAGTATTAACAGACAACTTAAATGTATATATTGACTGCAGGCTACAGAATGTACACACATTCAGCTCGTTCTTATGTAATTGTTGATGTGACTTTCAAATAATCTACAAATACAAAATGTATTAAACTTTTATATATTATTATTAATTAATATATCTAGGTGCTGCAAGACCTTGAAATGTTTCATTTACAAAAGTCTGTACTCAAAATAATGTTCATGGTGTAAACACAGTAAGTTTTTGCCAAAAAGATAGATCCCTTAATTTATTCAAATAAATACATTGGCCATTTTAAACAACATAACAAATCTTATCTAAAGAAGTCAAGAATGGTAACAAAAGACAAGTAGTCAATAAACTCATCATAGATACAAGGATTAAAATTTTGTACTCCAGAGGCACTTTTCGTCTCCAAAAGACTCATCAGTGATGCTTGCATCAAAAAAGTTAAAAAGGCCAAATAAAGTACATGTTGAAGAGCATTCAGGACCCAAAATTCCGAAAGGTTTTGCCAAATACAGCTAAGGTTATCTATTCCTAAGGGTAGCCATGGTAGCAAATCCTTAGTATATCGAAAAATTAAAAAGTCAAATTATGATATATCCATAATCAAAATATATCAAAACATTTATGACAACATAAACATGGAAATAGCTGGGATTTTTATTAAATATAATGCAAATAAATCTTTAAAATAGTAAACAAGAATTTATTGCAAACAATATTTTCTCATGGTTTGAATAACATATCAAAATATTTATTGTTACAATGAAAAATTATTGGCACTTTTCAGTAAAGAAATGGTCATAACAATAAAATATTAGCATATAAAATCCCAATAAATCAAATATCTGTTTACTCTGAGGTTCTAACAATGACACATTTATAATAAAATACTTCGCTGAGCGCAGCCAGATAGGACCGCAGAGGTCTTACCCTGAACATTTGGGGCAAGTTTGGACACAATATTCAAGCTTGATACTGTCTGAATTTGGATTGTGATCAAAATTTTGACATAATATAGGTTTCTGACACAAAATAAATGTGGTCAAAGATCTTAAAAATTTGAAATGGGACATTTAATTTACCTAGAATGGTCTGATATCCAAAATCTAACAACATGGTTAGATTCAGCATATAAAAAAACACCAAAAATTTAATTTTAGTTGAAATCAAACAAAGTTTAATTTTAGACCCTTCAAACTTAAATACATGTATGGAATATTTTGAAAACAGGGCCCAAAATAAAAATGCTAAATGCACAATAAGATTCAGCATATCATACAGCTGCAATAATTCAATTTTTGATGAAATCAAACAAAGTTTAATTTTGGACCCTTTTGGCCTCAATGTAGACCAATTTTAAAATGGGCCCAATATCCAAAAAAAAGTAATACAAGGTTAGAACCCCCAAAAATTATAGACTTTAAATCAATCCCATTGAAATTGGTTAAAAGATCTGTATTTATTTTCAATTGAAGATTTCTTGCTATTGCGCAATACTGTGCAATTTAAGATTTCTTGCTATTGTGCAATACTGTGCAATTGAAGATTTCTTGCTATTGTGCAATACTGTGCTATTGAGCAATACTGTGCTATTGCGCAATAATTTGTTGTTGCGCAATACTATGCTATTGCGCAATATTGTGCAATTGAACATTTCTTGCTATTGTGCAATACTGTGCAATTGGAGATTTCTTGCTATTGCACAATTGAAGATTTCTTGCTATTGTGCAATACTGTGCAATTGAAGATTTCTTGCTATTACCCAATACATAGCAATTAAAGATTTCTTGCTATTGCTCATTAGTGTGCTATTGTGCAGTACTGTGCTATTGCGCATTACTGTGCAATTGAAGATTTCTTACTATTGCGCAATACTGTGCTTATGCGCAATACTGTGCAATTGAAGATTTCTTGCTATTGCTCAATACTGTGCAATTGAAGATTTCTTGCTATTGCGCAATAATGTGCAATCATTTGAAATTTCTAAAATTTTGAAGAATAAAAATATGAACCCCCAAAAAAATTGAAAAAAAAAAATCCCCCCAACATTTTTGAACCCCCTCCCGTTTGGAGTAATTAACCCCAAATTAATCCCAGCCTTCCCTTTGTGGTATGAAACCTTGTAGTACAATTTTAGAGAGATCCATCCATACACTTAAACACAAGTTACTGTCTGGAAAATAGAAAAATGCTTGTTTTTGGCCCCTTTTTGCCCCTTATTCCAGAGCCGTTGGGGTAACTACCCCCAAACTCAATCCCAGCCTTCCTTTTGTGATATGGAACCTTGTGGTATAATTTCTGAGAGATCTATACACTAACACACAAATTATTGTCCGGAAACTACAAAAATGCTTGTTTTTGGCCCCTAAATTCCTAAACTGTTGGTACCATAACCCCTAAAATCAATCCCAACCTTCCTTTTGTGGTATTGAACCTTCTGGTAAAGTTTGAAACCAAATGTGTCTTCGGACGACGCCGCCGCAGACGATGACGACACCATAGCATTATACGATATAAAAATGTTACCAAAATATAAATGCCTAAAGATGGCTTCAGCAATTTGGAAGATTGGCATATTTAAGGAATTATTTAAAAACATTACATGGACATTTTTAACAAATCTAAATATTTCAGATACCTCTATGTTTCATAATTAGTGAGTATTGGATATCACTTGATATAAACTTGAGTTATTATTTTCAATACAACAATAATTAAGTCTTTATGGCAAGTTTGTCATTATTAATATTAGAAATAAAATAACAATAGTTGATATCAAGCAATATCCAATTCTCATTAGTTGTTAAACGAATTTCTCTTATTGTAAAAAGATTTTTTTTTCGATCTAGCAAGCATCATGTCAAATTGAAGTCTGCATTCAGTATTGATAATATAATGTCAGGAACCAGACTTATATTAAATCAGATGTTTTAGTATGTTCCCGAATGGAATCAAATTTGACAAAAATAATATTTACCAGTGAAGAAATCTTAAATATCTGTTGCCATGGAGGAAAAGTAGTTCATTGTGACCTTTTAATTCATGATTGAAATGAAATGTCGCATTGCAGGATAGGCAAACCAAATTAACACATTTTCTATATCACACTATAATCAGTGTGATACAAAAAATATCTCTTCATATGGGAAAAAGATAAAAGGCAAAAAAGCATGGTAGAAAAAAGTAATTCATTATGGAAAAAATGTCTTTAAATGCAAATCATCTACAATAACATGTAAAATTAGTGATATTGTATCAAAAGTATCTTCAACAGCAATGACTGAGAGGTATAACAATTATTGCATTTCGATTTAACAGACTTATGTAAAATTATAAAAAAGATTGGAATATTATCTACCCTTATTCATATACACATTTTAGTAGGTTTCAGAAACTCTAATTTTAGTCCTTGATTGAAATAAATTTAAGCAAAATTGGTCATACCCCCTTATAGTAACCTTCAAAAAAATATAACAGGAAGAAGAAAATGTACATGGTTAAAAATTAACACATGCAATACTGACCAATGAATTATAAAAAAAAAGCAAACAACTTTACCAGTATCAAAATAAACTAAAATAAGCTCTGTATTCATTTTTGGTGGCTTTTTCGTTTGCAACTGCTACAATTTCAGTGCCACTAGCATTAATTCTCAATGAAAGTCCTCCGTCTTTAGAAAGCTTTTTTGCAAGGTCAACACTTAATACCCCTATCATTTTACACTCAGATTCGGTAGTGTATTTTGGGTCAATTACCTCAGTTGCAAAGAATTCAAAATGAACACATTTTTGTTCGTCTACAACAGGGTAGTAGGTATGCTCTGGTTCAAAATGCCCGATTTCTACCACTTGTCCTTTGGTCACATGAATATCAAAAATATCATCTATAAGTCTGCCATGGCTAGGACGCTTTGATGCATCATCAACGCCATCTATATAGTTCCTTTGCATTGCTACACCATATGTATATCTAGAAACACGTGAGGTAATTATTTCTGGTTCAAATCCATACAATACGGCTCCTTTCAGAACAGCTAGTCCAGGGTCTCTTGGAACAATAACATCTATTTCCGGTCCAAGTTTTTCTTTAATAGCATCTATTAAAACAGAAGATTCGGAAAATCCTCCAACTGCCAATAATGTCTGCACATAGGAAAGTTCTTCTTTACGGAAAAGTCTTTCAAGTTCATCAGTAACATTCACAATTGAATAATCAAAGAAAGTACGGAAGAGGGAGTGATCAATCCTGAGTTTGTCTGATACAATTTTGATCTTTTTGTTGAAGTTTGTTTGGGGTATAACATCTTTTAATGTATCCTCCGTAATTTCTTCATATTTGGTGAGCCAAACAAGCGGAAGTCTCACAGTGACTTTGTTAGTGTCTTCCTTAAAATTGGTTTTGGCATGCTCAAAATTATGCATAAGTTCATAATATTCTACTGGGTGATTCTCTTTAACAGCGTTTATCACATCTCCACCTAACAATCGAACTAAGAATTTATAAAACTCTCCGTTGACTGTGATCCCACCCCAATGTCCTCCGCATGCTTGGTGAATCTCTTTAACAGAATTTGGTCCTGTTACTTCATGAACAGTAATGTCTGTAGTTCCGCCTGAAAAGAAATAAAAAGTAACTGAAAAATAGGAATATGTTTTGATGGATGCTATTCCTGATATTTAAGTATCACATTTTCATTTTTAGTTAACCATGGTCATAGAGTGAGAGACCCATATTGGCCGCATAATTCGTTCATTTCCACTTACATCCGACCTACATTCAAATATTTGGAACTTTTTATGAAGGTTTCAGAAATTTAACTATATAATATGGAAAAAATGTTTGATAAATTATTTTCAAAACATTGGTTAATTGTTCTAAAAACGAACGCAAACTCAAGAGGAAATCAAGTTGTTCGTGTACCATGGGGGACACATTTTCGCCGCAATGTATGATATGACAATCCTCATTATCCTGGTATACTATAAAACCGAATGTTTGCAATTACATGAATTAGCTTGAGAGATCATTCCTATACGATTTTTCTCACAAATATTTACTTTAAGACTGCGCATGATTGCCATATAAATCTTACATAATTGCCAAAATCATTTAAAAACACTTGCGTATTTCTCAATATGTGCGAATAACCTTGGAAATGGGGTAAAGAGGAATATCAACAGTTGTAACATTACAAACAGCCTTTACCATCTATTTAGGCAAGTATTGGGTAAAGGCACACAAATTTTACAGAAAAAATAGCAAAACGGCGAAAATGTGTCCAAGGCGAATATGCGCCACCCACTCTATATCCTAATTAATAAGAATTTTTTTCAAAAGTTCCTCAACATACTAAACATGTGAAAAAAATCTCAACTTGGTGGGACCGCAACCTCATTAAATCAAAATTATAACCTGATTAGTGAACTGCAAAATTCTGGTAAAAACCCTAATTTGCATATAATTTTTAATGATCACAACTTAATTACTGTGGATTCATTATTATTCGTTCGATACCAATTTTCGTGGATTTCGTGGGTACAGGTAAACCACGAAATTAAATGTTCAACGAATGACAAATTTTCTATAGGCTTGTTTGCAGACCTCGGCAAAACCACGAAATTAAATATCCACAAACATACAAGTTTTCCTTTATTCACGAAAATTGGTACCCACGAAAATAGATGAATCCACAGTAACATTTTTAAACATGTGCATTCATTATTGAAATCTGTGACCACTTGCAAAACTGTCCAATCTAATTACAGGGTTACAAAATTTGGTTGCAAAAATTCTATGGGGGAAAATCCCTACTGAAATTATTATGAATGCAAGTTTTTATTATTGCGAACTTGATACTGTTGCATTTTTCCCATTGATAAACATTGTAATAATTCTGAATTTACAGTTCTTGCATACATTAATCAATATTCTAATACTAACCTCCTTGATCAAAGACTACATATTTGTCGCCTTTCTGCATACCGGCAATGGCTTTTTTGCCATCTGTCTGTGTTTGTATGCCAACCGGCTGTCGTCTGCAATGTATAGATGCAGCTTCAGGTTCCAGTGCCAAGGTCAGCTGATCATTCGAAATGTTTACCTACAGTGAAAATAACAATATAAAATGTGGAGAATATGTAAATGAGATATTTACCCCAAAACATAATAAACTGTTAACAGAGACTTATCTGGCCTGTGTAACATAGTCACAAATTTTAAGTCATGGTCAACACACCATGTACTTGATGTACAAACTAGTCCTCAATAACGGATAAATATGTATTAAATATGTCAAGCTATCAATTAATCTAATCTAGAAAAGTGAATAAAGAAATAATAAAAGACTATTGAATTTTCTCATATAAGTATTAATTTCAAGGGCCATTACTGTAACGGCAGCTTATTTTAAACACATTCAAGACCATGCTGATATAAACTATGATAATTTTCTGCATACAATTTTGACAAGAAATATAGGTCTATGAGTGATTAAATTGCAATAGTCAACATAAATTATATATTTTAAAGGGGCATACCTACTCTAAAATAATTTTTGAGACTGATTTTCATACTGTACAAGCTGTTAATGAAGTTAACTGTTAATATAAATTTCATAGTACTCATCTTCCAAGATATGTAGGCTTTAGAGTGCTAACAATGAAATTTTTTCACAGAATTAACATTTTAAAGGGACATAACTCCTGCTATTTCATCAGTGCTGATTTTTGGAATACCTCTGAATTCTTACTGTTATAAACATTTATTATTTATTATATTTGCCAGATTTTGATTGGTTAATATGAGGGAGACAATTTACTGTATCCCATGGCAAATACTCTATCATGCACCCTTCATGGAAACACTTCATCAAGTGTGCGCTTTGATAAACATGGATGATTGTTATAATAGTATGTACAACTAAGACATCATAGTTTATTACTTTGAAATTGAAATTTAATAGACAGTAAAAACAGAACATTCAGTATAATAAATTATATTACACATGTCTGAGAATGAGATAGAGCAGATTGATACCCCTCGAAAAGACAATGTCAACCTTGGTTTCACCTCATTTTGTTTGATAGAAGTTTCATAAAAATCTGGCAAGAATCTTTTAAAAATAGCTGATCAGCACGGATTTTCAAACTTTTGCAGTCTAAGGACTGATATCAACCTCATCTCAGTATTTCCATGTCCCCCACAACACTTCCTATTATTTTTGTTAAGCTAAGATTGGGAAAATATGTAAAAAAAAAGAGAAAAGAAGGTTGATCAACATACCTTTTCAGCAGCATCTCGCATGAATTGTTTTGCCTTCAAATCCCAGATAGCTGGGACAGTAAGCACCCAGTGAATGTCATCATTTGAGAAAGCCTTGGCTCCATGACCCTTTAGTAATTCATTCATAATTAATCCCTGGAAATAACCAATAACAGCTGCAAACACATCAACTGCTTTCATCTTCTTGTCTTTACCATCGTTCACATCAATTGATTCCTTTAGCCATGTATCTTTGGTTAATTCGTCCTAAAACAAATAATTTTTTCTCAAATTTTATCTATGATGTGTTTATTCATATTGCTGATGTAACAAACATTAAAAAATACACATATAGATGCTCTGGAACATGAATAGTAGTAAAAGAATTGATTTAATACTCTTCAACATTTTGCCATCAGTTGAAAAAAATATATATAAACAAAATCATAGCAGTTGAAGGCAGTACCTTTTTTCCAAGGGAAATAATCCAATCATTTAAAATATGGGTTAACTTGGTTCATGTACATCATGGACCATGGAAAGACCGACCGCACGACTCAAAATCATGTCACCAAAAAATAAAAAGAAATAAATGTGGATAGTGTCCACATGTGGACACAGATGATGCCCCCGCTTGCATATCATATAGTTATAAAGGGACATAACTGAAGAACAGTAAAAGTGACGCTACCCAAATTTGAACTTGATCTGAGTTTTGTGGTAATAAGCATTGTGTGCATGTAGGTCTCATAACATTTGGTTGAGGCTAACTTAAGTAGAGAACAGAAACTTAAAATTCAGCAATTTTTCTATTTGTAAACACCCATAACTCTAGAACGGTTGTGTATAAGTTTTATAACATTTGGTTGAGACAAACCAAAGTTAGAGAATGGAAATGAAAAATTCAGCCACTTTTATGTTTATAAAGGGACACAACTCAATAATGGTAAAAGTGTTGCCACCAAATTTCGTACTTAATCTGTATTATGTAGTAATAAGCATTGTTTATAAGTTTCATATCATTTGGTTGAGGCACTAAAAGTTAGAAAATGGAAACAAAAAATTTGTACTTGATCTTAGTTTTGTGGTAATGAGTATTGTGTATAGGTTTCATAATGTTTGGTTGATGCAAACTTAAGTTACAGAATGGAAAATAAAAATTTTGCAATCTTTCGAGTTATAAAGAGGCATAACTCAATAATGGTAAAGTGACACTACCCAAATTCAACTTGATCTGTGTTTTATCAGTGGAGGTCAAAATTAAACATTGCATTGTATAAAGCATTTAATGTAGTTGATTCAATTATAATCATGGACAAAGGAAGATAACTCCAATTTTAATAAAAATTACTTGATATTTAGAAGAAAATAAAATTTTTGCAATTTTTCCATTTATAAAGAGACATAACTCTAGAACGGTTAAAGTGACGCCACCAAAATTCAAACTTGATCTGTGTTTTGTGGTAATAAGCATTGTGTATAAGTTTCATAACATTTGGTTGAGGCAAACTAAAGTTAGAGAACGGAAACGAAAAATTCAGCAATTTTTCCATTTGTAAAGGGGCATAACTCTAGAACGGTAAAAGTGATGCCACCAAAATTCAAAATTGATCTGTGTTTTGTGGTAATAAGCATTGTGTATAAGTTTCATAACATTTGGTTGAGGCAAGCTAAAATTAGAGAACGGAAACGAAAAATTCTGCAATTTTTCCATTTGTAAAGGGGCATAACTCTAGAACGGTAAAAGTGATGCCACCAAAATTCAAACTTGACCTGTTTTTGTTGTAATAAGCATTGTGTATAAGTTTCATAACATTTGGTTGAGGCAAACTAAAGTTAGAGAACGGAAACCAATTTTGGTACGTACGTACGTTTGTTCGTACGTACGTACATACGTACAGACCGACAAGGGTAAAACTTAATGCCCCCTCCACTATGGCGGGGGCATAAAAAAACAAGAGAAACTGCGAGCTACTGCTCACTGATTATACCCCGCTCAAACGCTTGATTGTAAACAGAAAGTTGTTGAGTGATAAATCTGAAAACGCATCACACGGTATAACTGACTTATATAAACCCTGAAACCAAGTTTCAGAAATCCTTGTAATGTAGTTCCTAAGAAAAATGTGATGAAAATTTCCAAGTTGGATGTCATGTGTAAAATGAAGTAAGTGTTCGGTAAACAGGAAGTTGTTGAGTGATGAATCTGAAAATGCATCACATGGTATATCTGACTCATATAAACCCTGAAACCAAATTTCAGATATCCTTGTTATGTAGTTCCTGAGAAAGATGCAACAAAAAATATTCATAGGACGGACGGACTGTCGGATGGATGGACAGACAGAGGTTAAACAGTAAACCCCCACTTTTTTTTTTAAAGCGGCAGGGGTTTGATAAATAAAATAAAATAGATATACCACCCTACCTACCTTATTTTTTAATGATGTAACCTGATACAGACATATATTTTTTTTTGGCCTTAAATCCATGATCCCTAGTCTCTGGTTGATAGTTGTCTCAATGACAATCATACAACATCTACTTTTGTTTGTAAACATAATTTTATATATTTGTTTGTGCAGTCATCTTTGATGAAGGACAACATAAGCCAGGGGTTTAAGTTTCATGCCAGGGCCTTTTAAGGCTGACTATACAGTATGGGTGTTTCTCATTGTTGAAGTGGTACAGTGGCCTATAATTGCTTACTTCCACTTCATTTTAACTCAGGGGGCAATCATACCACATCTAGATCTCCTAATTTGGATAGTAGTGTTTTTTTACTCTAGCAGTAGCTAAAAGAGGGATGTTTTGTGCTTGAATATAAAGGTCATTCTTAGCTTGTATCATCCTGAATATGCATGAAATATTTGCCACTGCACAATATGCAACGAACAATCATTCAGCCTAACCTAATTAAAGGAAGAGGCAAACATAAGAACTTTGAGATAAATAGAACAACAACTGTTTCCTAAATTACTTTTTTTTACTTTGAAATTTTATATTGACAGCGATGATCTGTGAAGATTAAGGTAATAAAGAATTTGAAATTAAAAATTAAATTAAACCCAAACTACAAATTTACTACTTAATTCTACCAATCAAATTTGTGATTTTACATGTTTGTACCAACCTTCTCTTTGTACAACATCATCTTAAAGTGTTCAAAATAATACCAATGAGTAAAATCAACTTTGTCTGGATTTTCTTGATAATAGGATTGAGCATCATATCCAAAGCTGTGAAATGACCGATTTGGTTTAAACAAAACACATGTTGGGGCTTTGTAGTTCATCCATCCACCAGCCTTCCATGTCGGACACTGAATTTTGGGATGATCCTTTTTATTTTTGAGATAGTCCTCATAGTCATGTCTGGTACAATAGGCAAACCCAGAATAGGTTGTCCCAAAATCTATGGCAGCAACTACCAGTTTGTCATGTTTTATCTGAAAAATAGGAAAATAAATATGTGATCACTCCCTATTGACTATTGAAACAAAGCATTCACAGAAAGTTACAGAAATATATTCTTCTTACTTCTCATGAAAAACAGACCTCAACAAAAAGCAAAAACATATTTTCAGACATAAAAACTGTAGTTTATCTTTCACATAGTGGAAAGCTTTAGATTTATAATTTTTACAAGATTTTTTCAGAAAGGTTGGATGAAGGTCAGTGATACATCAACCCAACTATATATATATATAAAAAAAGAAGAAATAAGACATCTAACATGGAGGTACTCAACTGATACAGGCACCAATTAAAAGTAAACTATACAATTAAATAATTGTCAGAATTTGTTCAAAATTAAAATAAACAATCAGATTGCTTTTCAGCCTGCCCATTTTTAGTTTTTTTAACCATGTCAACTGATAGAGTGCTATTCACTCCATTAATTTACAGATGACAAGTATAAAACTCAAAATATTATTCAGCATCATGAATTGATACTTGAAGACATTTTTTACAATTTTACAAAGGATGAAGTCTTGAAAATCAGAGGCGGATTTAGAGGGATTTTCAGGGGGCCCGGGCCCCCCCTTTTGTGGGAAAAATTTGGTTGATTATATAGGGAGTCACTGAAGCATGACTGGAGCAGGCCCCCTCTTAGGCAGTCAGTGGGCCCCCCCCTTATGAAAATTTCTGGATCCGCCACTGAAAGTTGCATATTTGAGGCTTCTTTGCTGTGCACACAGCATTTATGAGTAAACATCAACAGCAAAGACATATTGGCTTGGAGTCAGAATAATGTGTCCCAGTAGTGTGACAATGTCTGACTGCGGACTAACACATTTAAATTCCAGTTCTTCATGCTCTTTGTGTCTATCTGGTACAAATTAAGCAAGGTTCATATTCATCTCACATTAAAATATTCTTGTCCTGATATGCATGTTATATTTGCCATTGGACATTAAACACCAATTCATCACCATCAAAATGAGGCTATTGTGAAAATTTTGGCAATTTCTTTAAAAGCTAGAGGTTCAAAGGCCCAAAGAAACCATTCAACTTTAGTCAAGGATTTCAATTTATTAATGTAACAATCTCATAAATTGAAAATATCATAGAAATTATTCCTGTCTTTGAGAATTTGGCACCTTAACAGTTTGACATCATAATTTATACATCTCTAATGTAAAAGTACACACTAAAAATTTCTAGGCTCTGTGTATGCTCCAGAATGGAAAATTTTGACAAAAAGAAAATTTTCAGAAAAATACCTTCAATATTTTGTTAAGAATTGAAGAAATCACATTCCAACAAATTCCTGAAATCAAATAAAAGTCTGTTCCTATAGTTATTGACAGGTACACCACTAAGTTCACATATTTACTGACTCAAAATATGAAGTGGTCAAATCAAAATACCCAGTAGACAAAATCTGTAGTGCAAAACAAGTAATTTAAAAGTGAAATTCTGATCTACTAGTATCTTTTACCAAGAGTCAACTACATTGCATATTAATAAGGAATCATTTAGCTTCCTTAAATCTGACCCAGAATTCTACAAACTTAAATGAAACACTTACATCTTCCATGGCCATTTTCTATGAATTGAAAGCTAGGTTTTGAGCTACCTGAAATGATAAACATGATATGTCTGATAAAGATTATCTAATGACTGTATCTTGCTGTATACATGATATACAGGCTTCAAAACAATTACAATGTTTTTATAATATGAAGTTGAAGTAAACAACTATGCTGTAGTTTTCTAACTGACAGACTTACAGAGGGACTGATGCACAAATTGGAAAACATAATATAGGGAGGCTGGATGGGGGATCCTCAATTCTGTATTCTTTAATGTTTTCGGCTATTTTTCTGTTCTTTAAAATTTTGCCAATTTTTCTCTATTCTTTATTTTTTATCACCCCATTATTCTCTATTCTTTAATTTTGGCTATTTTTCTCTATTCTTTATTTTTGGCCCATTTTTCAGCAGTATTGACCTGTTATTCTCTATTCTGTAAACCCCATCCATACCTTCATAATGCCTCCTACCATCAAAGAGAATGATGGGCATAAAAATCAGAGAGGAGGTGCGATTTTATACATTTGTAGAAGAAAGACTTTTTGTGTCCGTAATGATATTTTTTTTGTAGTTGACTGAAATTTGTCAATTTTTTTGTAATTGACTGAAATTTGTCAAAAATTTTGGGTGTTTAATGCTCTTCAACTTCTTATTTTATTTGGCCTGTTTTACTTTTTTGATAAGGGCATCACTGATGAGTCTTTTGTAGACAAAACGCATGTCTGGTGCACACAATTTTAATCCTGTTATCTATGATGATAATAGTTTATTTAACTCTATTAAATTATTTAATTGACAGTGATTTTTAACAAGGTGACTTCAAAATTGAATGCCTACTTTTTATTAATAAAAAGACATATCGAACACCAGAGATTAGTAAAATCTGATTTATAGCTCATAATACAAATGTATATTGGCTGTGAAAAAACTTGTTCCAAAATTTCACTATATCTATAGGCACAATGACCTTGACCTTTGACCTAATAACCAGAAAATCAATAGAAACAAGAAATTATTTTACTAAATTTTGCTTACCAACTTTTGCTCTCATAAAGTTGATTTTGCTAATTTACATTCATTATGAATGGGTTTACATCATTGCAAAATTACACCCATAAGGGTCAAGTAAAAACAAACAAAATACTAACATTTATATAAGATTACAAGAATAAACAACTAACTTTGACACACAATGTAATATTAAATTTACTACAGTTACATAGGTATCATGAATTGTCTGACATGGGTCTACCACCCTCAGTTCTAATGACTGTTTCATAAAGACTCCAATATGACAAACAAATTCAGGGGTGAGGTGGATGTATACTGGTCAGCAGTACAAGTACATATAATTATCTATAAAAACAGGTTTCTATAAATGAAAATTATGTTAATCTATAGGCAGTAAGCTGTATTATGCTTAAGTTTGCTTTATTGTTATGAGAAAATAGATATGTATTTGTCGCTCTTGCTATGCAGGAAATCTGTGTGAGTGTAATCTGTATTTTGAATAAACAGTTAAACAGTCAGTTATTTTGTCCATGTTGAATGTCTAATTGTAATAACATATTTGCAACTAGCCTAGGGAGTGAAATTAATTAATAAACAAATTAGTACTTTAAGAAGCCCTTGATCATGTCAGAGCTATAAAATTAAGCTCAAATATGATTTTACAGATTAACAAACACATTTTTAATGAAATGAGAGCATGACAATACCACATCAAGACCACAATCATTTTCATTGAAATAGAAATGGTATCTGGACCTCTAAATCTTCAAACTTTTCTATCATGACAGTTTGCATTATACTAACCTTATCCACTATACACCCACCAAGTCTTTAATTTTCTTTCAATGTCATTTCACAAGTTTTATACGTTAGTTGTTACGCAGAAAAAACCTGCAAAATCCCAGTTTCTAAAAATAGTTACAATATTAAATCCCATCATGAACAGCCTCAGTCCAAATAATTAATTTATGATGTCTTTGAAAGCTATTTTTGATTTCTTTTGCTTCAACACAGGCAAGCACAAACTATTAAAAATAATCCTTTCAAGATGTCATAACTATTTGGACTAGTACAGCCTGGGACCATCATAAAGTAAAGTTTGCAAACTATGAGCCCATCTTGATCTATCATAAATGCATGTCGGTACAGGTAAAAATATAATCGTACATTACCTGGTATAAATGAAATAATACTTACAATGATCAACTGAATATGTAAATATATTACTTTCAATTACCCATTACGACTGCGGTGGAAATAGCACGAAAGTAGCATTTGTACTTTCGTTTTAGGATTTGTGTATTGCCTCCCGGTTTTACACAGCCCACTGATTTCGTTTCCGGTGAAATCGTCACAGTCACATGTTATAAAATCGACCCGCCTACTGTGTAGTACGCACGATGTCGACTTTTCTGTAAGATATTTATTCGGTATAGGGCAAATTTTTAAACAAATACAATTTAAAATCTCATATTGGTAAAAATCTATTTTTGTCCCGTCTTAAATGCTTAAATGATAGGCTTTTGCAATCACATGTTTTTATATTGTTTTTATCGGTATATTTAACAAAAAAATTGTTCCGGCGTGACATTTGTTCCGCCGGAACAAATTTCATAGGAAATATGTTCCACCGGAATTTATATCACAGAAAATATGTTCCAGCACTGTAAAATTTGTTCCGGAACTAATTTTTTGACCAAATGTGAAATAAGTTCCGGAACAAAAATCACAGCTACATGAATTTTGTTCAAATATTAAATTTGTTTAAAAAGTTGAAATAAGTTCCTGTGATATTAGTTTTAAACGAAGATATTTCATAGAAATCAATGAATAAGTTCTGCTCAAACCTATTTTACAGACAATAAGTACCTTTGCAACATATTGCACAGCGAAATATTTTCTTGTTACACTTAAAAATTATAATGCAAGCTTGATGCTATACTGTTCTTGCATAGGGTACATTTGCAATTGAAGGCATGACTGTGACTGTAAGATGGAGACAGTGGCGGATCCAGAACTTTTCATAAGGGGGGCCCGCTGACTGACCTAAGGGGGGGGGGGCCGCTCCAGTCATGCTTCAGTGATTCCATATATAATCAACCAAATTTTTCCCACGAAAGGGGGGGGGGGGGGGCAGTCCCCCCCCCCACCCCTGGATCCGCCCAAGGGAGATAAGAAATAAAAGCAATGATAATGTATCATAATTTGTATTTATGTTTTAAGTGGTATTCGACCTCCTTGTTTCCTGTTAATATGTCATGGCTGTTCTATTCATACATATACTTAGCTAAGGGATGGCACAGTTACAAAAGAGTGTGTCTTGTTTCTTTATGTCTTTTAATATAAATGATCAGTCACTTTGTCCTTTTCAAATTAATACAAATTTACCTTTAACTATACTATTTTTTTTCTGAATGATTTTTCTTATTCTACTCTTTTCTGGCTCATAAGTGTCATTTTGGTATTTTTTATTGAGTATGTTATTAAACATATGCCTTACTCCACAGGATCCAAATTGGATGTTTACATTTTTTATTTATTACATTATTAATATAATACATGTTTTTATAATGTACTTGAATGATAACTTTAAACTCACAGATGACAAGTGCTCAGTATATAAGATAACTTGTTTAACCAGTGGAACATATTTCACAGACAAGGCACTTATTTCACCAGGTGAGGAACAAATCTCACAAACCCAGAACTTATTTCACCAGGTAAGGAACTAATCTCACAAACCCGGAACTTATTTCACTAGGTAAGGAACAAATTTCCCCAATCCAGAACTTATTTCACCAGGTAAAGTGTGGAACTTTTTTTTACATGGAACAAATTATATAGAAATTGTCTGTGAAAAAAGTTCTCCCAGAACATATTTCCTGTGAAATTAGTTCCACTGGAACTTTTTTCACAGGAACAAATTTTGGCTCACATATACATGTTTATTTTGGTCTATTTTGCCAAGTTATCAATAAATTAATCTCCAACTAAATATAACTGTGTTTTATTCCCGTAGGAAAAGGATTTATATTTTTTACTTATAATCTATGAGGGGGTAGGAGGGGTCCTGATCCCGAAATCCCGGGCTTAAAAACATGGAATCTCGAGGTCCCGAATTTAAAAAAATTTAAATCCCGACATCCCGAAATTTGAAAAAAGAATTCCCGGATCCCGAAAGGATCAATCCCGAAATCCCGAGCTTAAAAACACCCGATCCCGGAGTCCCGATAAAGGTCCTCCCCCCCCCCCCCCCCCCCCAAATCTATATACAACACAAACAAGAATTTCTGGTCAAATATTAGACCACAGACGGTTTAATTGTATTTTTTCATGTGCTTGTTTCTCACAATAAGTACCAAATTGAACACCAAACACAGTTTGTTCATTATATTTTTGTTTTTTGAAACAAAAACTATTAAACAGTTATACGCGTATCACGGTTCATTCACGGTCCTACAATCTGTTGATACCTATATTTTGGCATTGCACAAGGCCATGACGTCTATACACTAAATCCATTGGATGTTGGCTGTGTACTGATTGATATTTTAGTCTTGGATACATGATTTTTTTTTCATCCGTTGTTATTGGCTTTAAGTTTCAGTAACAAAGATTACTCTCAGATCTGTACTTTTGTGTCTTTTGTGTTTGTTTGTGTTTATTTTTGTATTGTTTTTCAGTGTAAACATGATTTTTATAGTTTGTTCTTATATTGTACTGTTACAGTCACCATTGCCACAGGTTAGGGAGAGCGGTTGTAATACGCACGAATGGCTATGTGCAAAACATTTGAAATGCCGACTATTGTTAAGGAATCTTTTCTGTTCAATATTTATTCGGTAGAGGGCAAACATTTAAACAAAAAAAATTTAAAATCTCATGTTGGTTTTAATATTGAATCAGTGGTTGTCGTTTGCTACTATATTATCATTTTTATTTTTCGTTTATTGTTTTGTACATATAAAACAACTGTTTTACGTTTGTCATTTCTAGGCCTTTTATAGCTCACTATGCCGTTTTGGTTTTGCTCATTGTTGTAGGCCGTACGGTGACCAGAGTTGTTAACTACTGTGTCATTTGGTCTCTGGTGGAGAGTTGTCTCATTGGCAATCAAACCACATCATCTTATTTTTATATTTATACATCTAGGATCTAGTTTATGCCAGCAGTCTGGATTAAAAAAGTAAAAGAATTTTACTTTCTGTCGTATACCTGGTAAACAAATATCCTTACTTTATATTAGCAAAAGTCCATTACTTGTGTTAGTTCTACATGTATGAGGTACTAAATTTATAGAAGCTATTATTGCACTTAAAACAAAAAACAAAAATCCAATCGACCAATGTTTAGGATTGCAAATTTCATCACATACTCAAAATTGAATAAGATCGAAACCAGTATAATTGCAAGTCACATCATTTTCCGATATCTGGTTATTTTAGTCGTTAGGTTGCTGTCCCATTGATGTATACCCCAAATCTCCTAATTTTATTCATACTGGAATATAAATTAACATTACATGTATAATATTTCAATAACATACAATAAAAAAAATCGTGTTTGACACTGAATTTATGCGTCCGAGTAAACTACACCTGTACTGAAAAATAAGGCTCATAGGAATATACCCTACTTCAGTAATTACAGAGCTAAAAAGTTATTGATACCAGATATACAAGAATTGTTTTTAAGATAAACCCAACTTTATTTCCAACCATTGTCAAGATTACCATTTTGTCGAGTTTTAGCGCATTTTTTTTATGGAATATCAAAAAGATCAATTTCGATTAAAATATTAACCTTTGTTAAAAATACTTTTAGATACTTATCTTTCAAATTTACATCTGATCACATGAATAATTATGCACTCTAGATATTTCTCTTCCTTCCTTATCAATTTTGTTTTAAGTAGATATGTTAATTTAGTTGTTAATTAAGGTAACGTGAAGTAGGACTGTGACCTGTTAAAGAAATTGTGTACTTTTTTTCTGTCACTATTGGACAAATCCATCATTGTTTAATGTTGTGGCTGTATGCCTTTATATTCATACTTTGTATGCACCTGTCCTAAGTCAGGAGCCTGTTGTTCAGTGGTTGTCGTTTGTTGGTGTGGTTCATAAGTGTTTCTCGTTTCTCGTTTTTTGTATAAATTAGACCGTTGGTTTTCCTGTTTGAATTGTTTGACATTAGTCATTGTGGGGCCCTTTATAGCTTGCTGTTCGGTGTGAGCCAAGGCTCCGCGTTGAAGACCGTACTTTGACCTACATGTATAATTGTTAACTTTTTATACATTGTGACATGGATGGAGAGTTGTCTCATTGGAACTCATGCCACATCTTCTTATTTATATTTATAACTAATTTTATCTATGATTGATTTATTTTTGCTTGCTTTAAGTCCAGTGGCAGCTGTTTCATGCATGTTCGGTACGAGAAACTGTTACATTTAATACCATAATATAAAAACAAGAAGATGTGGTATGATTGCCAATGAGACAACTCTCCACAAGAGACAAAATGACACAGAAATTAACAACTATAGGTCACCGTACGGCCTTCAACAATGAGTAAAACCTATACCATATAGTCAGCTATAAAAGGCCCCGAAATGACAAATATAAAACAATTCAAAGAGAAAACTAACGGCCTGATTTATGTACAAAATAGTGAACGAAAAACAAAAATGATATACACCAACAAACGACAACCACTGAATTACAAGCACCTGATTTGAGACAATCACATACAGATTGTGGCGGAGTTAAACTAGTTTGAAGGCGCGCCAACCCTCCCCTAACCTGGGACAGTAGTGTAACAGTACAACATAAGAACAAACTATAAAAATCAGTTGGAAAGGGCTTAACTCATCAGATCGATACAAAGCAGAAACAAATCTAACAAAAACACAGAGTGGACGTGACAGGTTACTTATAAATCCTAACAACAAAAAGACACTAACTACAGATCTGAGAGTACTCGCAATTACTGACAGCTAGTTCAAAGCCAATAACAACGTATAAAAAAATCATGCATCTAAGACTAAAATATCAATCAGTACACATCCAACTTCCAATGGATTTAGTGTAAAGGCGTCATTAACAGTCAGAGAAAAACATAACCTTGTGCAATGCCAAGATA